GGGGTGGCACGGCCACATTGGAGAAATCATCCTCCACCAATTCTCCATTCCCCAAACCCCAGTTCCCATCAACGCGGCTCACTACGACTAACAACACGCCAGACATGAGGGACACCATTTCATCCAGGCCGAGGAAGGCACACGACTGGCTGGTTATGGTTACTCACTCCCACTCCCTGCAAGTAGTCAATCTATTTTCAATTTCCTGTCAATAGTCCCCCCCCCCCCCGTGAATATAAATATCCTTCTCCTCCCACGCTGTTTTCGTTCTTGTCGCCGTGGAATGTGCACCTGAAAACGTTGTCGATTAACTTTCACCAGCATCATCGTAGTTGCCTATTTCGGACAATAGAGCGAGCACACTTTCTTTTGTTGACATTTCCCTATAAAGAAACCCTCCGGCTTCTATCGTACAACAACAAACCCTTCCTCACTGGACCTCGTACCTCTTCACCTACAAAGTATATACACCCTAAAACCAACCAACTGGTAACAATTTCAAAATGTCTACTCTCCATGCTACCGCCGATGTTTCTCGCATCGAGGCGCCGGTTACCATTAGAGCCTACCTGATGTGTGCCTTTGCTTCTTTCGGCGGCATCTTCTTCGGATTCGACTCTGGATACATCTCTGGTGTTATGGGCATGGACTACTTCATCCACCTCTACACCGGAATCCCAATTCCTGCTAGCGATGCCTCGGCAGCTGTCACAGCGGCTTTCACCCTCCCCGCCTGGAAGAAGTCCCTGATCACTTCTATTCTCTCTGCTGGTACTTTCTTCGGTGCTCTGATCGCTGGTGATCTCGCTGATTGTAAGTCTTTGATTCCGTCATGTGTTTTCTCAAGACCCCCAAGCTAACAACTCTTTTTTCCAGGGTTTGGTCGCCGAACTACGATTATCATGGGCTGCGGTATCTTCATCATCGGTGTCATTCTGCAAACTGCCTCCACTGGCCTCGGCCTCCTTGTAGCTGGTCGCTTGATTTCTGGTTTCGGTGTCGGATTCGTGTCAGCTATCATCGTTCTATACATGTCCGAGATCGCACCCAAAAAGGTCCGTGGCGCCATTGTGTCGGGCTATCAGTTCTGCATTACCATTGGTCTTCTGCTTGCTTCCTGTGTCGATTATGGCACTCAGAACAGAACCGATACTGGATCCTATAGAATCCCAATTGCCCTTCAAATGGCCTGGGCTATTATCCTTGCCATTGGTCTCTTCCTCCTTCCCGAGTCCCCTCGTTACTATGTCAAGAAGGGCAATCTTGAAATGGCTTCCAAGGTCTTGATTCGTCTCCGTAAGTAATTCATTATCCGGCGACAGGCAAGAACGACTGCTAATTTTGTTTATAGGCGGTGAACCCGAAGGCTCCGAATACATCCAGCAGGAATTGGCCGAAATTGTCGCAAACCACGAATACGAATTATCCGTCATCCCAGCCACGGGCTACTTTGGGACCTGGTTGAACTGCTTCAAGGGCGGACTTAGAAACCCTTCCTCCAACTTGCGCCGAACCATCCTCGGAACCTCGCTCCAGATGATGCAACAATGGACTGGCATCAACTTCATCTTCTACTTCGGCACCACGTTCTTCAAGACTTTGGGCACGATCAAGAACCCCTTCCTCATCGGTCTCATTACCACTCTAGTAAATGTTTGCTCTACACCCATCTCGTTCTACATTATCGAGCGCTTCGGGCGTCGTACAATCCTCATCTACGGCGCATTGGGCATGTTGATCTGCGAGTTTATTGTTGGTATCGTTGGTGTCACAGCCGGTCGTGAGAGTTTACACAACACCTCGGCCGTTTCCTCTCAAATTGCCTTTATCTGTATCTACATCTTCTTCTTCGCTACTACCTGGGGGCCCGGCGCTTGGGTATTGATCGGCGAGATCTTCCCCCTTCCAATCCGCTCCCGTGGTGTCGCTCTATCCACCGCCTCCAACTGGCTGTGGAACTGCATCATCGCAGTCATCACCCCCTACATGGTAGGCAGCGATCCTGGAGAAGCCAACCTCCAATCCCGCGTCTTCTTCGTCTGGGGTTCCCTCTGCACTGCCTGCTTCGTCTACTCATACCTTCTCATCCCTGAGACCAAGGGTCTGTCACTTGAGCAGGTCGACCGGATGTTAGAGGAGACTACCCCACGCACTTCCGCCAAGTGGGTTCCACATACCACTTTCGCTGCCGATGCTGGTTTGACCGATAAAGGCACACTGGCGCCTGAGGTAATTGAGAAGGTTGTGCATCACCAAGCCGAGCATACCAACAAGGCTGATGCGACTTCGGCTGTCTAAATGTACCCTAAATATAGTCATTGCGTGGCGTTTTAGGATTTCAAATGGGAAGGGAAGGTTGCAGGTTCAGCGAGGAAATATTTGCTACGAGCCTACGACGTTGATGATACACGAGACCTGTGTATAGAAGTTGGCTAGCTTTATACTTAGTCAATATAGCTACTCTCATCTGATTCCAAAAGACATTAATACTTAAGGCTTTTGCGTTCTGAATGGCTTCGTGATAAATGAGTTCTGCCGGTACTTGCTCGTCGTTAATTTGATTATGAGCGCTGTTTTCTTGACGCCGGGAGAAAGTCTCATTTTCGCTGCTGTGCCCTCGATCAGGTTTTATAACATTGAAGAATTTGACCAATGCATTTTCAGGCTGCCGCCGTACGTACGTACCTACCTAATAACCCAAGGTTAAAATCTACAACATAAATATCTCAGTCAACTCACTTGACACGGCCACGGTTTACTGGCCCTGGCCTCGGCTTCCCTCGCCTATAGCTAAGCCCAGTACGTAAATTTGCCTTGCCAGGGCAGAAAGATAAAGACGTTTCGCAATTGATGAGGGATTTGGCGTCTCGGGGGTGAGAAAGGATGAAATTGGAGGGCATGGATAGGATAGGGTTGATAGCAAAACGATATAGGTGGATATATATATATATACCTAATGAGTGTTATAAACGCTATTGGTTTGATTTGAGACGGGGGATTAAGACAAGGAATAGAGGAAGAAAGAACCCTTGCTCCTAGAGTCCTACTGTTTCTTCGCTTTTTGAATGGAGGGTTATTCACTAGAGAGAGAGCTAATACTGATATTCTCACGAAAGGGGTATGAGTGTTAGATTCAACTGATAGACATTAAATATTAATCAGAATCAGTTCTGCTTTTTGTGTCTAGTACATAAAAGGACAGTAAAGAGTTGAAGGGTTATAAAAGGCGGTCCTTTTATAGGGAAGGCCGTAAAACACTACAGGAGTTAGAAGGGTTTTAGCCGAAACCCCCTATTGATTAAAACTGACGGTATCCCCCCGCCCCCCCACCCCCCCAAATCAGATCTTGACCTTCGTCATGTCACTTCACAATACTCTCAAGGAGTATCGAGCTTTTCTCGGAGTATTTGCTCCGCTTCAGGTTCTCTGTTAATATCGAGTCCTTCTGTAAAAGCACTCGTCACGAGGCCAACAAAGGCCAAACCTGCCATGATAGCCCAGACGACCTTGAGACTGTCTGCATATGCCTCAATAATCATAACACGCTCAGGAGACTCCTTGTCCATTGCGTTGACAACCTGAACAAGCGCACTCGCCTCCTTCGCGAGACTGGATGCTTGGGATGCGAGTGCTGGGTATGCCCTCAACTTGATAGCAAATTGTGTTTGGAATATTGCACCCCCAATTGCAAGGCCGACGCACTGCCCAAAGGAGCGCGAGAACGTATACATAGAGGCTGCATATGCCACGTCTTTTTCCTCTGCCCCAGCTTGCGCGCCATAAGAAAGACTGCAGTAGAGCATGCCCAGGCCAAGGCCCGGCACGAGATTTATAAACAGCCATTGGGGTATTGTCGTGTAAGGTCCTAGTAGGTAGAGGAGTCCCATGCCTAGAACACTCAGAGACCAACCGGTCCAGACTGCCCATCGAAAGCGACCCCACCTGCTAACTAGCACTCCAACGACGACCGAGGCAGGCGCGACGGTGAAGGTCTCGGGGAAGGCTGCAACTCCCGAGATGGTTGGACTGTAGCCTTTGACGCATTCGTAGTAGAGCGGCATATAGTAAAGCAGACACCAAAGTATAACACCATGAAGAAAGGTGCCCAAGTAACTGATCAAAGCTGTTCGCTGCTTGAAGATGGCAATTCGGATTATTGGATCAACCGGGACTTTGGCTTCGTAGAGGACGAAGCCAGCAAGTCCAACGACACCTAGAATCACAGGTACAAGTGTTCGCCATGAGGACCATGGAAACATAACATTGCCCCAGGAAACAGCCATTACGAAACTCGTGGCAGAAGAAGTGAGTAGACAGACTCCCACCCAATCGAACTTGGTAACCTTTGGGATGAAAGATCCGGGCACTTTGTTCAGTTTGAGGAATGCCATGACCGCAACGAAACCGATGCCACAGATTGGAAGATTAATCCAAAAGATCCAAGTCCAGGATGCGGCCTGAGCCAAACCCCCGCCTATTACCGGCCCAGTCACAGAGCCAATCGCCCATACTGCGCCCTGGAAGCCAAACCATTTTCCTCGCTCACGTAAAGGCACAAGATCGGTAATGATGATTTCCGTCAGACAGATAATACCTCCCCCACCAGACCCCTGGATACTACGCCCGACGAATAAGGTCGTAAAATTCTTAGCGACAGCGGCGACTATCGATCCAACAGTAAAGAGAACAAGCGCGAGGATAACGAGATGTTTGCGACCAAATGTTTGAGACAATGATCCGAATGTGAGCTGGAAGACCGTGCTGGTGAGTAGAAAGGACGTCCCGGCCCAAAAGGCTTCAATTGCAGAACCGTTGAGGTCTTGAGATATGATCTGCAGTACCAGTCAGATATATGCTATATGAGAAGAGGGGTGGTAAGTTACAGGTAGAGCGGTTGATAATGAAGTAGCGTCCAGGGCGGCAGCAAAGATTACAATCAGGAGACTGCCAAAAGCCGCGTAGAAACGAAGGCCAGGGTGAAATTCCGAAGAGCCGGCTGCAGTTGGCTTAGCAGTTGACTCAGTGGCGGCGGAAGTTTCCATGAGGAATGTGTTCTTTGAACTAGAGAAGGGAAACTGTTTGGATGCGTTGTGGCTTGAGAGTCACATCATGAAGGAGTCAAGTGAAGAAGCTGAAATGTTGGGATGGAATCTCGCAACAAAACGTTGCAGGGTTTGATTACCCCCCCTGATTTTCCATACCTAAGTCGTATGGTATTTTACAGCCTTCTCGCTATTCAGGAGTTGAGGGTTGATGATTAGCGGGCCTTTGGTAGGGAAGACCGTTAAAGTCCTAGATCGAAAGGGGACAGCCAAAGCGAGCGAGCGAATGAATGTGGACATCGAGTATATTACTAAGCATTCTCCTTCACGAAGATTTGTATGGCAGAGTCTGAATCCGGAAATAAGGCAGCTTTGCACAAAGTGAGTGGATTTTGCAATTGACCAAAGGGTAAATCAAAGAGCGCAATACTTTTAAAGAGCGATGTGCTTGCACGAAGGTCTGAAACCAACGAATCGGATTTGCTTGACCTTCATTTAGGAAACTGATGCAACTTCTTTTCTTAAATGGCTACGCCCGCCGATGAGAACACTTCTAGGAGTAAAGATTGAAGAATATGGAGGCAGTTGTTCAAATGAGAAATCATCACGAGTTGATTCGAAGTGCTAGAGCTTCCACTCCACGTGATGCGGGGAGGAACTGCGCTAAAAGAAGCGAGCTTCGCACTTTGAAAATCGCTTTCAAGATCGCAGGATCGTAGGAAAATTAAATCAACGATCAACGACACCTCGACAATTACCCTCCCCCCCTTCGGTCCCAATTTCAAATCCGCAATCATGGGTCGCGTTCGTACCAAGACCGTCAAGAAGTCCGCCAAGGTCATCATTGAGCGTTACTACCCCAAGTTGACCCTCGATTTCGAGACCAACAAGAGAATCTGCGATGAGATTGCCATCATTGCCTCTAAGCGTCTCCGCAACAAGGTACGACCAGCACCATATAATGAGGGATTGGAGCAGCTCCTAACGTCTTGGAATAGATTGCAGGTTACACTACCCATTTGATGAAGCGTATTCAGCGTGGTCCCGTCCGTGGTATCTCCTTCAAGCTTCAAGAAGAGGAGAGAGAGCGCAAGGATCAATACGTTCCCGAAGTGTCTGCTCTTGACTTCAGCCAAAGCGAATCTGGACAGCTCGAGGTCGACAGCGAGACAAAGGATCTGCTCAAGAACCTTGGTGTAAGTTTTGGGATACATCTGATTTTGAAGACAATTTCTCACATTCGCGCAGTTCGACTCCATCCCAGTCAATGTCGTTGCCGTCTCCCAACAACAAACCGTCGAGCGCCCTCGCCGATTCAACGACCGCCCTGCACGAACATAAGTCTGAGGACTATTTGGGAAGGTGGAGATCATGGATGCATTTGCAAGGATTTGGTTGCTACTGGACGGCGTTTTGCAGGCAGGTTAAGCATACTAGATCAATGTGAGATCATATCCCACCAAGGTGTCGCTGATTCTCCTCTGGGGATGACGCTTGATTGCCATTTTCTTCTCGCTCCCCATGCTAGTGAACTTCTGACCCCTCGATTCTCTGCCGACATGCTCTAAGATCCTACGTCAAAATTACTAACAACTAGCATTACATGTTTGTGAAGGGCAATGGAGGTATAAGGAAGAACTATTGTCTTCAAAGTATTGTTTATAGAGTGCAAATCTTCCAGTTTGGGTATCTTTATCCTTGTTAACCCTGCCTCAACGCCAATAAATGTCTTATAATTTCCAATCAGTATCTTCTTCTTCCTCTTCGTGACGCCTGTGCCTATTGCTGCCGAAACTGGTTGTATGCCCTTCTAACCCTAGATGTATGGTATCCAGCCTTTCAGTGAGATCTTCGTCTTCTAGGGAAGGGGCCTCTGGTACTCGCTGGATCTCCTTCTCCAGTATCTTCACGTCCACCGAACCAATCCTCGCAGCAGGCCCTCTATCCCCTCTCTCCAACGCCAAATGTGCTGTGTCTTGCTTCTTGACGCTGTCATCTCCAGCAAGCTGTAACTTCTCCAGCCCCTCAACAACGGTATCACCGTCCGATTTTGGCTCATCCCGCAAATCAATCTTGACAGTATTTTCGCCACGCTCTCCTCTTTCCCACGCCGCAGTCTCACTCAACTGCACTCGCACATACAATGCCCTCATAGCACAAGCTTCCGAGCACCATTTCTCAAGCTCCTTCTTGTCCACGACTTTGAAATCCTTCCCCTTGCCATATTTCCCCACCATCCTCCACCTCCCGCCGCCGCTCTCCTTGCGTGGCGCGTTGGCGCATAATGTGTAGCCGCAGCGCTCATTAATGTTGCGCTCGAGTATCAGAGCATCGTAGTCGCTGGGCTGGAAGGGCCGCAGTAGATATTTGAATGTCTGCGCGTCGGCGGGCGCAGGGTTGCTGGCATCGTAGGGCGCTGTGGCTAGTGGGTAGTCGATCAAAGTCTCTGTAGCGAGGAGGATCTCGAGCTCGATATCTTTGCGCTGTTGGATCAGGTCGGCGTGGTACAATGCTAGGTCTCGATCGCGGTCTTCTTTCGATGTCGTTGTGGCGGGGTACGAGGCCTTCTTCAGGATGGACTTTGGCTTTTGAGATGTCGCCATGGTTGCTGCCCTTCGGTAGAATTTAGACAGCTAATCATGGTTTATAAGAGGGGTTTGCGAGATGAAATACTGACACATTGGAAACAAGGTACGGAATGTCTATGAATTGTTCTGAGGCGAAGAAAGGTGATGCAGCGGGATTACGGAGCGGGATCGAAATAATCCCTGTCACTCTTCTACTCCATTCAGTGGGATGTTACTCTAACTTCAATTCCTCTTCCACCATTCCAAAGCCTTTGTCCCATCAAGCTCTAGGTACCTTACCTTGACCTCATGTTGCTCTTGTTTGCTACTTTGATGCCATTGTCCGAATCTTTTCCTCTGCTGTTCCCTTGCAACTCTGCCTGATTTCAAACGAGATACGTTTTCAAGACCAGCAATCTTTCTATTTAATTTCATATATTACAACAGGTAAGCTGTAATTCAATGGCAGACGTGCTATTTGTGTTTGGCCCGCATTTGGGCTTTGTCATATTTGTAATCACTCATTATTGCATCTATTGCCCGCTGTTGAAGGTCATTATTTTCAGCTTGACTAAACAGCACACGAAGGTGAACCCTGCAGAAAAAGTTCTTCTCCCAGTGTCATTATTGGTTTTCTTTGTATTCCATACTCCTCGTAGATATAACTTCTTCAATATGAAAAGTCGAGGCCTACCGACAGTGATGCGGATCTCCGAAGATAGTGAGCGTCAAGAATGGGATGCAAGTCTATATACGTAGCTTGTTTTTAAAGCACCCATATCACTCTTTCGTTGAAGCAGTTATCATTGCAATATATTCCATTGCCAAGGATTAAGAGATATCCGAGACTTTCTCGTATCGCAAGAATCGATTTGATTATCTGGACTAGCAATGTCTCTCCTTTCGGTGACGCCTGCAGTGTCAGTATTATATCTATCTCGACTAGGCTTATTCTAAACAAATCCAGAGGTGTGAAAGTTACCGAAGATGACATATCAGCTATTGCGTTGAAGCTTGGCTATGAGTTCAAGGGAAACGAAAAGGCCGAATATACTACCCTGCTCGCTGCAACATGCAATGCTATGCAATTCGTTCAGGAAATGGATGGTAAAGACGTCAGTATGGACGAAGTATCCCAATGTTGATCTCATTCAGATTATCAACCACAACCGGACTTTGGTTTAACGCCGAGAGAGAATATGTGAGTACTTCTCCGATTTATCAACGCTGTCACTTACAAGATTAAGCTACTTTCCCAAGAAGAAAGACAACCCTGATAATGCCTGGGCACATCGCTTCACAGCTGCTCATAAATCGCCATCATCGACCCTTTTGAAAGGCAAAACTATATGTATCAAAGACAACATTTGTGTAGCAGGTGTGCCGTGCTTGATAGGCAGAGACTTATCTTCGAAATGGATCCCCAAGCTGGATGCTACGATTGTATCAAGAATCCTGGAGGCTGGCGGAGTGATCACGGGCAAAGCAGTCTGCGAAAACTATAGCACAAGCGCCGCCTCGTTCACTGCGGCCACTGGTCCCGTTGACAACCCTTTCGCCAAAGGTTACAGTGCTGGAGGTAGTAGTTCGGGGACTGCGAATTTGGTAGGGAAGGGAGAGGTGGATCTTGGTATCGGAGCTGATCAGGGAGGATCAATCCGCATCCCGGCAGCTTTATGCGGTCTTGTTGGACTCAAAGCAACTGCTGGACTCATCCCATACACGGGCTGTGTGAGTAATGAAGCTACTATCGACTACGTCGGTCCTATGACTAGAACTGTCCTAGACAACGCAATACTGCTCGAGGCAATTGCTGGAGTCGATGGTCTTGACGATAGACAACGAGCCGGGACCCCTTTCCGAGACCAGGTGCCGAGATATTCGCAGATTCTACTCGATACCAAAGATTCGGGTGTCAAGGGGATGAAAATTGGAATTTTAAAGGAAGGAACACCGTCACCACTCACCGATCCAGCGGTGGAGAAGAAATTCAAAGCTGCTGCTGCCGTGTTGAAGGAATTGGGAGCGATCGTCGAAGAGGTCAGCATACCTATGCACGAGATTGCTCCTGCTATATTCGGTGTAGCAAGCAAGCAAGGTGGTGCAATGGTTTGTTTCCTTCTCGGGGTTTACCTTGGACCTACATCATCTGACTTAATGTAGGGCAGGGCTGGACGTGCTTCCGGAAGGCGTCAAGTCATGCTCACAGACTTGTATGAGGAGATGTTACCCATTACAGCAGAAGCAGTAGAGAAGGTAATAAAAATATCCAGGAGGTCTATCAGGGGAAAGTGCTAACAGCAGTGTAGATGAGTCCCATTAATAAGAATGCACTCTTCGCCGGCGAATTCTGCTGGGAAAGGTTCCCCAACGTATATGCCAAAGCGGTCAACCTTTGTCGCAAATTGACTGATACTTACGACGAGGTTTTCAAGAACTACGACGTCCTCATCATGCCCACCACCATCACACCCTCGAACCCTCTTCCACTGGAGACGGACTCAGCCATCACCAAGATGAGCAAGACGATTGGCAAGCTTGAGAATACGTGTCCGTTTAATGCTACTGGGCATCCTGCGCTGGCGATCCCAATTGGGTTTGTCCCAGCACAGGCGGATGAGAAGGTGAAGGTACCAGCGAGTATGCAGATTGTTGGAAGACATTTCGACGAAGTTGCTTGTTTGAAAGTGGGATATGCTTGGGAGAATGCAAGATCTTGGAAGGAATTCTGAGAAGTGTAAGATTACGAGTAGTTCTTCGATCTCGATAAACATGGATTTAGATGATGTTACTCGAGCGCCGCATTAAGTACAATCGTAGTCGTAGTTGTATATAGAAACATAATCTCAGACACCGCATCGAATGGCATAGGTCTACCGACTAACATAGACCACGCCCCAAGCCTCATCTATGCTCTCTTAAGTCTCACTCTCCACTTGGGTAGGGTTCGAGCCTCAGCCCCATTTTCGTGGTACTGTATCTTGCTTGCTATCTTTGACTAACCACATTTCCACACCTCAGACAATACACTCAGCTCAGCCGTTCAACCCCTCAGCCCCATCCTACCCAACGGAGAAGGAGCAAGCCGGGTATATATCAAGAACAGCTTACGGTACTTGTGCTGAGTCTGGCACGTGACGACGGCAGATCTAGATCAAGGCATGAAAGAAGGGGGATCACCCCGTGTATGATCTACAACATCGCCAGCCTTCATCTGAAGTTACCTTCTATTTTCGCAATACTGTGCAGTACGATCTCCGGAAATTCCCTTGTACTGGATGGGGGTATAGTACAGTAAGATCTGCTTGGAGTGTGGCTTTGGAAGGAGTGAATGAATGGGTGGCTGGGTGGTTTGAGTTGAGTTAAGGCTAGAGTAATGAGATCTGTTGCCGGAATAGAGCTTGATTTCGATAGGTTGATTTGGAATGTTTGTGTTTGTTTGGTCGGATTGGGATCATTAAAGCATTGAAGAAGGATGCGGGGGTGGGAGTGGGAAAGTGTGCACTCGGGATATACATCTAACCGCTCTAGATACACTGAGATCTACTGCCAGTAGCTTGAGTTTTCACATTTCGTATATACATGGATGCACAGTATCAAACAAAGAGTAAGACGACTTGCTCAACTCAAGAGGCGGAGAGAGACTGGATACCTGACTTGGTATTGAGATACATACCTATCTGCCTTCTGAACAAGGTCACTTACTCCGATCCGAGCATGAGGAAGTGGAGGAATCCCCCCAAAAAACCACTCGTATGGATTTCCCTTGGTGGCCTTGCGGTTGGTGGCTCACAAAAATAGGTAATGTTTGAAGAAATCTGACACCCGCCCCGGCTGCATGATACAGTACTGTATGCGAGTCCTGCTCTCATTGGCTGCCACAACCTCGTTTCATATCTGAACCACAAGAACCCCGACCTTTCGGCCAGTCGCTAGAACCCAATGGACAACCAAATGGACCGATTTGGCTTAATTGATTTGGAAACGGAAAAAAAAAAAGGAAAGGATGCGGAGAGGACGAGGACTGTCTAAAACTCGGAGGATGGATGAGCTCTCCGTGGATGAGGTGCAGGAGGTCCTTGCGTCGATCATTGAAAACAACAAAAGTCGCGAAAAGAAGGGTTTGGGAATACCACTGGGTGTAGAACTTAGCATGATGGCAGGCATGATGGAAGATTGAGTTTGAAGTTAGGTAGATTACCGTACAGTAGTAACAGTACCAGTCAAATTACGATATGCATAAGGTAAGCCAAGATAGATGTAGATGTAAGATTACAAGTAAACTGCACTGCTTACTGTAGTCTGCTGGTGGGCGTTCTGAGCCGCGAGCCACGATCCACTTGCCGGCAGGTGGTGGTGTTGTTGCTACGAGTCGTGGATCGATCTACATCGTAGCTCGGTTTCAGGGTGCTCTTTTCAGGTTCACGAAACACCCGATGCCAAGAGCAAGGGCAATTGCAACCTCTCGTCCCCAAGAAACAATTAATCCGTGGCCTGAGAGAGGGCCATTCTTTTTACCGCGCTCGTTTGAAGAGATTGCCATCGGAGACCTTTGTCTTGGCTACTCTACCTATGGTATGGTATTCGTGGGTCGTTGGACGGTACGAAGAGGTACGGCGTCTTGGCCAAAGAGATGCCGAGATGAGTAAGTATCTTACGAAAGGACTGCAATTAGGGTCTAAGTTACAGCAGTCGTTGTCGCGTCAGTAGGTTTCTTTTGGGGATTCATACCCCCTGGAAAGGTACGAGTAACGAGTAGTAGTAGTAGTAGGGTAGGGGTACGTAAGGTACAGTACCAAGCGTTCCACAACCAGCGGCCAGCCACAGCCAGCCAGACACAGCAGCTACTGTAAGGTACTCGTAGACGCAGACAGAGTCAGGTCAGGTACTGTACTGTGCCCCACCGTACCCTATGGCAAACCCTAACCCGAAGCCAAACAACCCTTCCACGTCAGCCGCATCCACCAATCCACCAATCCAACAGTCTCTGCACCCTAGAACGGGCGCTAGGCCTCGTCAATCACCCCTCTCCTCCGTCCGTCTGGCTCTCATTCAAGCTTCATGGTCCCTTCTCCCTCGCCCATCCAATTATACGACCGCCTTCCCAAGCACAGACTGCGCCATGAGCCTCCCGGTACTTCCAAAACCTGCCCACCCTTTCCTTCGCCTGCATGGTCTCCGCAGTGAGAAGATTGCCGCTTCGGGCTTGTCTGCATCAAGTCGCTCCCCCACCATTATGCTGCGTCAAGTGTCTGGCATCTAGTGCCTGGCATGTTTTAACCCTGCCGTGCAAATCCCTATAGAAGCGGCCAAGACTTCATGCTTTAGACCTCTTCTTTCTTCTCTATTCTGTTTTGTTCTTCTTCGTGCAATTCTGTTCTTCCCGTCTCCAAGCCATTTCCTGTTCCTATATTGCTTTTCATCTTTCAACTTTCCTCGGGGCGGGTATCCATTTTCTGCTATATTCCTTCGTTGACTCGACCAACTTGGAAAACGTTCTTTCCTTCAGCAGAGATCCTCGAGAAACTACCACTCTTTTATAACTTTATTAAAGAAAACCACCTGGTGTGGGACCGTGACCGAAGTCATCTTCAATTCTCGCAACTATGCACTCATTATTACAAACACTCTTCCTCTTGACCATTGTTACACTTGCTCTTGCAGCACCAGCACCAGAACGCCATGCACCAATACAAAAACGAAGCTTCAAGGTCGAACGGGTACCGAACCCGAATTTCAAGAGAACTCCAGGAGCTGGAACGAGGGCGATGATCAAGGCACACCGAAAATATCTGATTCCTCTTCCACCAGGACTTGCCGATGCTATGTCTCAGGCACAAGGTGCTGGAGCAACAGCTGATACGGCGGATGCGTTGACTAATTCATTGGCTGGTCTTACTGGCGGGAGTGCTGGAACTGGAGCAAAGAAGGGAAAGGCGAAAGGGTCAAAATCAGCGTCTTCAGCAGTGGCAACGCCTACTGGAGCAGCATCTACAGCAAGCTCAACCGCCGCCGCCTCTAACGGAACAGCTGGAAGTGGAAAGGTCACAGCAACTCCAGAGACGGGAGATACTGAATTTCTCTCCCCTGTTACCATCGGTGGTCAAACAATGAACATGGATTTCGACAGCGGATCTTCCGATCTTTGGGTTTTCAACACTCAATTAAGTACAGCTTCGCAAGCTGGGCACACTGTCTTTGACTCGACCAAATCTAGCACCTTCAAGCTCCAGCAGGGTGCTTCCTTCACAATCTCCTACGGTGACGGGTCTGGAGCCGCAGGGAATGTCGGTACAGACACGGTCAACATCGGAGGCGCCAGTGTGACCGGTCAAGCCATTGAAATGGCTACTGCAGTCTCTAGCTCATTCGTCCAGGACACGCAGTCCAACGGCCTAGTCGGCCTTGCATTCTCCAAGCTCAACACCGTCAAGCCGACCCAGGCAAAGACATTCTTCGACAACGCCATGGCCACTCTCGCACAGCCCGTGTTCACAGCCGATCTCCGCAAGGCAGCCGTCGGCGCCTACGAATTCGGCAACATCGACTCGACCAAGTTCAACGGTTCCCTCAGCTGGGCCGCAGTCAACACCACGCAGGGATTCTGGCAATTCTCGTCCCAGAAATTCCAGGTCGGTACCGGCACCGCCATGTCCGTTGCGGGAGGCCAGGCTATCGCTGACACGGGAACGACGCTGATGCTGGTCAACGCAGCCGTCGTGAACGCATACTACAGCCAAGTGACGGGTGCGGTAAACAACCAGACGGTGGGGGGCGTGACGTTCCCTTGTAGCGCGACGTTGCCGGATTTGATGGTCGATATTGGGGGAAACTACATGGCGCAGATCAGGGGTGATGATATTAATTTCGCGCAGGTGGACGCAGGTAGTGCGAGTACGTCTTCCTCCCTCATCTAAACATGAAATCTCTTACTAACATGTGCATCAATCAGCTTGCTTTGGTGGAGTCCAGGCTATCGATTCCAGCCTGCAAATTTACGGCGACATCATGTTCAAGTCGCAGTTCGTAGCATTCAATGGAGGAAATAACTCTATTGGAATGGCTCCTCATCAATCGTAGTTTGATGGGGTCGGTGGTCGTGGTATTGTATTTATTAGTGTCTAGAATCTTTTGGCGACATGCCGAAGAGATGGATGAATGAATGGCGGGGTCGGTTTTTCTCTTGCCAGTGTACAAATTTTATTTTCATGCGTTAGACTGGAATAAAACGGGCATCGGAATGAGAACTTTTCAATGCAATGATACCCTCATACTAGGTTGGATTTGAATAATACAGTGCAACGATATCAGCTCTTCTTGTAACTGGATTCTCGAGTTATTGATTTTACCGTCAGGCAACTCTTTACGCCAACCAAAGCTCACTCAGTGCCATATAGATACAAATACAATTCCACCAACGCAATACGACAATGACAATCCAGAATATCATTGTTGCGCCTTGAATCAATTATCCCTCTTCAACTTCTTCGCATTATCATCATCATCATCAGTCTCATTCTTCCTCTTCTTTCCCCTATTCGCCTTCACATTCTCAGCCTTCTTCCCCGCCTGCCTAGCACTACTCCTCTCTCCCTTCTTCGGCTCTTTCACCTCCTTCTTATTCCCTTTCTTCGCGACACCACTGGGCCGTCCCCGCGAAGGAGCCTTCTTCTTCTTCTCCTCGGATCCAGATCCAGGTCCGGATTCCTGCTGCGTACTGCTATCAGACCGATTCCTCACTTTGCGCAACGGTGATCTTTCCATCGGCACATACGCCGTCCCCGGAACCGAACCTCGTTCTCCCGAAGGAACATCGCACAATCTAGTGATCTGGCGCGTGCTAGTTGCCTCGGGCCTCTTCAGCCGCAGCACGAGGGTTTTCGTGCGCTTGCGGGCCGGCTTGGGTAGAGGGAGAGCGATGTTCGAATCCGAGTCCGAGGTTGTGTTTAGATGTAGAGATGGATTCGATGGCTGCTGGAGATTGTGATTACTACTAACCTTTGTTGTCTCTGATTTCTTCTCAGAGGGCGATTTCTTGACTGGGGGGCCCTTTTGAGGCTTGTCTTTGCTGCCGGGTTCGTTGGTGTAGTCGCCGCCGCGCGCTTCGTATTCTTTGCCTATCTTTGCGGCCTGTGGGTGGGGTGGGTTGTGTTAGATGGAGGTCTTTGGGGATGGGTTAGAGGGGATGAAAGATGGAGGCGGGGTGGATAGGGACCTTCCAGGCGGCCATCTTGCCTTTACCACTGCCATCCTTGTTGGGTTGGTTCTTCACTTCTGTGCGTGGCGGCTGTTAGTATGAGAGTTTGTGCGAGGGAATGTAGATGGATGTATTTGCCTTGAGTGACCTTGTCCTTCAACTTCGGATCGGTGGGTTTTCCTTTTGCTGAAACCATGTTGCTTCGAAGTTGAGTGACTGTGTAACAGTAGATACTAATTAAGTCTAGTAATGTTGCAGGGTCTTGTGATCGATTTGACGCAATGATGCACACAAGGGAATTAATATTATCTGAACGGTACGGATTGAAAAGAAAAATGAGCTCTGTTGAGCAGGAGCGCAATATCCAAAAAATTGAGGAATGTAGGAAATTAAAGTGGTGGGAAAGTTACATTTTATAGAGCAGGTGCAGGCTCGAGGTGGTGATGTCAATCAATTTGATTGCAATGCATTGCTTGCGATCGATCGTACCTGCATAAGCGAATAGGCAATAGGGGCTAAATCTGCGGGCGTATTTAGCTTGAGTTTCTATTGACATCCGTCACTCCTGCTTTCTATATATATTGACGCAAGGAGCCGGAGTTGTTTCGAAACATATATATATATATATGCTTTGAGGATGAAAGTAAATAACAAGATCAGCTCTTCGTGAGCTCGGAAAGGTAGTTCTTCCACGCGACGGACGATGAAGAGTCTACTGCCATCATCTTCTCATGGTAGCTGTAGATACTGGTAGATATGCTTTTTGGATTGGAAGAATTTTAAAGAAGAGATGTTTTTTGTTTATGTGAAAAGAGGAATCAGAGGGTTTCTATTAGAACCAAGTTACCGCAGCAAGGTTAGTTTTGTACGCTTACTCAAATCCAGTCAGATTTGAAATCGCCTTCTATTACAGGATCCATTACATTCGCTCTCTAGCCCAAATAACTCTTTGCATTCAATAAGTTTGACAGTCTCTTTTTCCCTCCAAGATTCACGTCAGTGCCGACCTTTTCCGCGTTTCGTCGCCATACCGCCTCGCCTCTTATACCCAATACTTTCCAATCTCTCTCAAATCCTCAATCAACGCTGGAGGGTTGTCTACCCCCGCAAAATGGCCACCGAAGTCGTGATCTAAAGAATCTCTCATTAGAATCATGTCCTGATCTAGCACGCGGCATATAAGCTTGCTTACTTCGGTATGAAACAAGATTCCCAACTTGAGCAGCTAGTGCCGGTGGCCAAAAGCCAGGATTGTATTTGAAGCCGCTGAAAAGCATGGGTGCGTCGGTCTGCGCCTTGGTGTAGACTGATCTGAGCGCTGTGGGGTTCTGGAAATATATATACATGGACGAGATGACGCTTTTGGTGAGGTAGTACAGTGAAACACTCTTCAAAATCTCGGTGTGGTCGAGAACCGAGGGAGCCGTTCCAGCTTGAGGATCGGACCCTAGAGTTCGAATTGTTAATAAAAGGCGGCATCCTGGTAGCCTTCTGCCATTATCTACACTTACAATTTAGGAATTTCTGTCCAATCCAGGCGAGCTGGCCAACTGGATTATCATATAGGGCCAGTCCAATGGTGTTTGGCTAAATCCCAATGCTTAGATTCCCTGTTTGACAGGATAAAATGCGAGTTTAAATACGCACCTCCGTTGACTGTTCAACTGTGTAGCCAATCCCAATTGAACTAAAAACTGCAGCCTCTTGCGCTTCGAACGTCTCTAGTGGGGAAAGGCTGATATTCAGAGCATCCAGCTCACTCGGTGATTTGGGAAGAAAAGGCAAGAAAGTAAAATGGGCTGCCCGAACAGAACTATTGTAATTGTCATACAGACTATAAGCAATGAATGAGCCCCAGTCGGTTCCATGAATAGCGTACTTCGAGTATCCTAAAACATCAGACATGAGGGTATTGAAAACTCGAGCAGTGTCATCAAGTGTCCAGTTTTCGGGAGGTGGCGACGAGAAGGCGAAGCCCGGGAGAGAAGGTACAACGATGTCGAATGCAACGGGTGTGTTGCTGGAAGTTTTGGAGTCCTGCAAGAGTGGGTTGATGACGGGCAAAAACTCAAGAAATGATCCTGGCCAGCCGTGTGTAAGAATTAACGGGATTGCATCTGGAGCTGCTGACTTTTGGTGGATGAAATGGATGGTGAGACCTTCGATCTCGGCTGTGAAATGGTTGAACCTGTATGCATGACTTAAATTAAAAGGATGTTCGGAGGCCAGATTTAGAACAATTCTTTCTACTCACTCATTCATAGCTAGCTGTTCCTTGCCCCAATCAAACGCAGTCAGCCACTCTGCCCGAAGCGACTTGAGACTATCCAGAGGAATTCCAGCAGAGGCACCTGGATACTCGGGGTTTTCTGGTAACTTGGTGTTGGTGACCATATTAAGCATATGCGGGACATCGCTGGATAGACTGATTGTGAATGGGCGCAGATCGAACCTGCCGCTGCTATTGAAGCTGGACTGAGCAGCTGAAAACCCCCAAGTCCCCATTAGACTAAAAAGCCCAGAAACGTTCTTATACATGGTGGCGACTAGATTGCCCTGAGCGGTTATGCCAGCTGGTGCAGGGTAAGATTTATGAATTGAACGGGTCAAAAATCCGGCGTCTCTCTGCTCTTATATACCATGGCTTGCGGTAGAACTGTGACAGGGATTTTGGTGGATGGGGCTATAAAGTCAGGGACATATCGGAACGCACCTAGAAATTTACCATACGGCGCACAGTGGCATAGAGATAATGTACCTTGCTCTTAATACCTGGCATCTTGTATAAGGGATAAACTTCTACACTACCTCTATCCAAAGTTGACGTCTTGTTCAGGAATCAGGCAATCTCGTGGGTTTCTCCCGAATCGGCTTAGCTCCTTGTATTTCAGTCACGATTCGCGATGAATGTTGCAAATTATTGATGATCCTACTTTGCTACGTTTAATATTATAAAAACTTTTGCAAGGGTCAGGCCTACCCCTCGAGAAAATCTGCTACTAGGCAATATGGAAGTAGGGATGTTTTGTGATGGAAATCGGCTAAGGGGGAAGGCAATGTTGATAACTTGGCAGCCTTGGCTTGAAAGATGTGTCAATTCGGTTACCTACTGGAACTCAAGTTGAAGAACTATCACTTTTAAATGAACTTTCACCAGCTACAGGATTGACGATTCAGTTGGTAGTGAAAAACTGTTTTGGCATTTTATTTTTAGCATAGGTGGAGTTTGTTGAACATTAGGTCCCGGCGGCACTACTAAGAGCTTCAAGACTGACATGTATGGATAGAAATGTTTCCGAGAAATGAAATGGAAAAGCATACTCGGCTAGCATAAAGCCTCCAATTGAGTTTAGATCCGTAAAGAAGATGGCATACTACGACTGAAATCGCAGTTTGCTGGCAATGAATAAAGCCAGTCCAGAAATTAGTATAACGTGAGAAAACGTGTCAGCTCGGAAACTGAACAGCAAATATGATGCGCCGATACTCGTTGTTTCGTCATACTTTTAAGGTGTCTTTCGATATTCTAGTTAGGTCATTTTTATCTTGCGTCAGTCACTAGCTGCGCAAAACCCCAGAGCGAGAATAATAATAGGATGTATGGTTACCTAATTCTAGCTTAAAAGACCAACAAATATGTTTGAAAGGAAAACCTGAAAATTCCGACTTATAACACACTCTTGTGCAACTCTGGTTTTCCTCTTGAGCTAAAAAGCGGGCCGCAAAACAAACCTGGACTGGAATCACCAGGCATCTCATCAGTCAAAATGACAATAAGTCCCGGCCCAAGACTAAAGAAAATGGTACTTACTTTACCTCCATACCAATTCTCGAAAATTGAACTTTCAACTTTGAATTAAAACAACAATTCTACCCATCACCCGCGAGAAAACAGCAAGCAATCTCGCAGTCTTGCGTGCAAAACTCCAGCTCGGACCTTGCATATATACACTCCAAAACACACGACGGCATTTATCCATCCGTCATGCCAGAACGCGACATTTCCCTGAATGGCTGCAACGGCCTTCCGAGCAACAACGGCTCTTTCATGGAATCTCTGCAGGCAATACCAGTACCAGCTCAGCAACCCGAAGTCATGACCCCATCATCATTCGAAACCGATACCGAAGAGTTAAACTTCCTCTTGGACTATATAGACCTAGGCCCACTATATCTCGAATTATTTTCGGGAGAAGAAGAAGAAGAAGAAGAAGAAGAATTTACTGCAGAGGAGTTGCTGCTGTTGATTGTCGTACCGGCTATGCCATGGAATGAGGATGAGGATGAGGATGTGGATCTGGTGTGGGTGGATGAAGAGAGTGCTAGCTCGAGACCTCCTGCGTACGATATGCGAGACGAGCTCCCTGGCTATTTCGAGGAACCGATGCCGCCGAAGTACGAGGACTGATGGCGTGGAAGATGATGAGGCACCATGGTTGCACTTACTATAGTAGAACTTCTCCACGCAAATTGAGATAGATAGTACTAGCTCAAGGAGAGAAGATAGTAGGATACTCGAGTCGAGATTTTGGAGTGCCTTAAAGAGACTCAACGAAGAGGAATAAATCATACAGAATGAGATGAGAGAAAAAATTTGGTTTCCTATGCTGCTAGTTACTTAATCCACATGCTACTTGTATCGACAACTGGTATATATCAAACCCGCCACATAAATTACATCCAGCAAAGAATATCTACTCATTCTAGCCTTAGGACTTGAAAAAAAAGGACCCCCAAAAGCATCGTGATGTCAGAATTCGACATCTTTCGGTTTGGTATCCCAAGTTTGGAAGCGGATGCACTACCTTAGCCAACCTGTGAATTGCTTGACTGACTTCCCACATCACATCCCAGAAAATAAAAAAGCAAGCCATTCATTCATTCAGTTACTGCATATCACACCGCAGAATCCAATCAAAAATCCAATCAATCGCTCTTCGCACGCAATTCCCCCCCAAAATTACCTACCTCCACATCGATACTCTTCACCAAGACAAGCCATCCATACACAATTCCAAACCGCATTGCATTATAACTCATCGTAACTCACTACCAAGAGAACCCACTACAACCCCCCCCCCCACTTTCGACCACACGGAATGTATATCCCCCAATGGATGGAATACGCCATCTACTCGCTAGCAGCCCTCGCCTTCCTCCTCGCCATCAAATGTATCATTGATGCAAGCGACGCCGAGAGTGAAGCCTCCCATCCTCGAGGTCGTACGCGGAGACGGCGGCGCGCAGGCATGGAAGTGGTGTGTCCGGGCTGCGAAACCGTCATGTGGTATCTACCAACAGACGAGGAGGCTCGGCCGCTCATCTCATGAGCCGCGATTGTGTGTGTATGGAGCGGGACTTTCGTCCTGGATATGGAGCGAGAGCTCAGCTGCCGAGATATACTGAGGGGGATATGGCGCCGCCATATGAGCCGTATGCGAGCCTCTAGAGGAGAAAGACAGTGTGATATTGGATTGGATGCTTTTTGAAATTGGTATCTTTCCTGCAAGGTGCTATTGCAGGAACCTGAGGCTGGTGCTGGGAGAGAAGAATAACCTAGGCGGAGTACATCGAGGTACTTACAGCTGTAAGAAAAATCGAATGTGGCATTTCTAGAAGTACAGTTTAAAAAAGGGGCCAGTCGATCAATTGATCGAAGAAAATACGCTATTTGTCCCAAACCACCAGGCCTTGGGGTGAAGCGAGAGAATGATCCGCGATTCGAGTTGAGCGTACAAGAAATAGCATACAAGAAGAAAGTAAAGCAAGAAAAGAGACATTAAGGGGAAGAAAAGCTTAGCTGAGTAATAGTTCTACCTACTTGAGAAGATGGCAAGAAGCGATAGGCGACTGAAATTTGTCGCCAGTTTAGACTGTCTGAGCGGGCGCAAAATACCCGGGTGCATCTTTGATTGATGGGAATTGCAGGTTCTTGAGTATGCTCGAGGAAGCTTGAATATTAAGATGAAACCAGGTGGTTTTATGGATCCAGTCTTTGATTCGCCTTCATCAATCGTGTACCAATAGACCCTCGTCAAGAAACCTATCAAAACATGGAGCGGTATGAAATACAGAGCTGAGAGTTTGCAGGGCGACGAAAAACCGCATCTACCAAAGAACCACCTAGCATATGCTAAACGTAGAAAATATGTCCCGATTCCATCTCATCTCTACTTCTTCTGGGGGTACTTGTTCTTGAAAAGGTATCTGTGATGTCGTTAGCACTGCACTCAGGCTATCAAAAAGATATCCGACATACTGGCTCAGGTAGTAATCTCCAGCCGCAAAGAGACCCACGACTCCTGTCCAAGCACCAACAACCTTCCAGCTCAACTCTCCAGCAGCATACTTGCGATAAGCTCCAAAACCCAGCCCAGTGCTAATAGCTACAACCGCAACAGCATTTCCGATAAACACAGGGTTATCGCTGTTGGCCTCAAATCTGCCAGCAACCTTCTTTGCCTTGGCTTTAGCGTTCTTCTCATCCTTGGAGAACTCCTTGGAGGCCTTAGAAGCTGTCTCCTTAGCGCGTGCTTCAGCGGCTTCAGCTTCGTGCTCCAGGCGGTCCCTTTGTGTGTCGGTCTTAATATCTTGCGACGAGAAGTCGGAGGGTACGGTGTGTACGGAGTCGGTATCGACGTCGATGAGGGAAGAAGTGCTAGCGGATTCGTTGGCGATAATCTCTGGAGGAGCTGGGGCACGCGCCTGGAGGGATATTAGCTTGTTTTCTAGAGTTGCGAAAGTCTTAACGGCGAGCTATAGCATTCAAGAGCTCGAGGTATCGTTGGGAGATGGAGATTGCAACAAGTAGAGCTACATACCTCGTCAGCCGATTGCTTTGGCCCTTTCGAGGCAGCTGCTGCGTAGGACATGGTGATATTTGCTTAGATAAGGTCAGCTGGACAAATCAACACACGTATTAATATCGGCGCAAGCTGGAATACATACGAGGAGTGTTTGGAGGGTACTTTTGTGCGATTTGAGGAGTATCGTGAGGTTGACAGGCTGAAAGAAGTTGTGCTCATGTGAACAAACGAAACCGGGAAGAGGGAGGGAGACTCGCGTAGCCAAGCTTACAAAATCCACTTGACGACGTTGACGTAGGCGGCTGAAGCAATCAACACAGGACAGGTTAGCTTCAGGGAACCTTGGGGGTAAAACTTTGGGCAATTGAAGACTGCCAAAGACGGATTTGGAGGCTCAAGCTCGAGATGTCTGAAAGTTTATAGTTGTTTAGGAATTTTCTCTGTATGTTACAATATAATGTGCCTCGTGATGCCCTTCCTTTTGTGTCTAGTATAGGTACATAATACATCTTTTACAAAAGCCAACTTCTGGCTCAATCTATTTTGTGGCATCGTGTGCTGCCTTGGGCAACAGTTGGCTACCTTCATCCCCAGAATCTTGTGACTCGCCGACCGTTTCTTTCGCAGTATCGACATGTACTTCTGGTGCATCCAGGATAGGTTTTTTCTGCTCTTCCGCTGGGGGTGCAGGTGTTGGCGCGGCTGCTTCCTTTGGTGGCTCCTGGGATGTCTTGGGCGCTGATTGAGGAGCTTCATCTCCTGGTGCCGGCGACGCTTCTCTCGCACGAAGTTCCTCCTCTACCTCCTCCTCATCATCTTCCAACTCCGCGCCATACATCTCAGGGTGTTGGCGGAAACAGTCCTGCATACCCCTGAGAATTTATTAGCTTGCCCCGTAATAGCAGACCGGCATGCACTCACTTGAACTTCTCTATACACTCCACGCCCTTTGGCTCCTGGTCAGAGTACACAAAACAGCTGAAAGCTTCTTTGAACTCATCCCCACAAGGACCGTGTGCCATGCCTCCCAAACATGGGCAATCCCAATTAATCTCCCCAGTCTCCGGATTAAATGCCCCTTGTTGACCTGCCTCTTCCTCTAAACCATCCATACCGCCCTCCTCTTCTCCCTCCTCTTCAGCCTGTTCCTCGCCTCCCTCGGCCATTGTTTCTGCCGCTTGTTTCTGTTGTTCTTCAGCGATCCGCTGAGCGTACCGTTGTCTCTTCTCTTCTACAATCGCATCTACCGTCGGCAGCTCCGAATCTTGTATATGGTGTATCGATTCATCGAGTTTTTGAATAGAAGCTGTGAACCAATTAGCATCATCCGGGAGCTTTGATTTTACCATTAAAACTAACCCTCGGGTTCCTCCGCAAACAAACTACTCGTATTGTAATAGTAGACCGCTCCAGCAGCTAATGCCCATCTTGCAGCACTGCTCTTCCAACTCCTCGACTTCTGCGTCGGGGGAGCTGTGCTTAGAAATCGTGTTCGAGAGTTGTTGACGACTGTTCGGGATGGTAGTATGCGTCTAGGCGCAGCTCGTACGGCGGACTTGAACATGATAGGAAGCTCGAAACTAAAGACAGTGATTCGAGAATCTGCAATATGGAACAAAAGAAAGGTGGCGCGAGAACACTCAAGCTTGATGACGCCGGAGTTGTTTTGTAAGCATCTTGGATTCCAAAAATTGTTCAGTGCCACGTGACTAATCGCAACCACCATTTTCGCAGTGTCGATTCTTTTCTTTCCATCCTGATCTAACTAAATTTCAGCTTCATCTTTTCGATATTTGGTATGATAAAGCAACACTTCTCTCCATACCTTACCCAGCTCAAGCAGTTTCCCTGAATAACCGTCTATGTACAAGGATATAAAATAACTTGCATATTCAGACTCGCCAACCCCTTGGTATCTTCCGCCAATGGCAACGATTGAAAACATAATGACATGGCATCCGGCTGATGTCTTTTCGAACAATCCCATAGCACACAAGGACTGCGCTCTCGTCATTCTCAATCAACCCTTGGAACTCAAACCATCTTTTTACGCCAAGATATGGAAGAATTCTATCTACAGAGTCGCCGCCGATGGAGGTGCGAATCGGATTTATGATATCAATACTTCCCATGAGGGAGATGATCTTACGTTGGATCTAGTCATTGGAGATTTAGATTCCATTTCCGCAAAAGCTACGAAATATTGGGAAGATAAAGGTGTCAGGATCACACATGATTCGGACCAATATTCCACGGATTACATGAAAGCTGTCAACTATATTTGGTCTGAAAAGCCGAAACCTCTCAACATTGTGGCAATTGGAGGACTCGGAGGACGAGTTGACCAAGGCTTATCAATGCTGCATCACCTCTACCTCTTTCAAAAAGACTATACTTCTGGCAAAATGTTCCTCCTTTCAAGCGAAGGAGTCACTTTTCTATTGAAGTCTGGAAGACATCGGATAAAGGCTAAAGAGACTTTCCAAGGCATTAGCTTAGGCAAACATGTTGGCATCATACCGATGAAGGAGCCATCTATCATCACGACCAAGGGCCTAGAGTGGGATGTCACAGATTGGCCAACGGAATTCGGTGGTCAGATCAGCACGAGCAATCACGTGCAGGAGGAATGGGTAACGATTGAGACAACGAAGGATGTTCTTTTCACGATTGATTTGAAATTTCTCCCACAAGAGTCTGGCTGAGAGAGAGGTTCTGTCAGAATTCGAATACCAGACGCGCACTACCATCTCTCCAAATCAAGTATGTCGGGAAGTACGGGAATATGTTATAGACCCAGCTCGACTACTTGACCAAGCATCATTTCCTGCTTCCCGTATCTCCTCGACCTATCGAGGAAACTGCTTGGCTTTTAAGTCGCTTGGAAGTTGGAACGGCCAGTAGTTAACTCGTACAGTGTTTGACGGCCTCCCCCAAAAGGACCCCCAATGGCAACGTGTACAAGCAGTAAAGGACCAAGTAGGCCATACGGGTAGCAGTGAATAGCGCTGATTAGGCAGAGTATCTCGGATGGTTTGGGATAGCCTTTCTGAGAGTCTTTCATATGATATGCTACACATGACACCTGGGAATTGATTCTACATACCATCATTCTTCTTGACTCTGGGATTCTTTATTTTGGTATCTTTTTACAGCCTAAGCCCATCGAGGCCTAGGTAATGTTGAGCAAGTCTCTTGATCCGTCTGAGCAAGCGTAACGCAGCTTTCTCAAGGGCAAACTTATTAATGGAACAGATCAAGTACTTACAAACGCCATTATACCCTAGAGTTCTGCAATCTGGACAACAGCATAACTTGAAACTCATCAAGGGGCGCGTCCCATATCGGCTTTTTAATCAAGACGAGAGCGGGTAGGTCGCCATTTAAGGCTACCCGCACATCTCCAAGGTAGGTCAATTAGTAAAGAAACACCCATAGAACATTCACTTTCGCCTCTAGCACTCGCACTCGAGCACAGCTTCACGTCTCCTACCTCGAGAAAAAGGCATCGACAATGACCTTTCTGCGCGTCACTCCAGGGCACTGTGGCAGCGATGGATCAGTGGGGACAGCATCAACTCGGTCCGACTCTAGGCAATGCCACAAAAGCAGTCGACGATTTCGGGAAGGATAAGCTGCGACTGGCGCTCAGTGAAGTTTGCAAGAACCTGGACGGATTTGGCAAGACGAAGCTGGGCCCTGTATTAGTAGGCACAGGAGCCGCTTTGGAAGGCTTTGGAAAGAACAAGCTAGGACCCGCTCTCAGTGAAGTTGCAAAGGCTGCGGATCATTTTGGTCATCATCATCTTGGACCTGCTGTTGGAGGAGTCGGCAAGTCCCTTGATGAAATTTGGAATGACCAAGTTGGATCCTGCATTGGGGGAAACCGCAGCGGCTCTTGATGACTTCGGTAAAAAATAAGTTGCGACCTGCTTTCGGCCAAGTAGTAAAGACAGCAGATCATTTCGGCCAGCACCAACTTGGACCAGCACTGACAAGCTCTCCGGAGAATCTGGCAAGTGGATCAAGGAGCACCCCGGACGGACAGCTCTTCTTGCTACTAGTGTGGCTACAATAGCTGCACCTAGTATCGTGAGCGGACCTTTACTCTGGGCTTTCGGATGTAGACGTACTAGTACACTAGGAGGTTAGATCTTCTTTTTCTTCTTCTTCTTTCTTTCGGCCGTATTTATTTCTCTGTGGCTTTTGGTAGTTATTTACTTACATTCGGGATATTTGTAGGATCGGCAGCAGCTGTGGTTCAGTCTACGGTGGGCAATCTAGCTGCTCGAGGAGCAACTGGCATGGCTTTGCAAGACAGCGCTACATTTCCTGAACACCAGTTTAAGACACACATTCTCCGAATTCAAGTATTGTCAGTATCAATAGGAGCATAATGCTGCACCCGAGAAGCCAATTCACAAGCAGTAAGAAGAATTTTGATGAAGAGCATTTTGAGATCTATTCGGCTAGAAAAGTCTCGCAGATAACTCTTTTGTTAAGCCTCCACACCTCCACAACCTCTCCTAACCATCCTCCTACACCATCCACAGATCGCGAAAGACGCCTCTTCTAGTTACCTGTACGGTTGTCCTCACTCGCCTGTTGTCTACTAGCCTCTCCTGCCTCCCATTCCTTTTGTTCTTCCTCCAATTCCCTTTGTTCTCTCTCCCCCCTTTCCCTAGCCCTTCGTTCTCTCCTTTCTTCTGCTAACACATCGACAGCTATCTCTCTGCAATCTTCGCAGAAGCGTCTCGGTTCTTGTAAAATGGTGTTGTCGTACGGTGCCACCTGAAGCCCGGCTTCTACGTTCCAGGGACAGTTAACGATGTCACGGTCCGGGTCAGTGAAATAACCGCAGGGGATGTCGCCAAATACTTCGTGGCCGCAACCATACCTTGTGAACTGAGTGTGGAACATGGCTTGTATGTAATGTTGAGGCACTGGGTATTCGCGTTGATCTGGTTAAGTAACAAGGTAACTGGTATCTTAAGTGTAGCTTATGTTGCAGTGAACGTCTGGTGGTGTCGATCGATTTATCTTATACTTTGCGTGTTGGTAGTTTTTGAGAGTGCAAGGAAAAGGGGACAAGAAGGAGTTTTTTATATAATTCTTATTGGCAGTTGTGAATCAGAGGGAAGACGAAAGGGAAGGCAATAATACCATGATTGTTCTGCTAATGGGAACTTCAGTGTAGATGCTACAATCACTTGGTCTGTATGTACAATTCGTACAGCTCCACGTTGAAAAACCACCCACAGACGTACTGCTGTGGTGTTGGGACTGGTAGATGATTGTCCTGTCTACTTATCGAAAGGTTGATGTGGCTAAGCCTAAGCGAGAGAAAAGGGGGCACCATGTAGCCGCTATCTTTCTGGCAAGCCACGAACATTCAGAGCAAATACTCTCGGACATTAACTTGATTATTGCCAGAGGACGCAGAGGATGTAGAATAACGGATTCAGCTTGCAGAGTGTGAATAAAGCATTCGAACGATTGTTATCTCGCACACAATCTACATTTGTATCCCTTTTCCTCTATACTCCGTACCCCATACTTCATACCCCATCCTTCCCACAATCAACTCATCAGCGGTAGCCGAGTGGATGGACCCTTCCACACCATTCTCTATACCCTAGAGTTCCAATACAAAATAGACCCGAGATTGATAACCGCAGCGACCCACGGCCCAACGACTTGCGGTAGCAAGGCGAACATTCGTAAGAAGATGGCGAATATTCTAGCGGTAGTGTTGGGGAAGAAGAGCACGGCGATGATTTGGAAGAGGGGGAGCATGGTGTTTGTTTGTGTGTGTGCTGGTTTTGAAAGGGAAAGTTAATGTGGAAGTTGCTGTGGAAATGGAAGTGGAGTTGGTGTATGGAATGGTGTGCCAGTTCTTCTCGTGAAAGCTTTGGAGGTAATATCGATGTAAGAATCAATTGATAACTTGAAGGTAATATGAGATGATGATATGAAAAAAAATGCAAATTTTGGGAGGAAGGCACGCATGCAGGGTATCTGAATTCCTTTCTGATCTGGTTGAACTAAAGTCTCGAATTCGGTTTCTTTATTTGTTTATTCACCCACCTGGTCTGTCTCGTCTCGGATCTAGCGAGTATTATAATTGGGTATTCTCTTCCTAAATCCCCACTGCGATATCGAGTTTGATCATGACATAGCAATAGAAAGCTGAACGAAATCTCGGGCACGGACGGGTAACAAATACTAGTCCAGACTGAAACCGCATTGTAGACTGCAAGCCTCTTTTGCTTGTCTGGAATTTTAAGGGAATTCAGGCACACCTCAATCAGATTTTGCTCCTCCTGACCATGATTCTTCCTATAACCTTAGTAGGCTGGTTGGTTCGTCATTCACCATGTACCACAGCTAGGGGTCTGGGACGTTACTCATCCTGCTCCCTTTTGTACTCCTCTTCAGTAAAATGCGCGTGACTATCATCAGCACCACTGAACATTCCAACTGCACCTCCAATAGCAGACCCAAACCTGGTCAACCCATGCACAGCCGCAACCCCATACCCACCCATCTGCGAGCTTGTTAGATACGCAATGGTGCTTCTTGCGCCTACTTTCCCTACTGCCGATTGAATCATCGCTGCTGTACTTCCTGGTTACATGTATTAATATAAATTCTGAAACCGACAAGAGAGTCAGAAGCGAGGGTAAGAATGCATGTCATAACATGAAGGTGTAAAGTGACCTTTCGCAGAGTGATAACTCACCTGCCCTCACACCAGCAGAACCCCAACCAGCAGCCCATAGTACAGGCCCAGCGATGATACCAGGTGCGAAAAAAGTCAGCGCATTGGCGGCCATCCAAGCAGTCTTTACTGGGTGTCCTTTTGCATGTTTCAAGGCCTCTTCTGGAAATCTCTGCGCCTTCTCTAAGATGACATGTAGAACCGGTTTACCAACACCGTCATCGCCTTCATCGGCAATAGCCTCAAAGAATTCCTGGCCATAATTCTCGATTGCTTTGATGCCTTTCTCCAGTGCTGGAGCCAGGGTATTCTTTCCAAACTTGTCAGCCTCCGCTACAGCAGCTCCAAGATGCTGTCCCCCAAAACCGCTCGCGGTCTTGAAGACCTCTCCAGCAGCTGGTTCCAAAGTCTTCTTCCACCAGTCTCCCAAAGCCTTGAACCCTTCATCAGGCGTAATAGCATACCCAACTTGTCCGAATTGGATTGCAGAATACAGGCAAACGGTAAACAAAGCTTGGAGCTTCATTCTTGATACGCCGTGCTCCGTACCGAGCGTGATATCGGTGCAGCCTCGTGTGTGGTGGAGAAGGATAGGTACCTAGATAGGTGTCGTACGTCGAGGCGATTGAGGATAAATAATACAGACGAATTTGAGGTTGACTGTTTATTGTTTTGCGTTGTTTTGATTTGGCGCTGTATAAAGGAATATGGGTAAAGGGAAGGCATATCTAGACACGCTAATGGGCGCTAACGCCCCCCTCATCACGTGTACGTGACACAAGATCGTGACGCCTCAAAAGCCTCTAATAGTATCTATGTAAAGGGGAAAGTATATAGGTAAAATTCAAACAAACACCTTCCACTTATCCTCTTACATACCTACCTTCATATACATATGCATAAATAGATCATTCGATACCTACCTACCTACCAAAAATCCCCCCAGGAGGATTATCCATTCTTGTTGCACGAGTGTCCTCGGTTGCATGTTCAAGTTCTCGTAGGAGAATCAATTATATATATATACTGTATTGATACCTAGCTAGGGAAAGAACTGCAATACAGCTAACTAATCGCATAGTAGGGCAAAATAAAATTCAGAGGTATAAATATGTCATAACCCATTATCCATCATCATCCTAAGCCACCCACCGACTTCCGACCCATTCATACAATCATAATAATTTCCCTAAAAAAGGTTCATCTATCTCAACGCTTGACATCCGCGACCTTCTGTCCCTCAAGCGGCTCTCCAGGTCCACTTCCATAAGCAGGCGGAGCGGCCCGTCCGTACCCCACAACATCAGGGGACTCCCGTCCACCAGTCATACTAAGATCATCCTTAAAGCGTCCCTTGCCATCCTTGACTGAAGAAGCCCCCGAACTCATCACACCTCCATCACCACCACCAACGATCAAATCTCCGCCCCCGCGAACCTTGCCAACAACCATACCCTTGGCGACAGATTTGACAACAGCTTTCCTCGACACGCCTGCAGCGTCAATATAGACAAGTCCAACGTTCTTGAAACCACCACCAATACTCTTGGAGATTTCCCCAGCTTCTGGTCCATATTTGTGGCCTACGACCGTAGTAGCAGCCGTCGAGGTAGAAGCAAGGAGGTTTCGACCCGCTTGATCAATACCATCAGCAATGGTAGAAAACGCCATCATGCTCTTATTCAATAAACCAGGCTTATATTCATCCACCAGCGTGCCATCCGGTGCAATGCCCTTATGTGCCTTCGTCCCACGCTTTGAAAGCGTAGCTCCGATGTTCTGGGCATATTTGCCTACCTGACCTACGGTTTTAGAACTCAGGCCTGCTGCCCCTTCAGTGAAGGTATGGACTTTGCGGACGCGAGCCTGGGTTGTAGGGGTAAAGGTCATGGGCTTGGAGTTTGGCTTTGTCTTTTGCGTGAAGGACTCGGCCTGGGTTGTTAGGGTTTTGGAGACGAAAGATGAGGTTGTGACGATAAGGCGCGACGCCATGGCTGCTTTGCCGACGAGGGTAGAATTCTTGTAGGCAGGATGCATAGACATTTCGAGGTACTCTTTCGAGGCTGGGGCCACGCCGATGTTTTGAGAACCATCTTGTGGGAGAGTGATTTCGACAGGGTCTGGTGGTCGTTAGTGATGTGAAAGGAACATGATATTTAGAGATGCCATGGACTTTGCCATTACTGATGGGACTACAAACCTTTAGATCCTGGCTTCATCTTTATATCTTCCACGACATGGAAACCTTCACCAAGTTCCCCAACTACACTTCCATTCTCCTCATCAACCAGCACAATCTGACCTCCAGCAACCGAACTAGAGCTGCCTGGGACATATGCCTCTCCTGGTTGAAAAGCAGAGGGATCGTATGCAGCAATAGGAGCACTCTTTTCCTTTGACTTACGAGACCTAGCGCTCTTTGGCGGCGGGGCACGCTCCAAAAATGCCGTACATTGGGCGAGAATTGTCTCAAATGTATCGACATCCTCTTGAGAACCCTTGCCACTCCCTACACCAGGGAATTCTATCCTTGTAAAAGCCCCACTCTCTGGACCCAGGTCCCATCTTGGGATTAGGTAGCTATTGGGCGGTTGATGGTAGATTTGGGTGGTTGCAGGAAGAGGGAGGTCGAGCTCGGGAGGTAGATGGAGATGGAGGTAGAAGTCTTCTTCTGGGGCCTGGGATTGTGGGTCGGCGGAGGATAGGTCAGAGAATGGTGAGGAGGTCGGGACCATCAAGAGGGAAAGAGTTTGGGGGCCTGAAGCTGTCAAGGACTCCTCTTTGCCATTCTCGATATGGTAAGCATTAATGCCATTGATGGCATAGAGAAGCTTGGGGTCCTGCTGATATCAGTGGGATTGCGGTGGTGTAAGGGATCATTTAGCAACTCACATTGTGTCCTGAAGACATAGTGCTGGTTGACGAGAGTTCTTGTGCTAATAAATCAAGTTCTCATGCAGGTACAGTGCGGAGGATTGATGAGGGGAGGGGCAAGAGAGGGAAGAAAGCAGTGGCGAGGAAATTGCAGTGAAGTGATCAGTAGGGTAGGGTAGGGTAGGGTAGGGTAGGGTAGGCTAGGCTATGTTCACACAAACAGAAGGAGCATGTAAGAAGTTTATAATACTGTACATTCTAAGTTAAGAATAGCGAGCGGCCGAAGCGGTTATCAACATCGTTCCAACATCCACGATAGTGTTTGAAGCGCGTAACAGGAATGCTTGGAAGCCAATGTTGAACCAATGACGTGAGGATTAAGCCACCGGCGTGTAAAGGTGGCGCGCGCCGTGTTGCCCCTCACTTGGCGTGGTAATCAGCGGCTGCGAGGGGAGGGCGGCTGCTGGAGTGCTAGAGATTAGATTGGGTTGAGCAGTTCTACACATAGTGCCAATTGTAAGCATCTATCTCTATTGCTGTTACAAGTACTTTCTTGAGGTTGTGGATGGCAGTGTTATAGATTGAAGGCAGATCCCAGGTACCGTGCATTTTGAAAATGGTGCCAAGAGTTATGATCATTTGGGCTGGCACCCATTTAGAATTTTACGAGTAGGTAGAGAGAGAGTCTTACCCTCGTGGAAAGAGAGTGCTGAATGATTGGGAAACCGTCCTATACATTTAAATATGCCTGGTGGCTTAATCGGAGTGATCGGGGTGACAGGATATGGGAATGGGAATATCTCGGATTTGAATAAACCATTTTCAACTTCTCCTATCTCCGACCCCACCAGATGGAAACCGTTACGCTCCGTACAGCCTTCTGAAGTTCTGCGTTGTTTAGTAAGCATGTGACTGGTATTGCGACATCTAGAAGACTAAGCTGTTGTGACCAACACCGGAATCGAGCTTCATTCATGCTGTGCGTTTGTTTTCGGGACTGACAACCATCAGCTCAACCTGGAAATGGGGACTGCGGGGAAGATTTATAGTGTTTCGCGTATCACAGAATCTCAGACGGAGACGTTGGAATACCGACGTCTATTTCTCGGACTGAGAAGTGGAAGTGGAAGTGGAGAGGGGCTTTTTCGTGTGAGGACTGGTGGCCCGATGTCTTAGATGCCACTCCCTCCCACTACGGAGCACTCACTGCGTGCCGGGAAAGGAAGGGGCGAGTTTGCGAGGAGGGGGAGTCCAGAGCCGAGGTTCCGTGCCAAACCATGGATTCCTGCTTCTCCCCGAGATTTCCCAGAGCGGATACTTGGTCCGCCAGGTGTTGAATATCGGGATTCTGTTGATTGAATGGGACAGGACTACTATTATTGGATTGGATTGGATTGGATTGGACTGCTGTCTGTCCCTCCGATGTGTGACAGAAACAGAACATCACAGACGGCACACTTCCCTTCCCTTACAGCTAAAAGAAGGCTACAATAAGTATTCAATTAATGGTAGCCGCCCTCTCCTTCCTCCCTTCCCTGCGCCGATTCGCTTCATGTGGCATCAGCGATACCTTAGTTTGCCCGAGTCATGCTTGGATTTCGGCAAGTGATAGGCCATCATTTGAGGCCTGTCCTGCCTGTCAGTGGCTTTCGTCTCGGAGTGAAAGCAAAAACAAAGGGGTGCTTATGAGTAATCATGAACCCGTATATACCGGGTGTTGTGTTAATTCTCGTCTTACCATTGCCCTGAAGATGTTTCTTTTTTTGAAAGTTGCCGAGCCGATCAGCATTGGATCGGTACCCGCCGTCCTTTTTAAGCCTGCCTCGCCTGGCCTGGTTTGGATTATGTGCACGCACCCACAGACGTCTCCTCACCCGGCTTGCCCGAGAATAGATCCGCGCCCGAAGCCTCAGCCAACCCAACCCAACTACCCAGCAATAGGGTACCCGTACATAGCTACCTAGCTTCCTACCTACGGAGGTACTCGTAGACCTTCACTCCCTCCATTCCCCCCCCCTCCCCCTTCCCCTCCCCTCCCTTCATGTACCACTTGGTCGTATCGTACCTTGTCTGCAAATCTTTGTTCAATACATGTATCCTTACCATCCAGTGTAAATCATCTACATATTTCACTCCGTCCCAGGAACTCAGTATTCATTCCTCTTTGTATCCCCCCCCCCCACCTAAGCCTGTTGTCCTCCCCAATTGCGCTTCTTAGAACCCATTGGCGATCGGTTACCTGCCTGCGCGCGTCGCGATTCCGATTGTCGTACAAACTCCTGGCCAGCTTTGCCCAACCTGCAGCGGCCCATTCCCAGTGTCGTCTCTATATTCTGATTGATGGGCGTCTTCAAACCACCAATCCATACCTCAACCCAGCTCCCCCTCAGTTTCGGGTCTCAAAGAGACCCCAACCGCCAAAATTCCCTCCCCTCACGATCTCGCCGCAATTCTCTCCCCCTCGGCACCACCTGAAGAAGCAACGGGCGGTGCTTCGCGGTCTTCAACCCCCAAGCGCACCCACGCTGAAGCTTTCTCCTCCCGAGACCAGCCCTACCTCCACCCAGCTTCGCCCACCCAAATCCGAGCCAGTATTGCTTCGACGGGCGAGCCAAGCCCCGGCACACGGGGGGCGGAGGATGGGAATGGTATGGAAATGAGAGGAGGGCAGGAGGAGAAAAAGGCGCCCAAAATGGTTCGATCTAGTATTGCTTGCGCAAGGTGCCGGCGCAGCAAGGTCAAATGTGAGTTATACCGCGCCGCGCAATTGGGCATTTCACAACACCAGGACCAGACCAGACCCGAGGGAATATATATGATCAAGTGATCTTGAGTCACGGCCATCCCTGGTAGAAGTTCTCGTTCTCGTCCTTCCCCCAAAGCCAACGGTTCACAGCTTTTGAGTAACGTTCGACTGATCTTGTTCCCAGGCGTCAACACCGGGGTCAACTCGGTATGCAAAGCCTGCGCTTCGAGCAATAGGGATTGTACATATCCCCAGGCAGGTTCAATGCCTACTCCGAAACGATCTGATGCCTCCGCTGGTATTAAACAAGAGGAAGGCGAAAGCAAGAAGCGCATTAGGAAAATCGAAGATTCGGGAAGGAGAGCCAGTCACAGGACTGGCGAGGATGTACTGGATTCTGACGTTCTCACCAAGAAGGTGTGGGATGAAGTTTATGATATTTTCAAGCTACATTTCTCAACCGAGATGCCCTTCCTTCACCCGCCAACATTCAAAAACCGAATGCGTCAAGCTTGGTCCCCTAAAGACCCCTCCATTTCGGCTCCAGATTACCATCACGGAAGAGTCTTACTTCTGGGTGTTTTGACTCTCACTGCTCGATTCCAGCCGGATCTTGTTCGTCGCCATTCTCCCAATCCTCACCAGCCCGATCCGATTGCCGCCAGTGAGTACTACGCTACGGCACTTGCCGATGCGTTTGGGCCGACTAGCAGGAACTTGACCAATCCTTCGCTAGAAGGAATACAGGCGCTTCTCATGCTTGGGTTATATGAATGGGGTCAAACCAAGGGACTCAGTGCCTGGGTGTATGTTGGTATCGCGACGAGACTGGCTCAGTCGATGGGATTTCCTTATGTGGATGATCCTCGTGCTCCTCCGAGATCTCCGATCTCAAATGGTGCACTCACAGGCCAACCGGCTGTGTCCCCACGTCAGGAGCTGACTGAAAAAGAGGTCCGGAGACGCACATGGTGGAGCTGCTTCATTATGGACCGCATGCTATCTGCTGGGAAGTGTAGGCCAACAATGATAGACGTTGAAAAATTGCGCGTCCAATTGCCCTGCTCCAGCGATCAATTCCTCTTTGTTAGCACCGCCGAGACAGGGTTCTTGAGCACAAAGTGGTTAAAGGGGGAACGGCCTGGAGGGGTGACGAATGATGACAACGTTCTGAGCTGGTACATTCAACTAGTCGAAATCTTTGGGAGATTTTCTGAGTGGAGTTACGCTGGCGGTAGAAGAACCGAAACCCTACCTCCATGGGACGAGTCCACGGAATTTTATAAACTACGTCACGAACTGGAATCCTTCAACAAAGCTTTACCATCGAGCCTCGCTTTCTCCGACGCCAACCTCTCTGCGCATATCGAGAAACGCAACGCGACCGCGTACACCTCGATGCATACATTGTACCTGCTTTGTCAAATCATGTTGCATCGAGAGTACATACCGTTCATCCCACTACGTTCAGAAAAACCATCAGGACCCTTAGATGAGCCGAAATTCTCATCTGATGAGTTTGAAATCCCTGCTGGGTTTTTTGAAGAGAGTGCGGAGATCATGTTCAAAGCAGCCAAAGACATTATCAGCATCGTGAAGACATGCCAGGAAGAAGGAGCCCTTCCAGAATCTCCTCAGATTGGATTCGCGGTCTGGCAAGCTGCCTTCATATGCCTATACGGTGCCTACTTCCCCCATATGGATACTTGCCGCCATGTGCAGAGCGGACCACCAGGGCAGATGTCAGATCCACGACACGGGTACTACACTGAAACCTCTTCCAAGATGTTGAAAGACATGGTCCCAATGCTAAAGATGGTACAAAGCTACCAATCTACCCTCAAGGCGATGCGCAGGTACTTTGCTGGGGCAAAGAAAGAGTACTGGGAGCACACTGAAAACCATAAGCCTATCAGTTGGCATGGGGGTAATCTACTCGAGTATGAGAAACAAGAGAAGAGATTGAAAGAATTTGGAAGACTTAGCGACGCTGCGGAGGCTGCTGATCAACCACGATCCCGAGCAGGTACCAATGACTCTGCACAGCCTCCAAGTGCCAACGGGGAACCAATGCAGGGTGTTGAAGTAGCTCCGACATCGCGATCAAATGGTACTGGTGCCTGGGCGGCCATCAATAATAGCCCTCCACCCCATGAGGCAGGTGATCGTTCAAAGTTCAGTTCTGGCGGTCCACACCCGTACGGCGCTCCTTCTGGATACATGCAGACTACTGGCCCTCAGTACCAGCAGTCTCTTAATCAATCCAGCATACCCAGCCTCGCCAGTCCAAGCAACGGCGATTCTTCCGCCCTAAACTCCCCACCCGCCGTTGCCCAAGCACAGCAGTACAATATTGTAAGCCAAGGTTATTCACCAGGTGTACTACAAACCCAAGTAGGAATGGCTCCGCCGGCACACTCTGGTATGGCTATGTCTTCTACTTGGCCCACCAAGATAAAGGGCTACGAATCAATCGGCATCAGTGGCATGGATAACTTTGGCCAAGTGTATAACCAGACGGGAGGAAATTCTTTGGAGTTTGAGACAGAAGCACCAGGCTATATCCAAGCCGTCAATGGGACCTCTGAGTGGGATCCATATACCCAGAGTCAGTATGCAGCTTATGCTGCCTAAACATGAGCTCAGGTAAAGTGTCTAGGGCGTGGATACACTTGTTTTTCATCAAGTGACATGTAGGATGGAATGGATGATCGAATGGCTGGAGTTTTGTGTTCCTGTTTTACTGGGCGATTGGAGTGAAGTCATGTAGTTGCTGAGCGAAAAAAAATCATTACAAACTGTTGCTGTTTTGCGATTTCATGGTCAAGAGTTGGATTTATGGGTGCAATCCGGAGGGCTGTGCAGTCATGCTACAACCTTAGCATAGTAATGAAGTGCATGTTTTATACTAACAAACGACTGTGGAGTATTGTTATAGTGTGCGTTAGCAAGAGCAATGATCAATATTCTATAGTGAAACCAGAAATCAGAGACTTCCATAAGATTCAATGAGTCCACAGTATACTTTGAAAAGCATAACGGGTTTCTGAAAGTATAATAGGAAGGTCAGAATCATAATTAAGTTATAGGACGCTAGCATAAGAGGGGAGGGGATAGTCATATATCGTGATGCAACCGAGTGAAGAGTTTCATGGTCCACGAGCTTATGTAAGCAACTAAGTCCAAGACGCGTCTCCCAACTTTGTCCTGTACGCGATTTAACAACTGAGACCAAGCTAACGTCCCCTCCATGCCTTACACACAACCTAAATCTTTCAGATGAAGTGTTATGGTGCGAATCAATGTGCCGATTTGAGATTCTCGGCTCCATCATATTGCTCTCCCAAGACATTCTCGACAAATTCCGCCCTCGAAACCCCGAACCGTAAACCCCACCCCCCTCTTTCAAATTACTTACTACAGTATACGACCATAGCTAACCAATTTTATAGACCAACCCCATCTCCACCATGCTCCACGAAATTCTCCTTTCCCTCTCGGGCCACCCCTCCCCTCTCCTCACCACCACCCACTCATCCCCCACCTCAATACTCTCGCCCCCAGAAAAAGCCCTCCTAGCCTCCATCGCCCACCTAAGTGACATTCACTGCAAGCTCCTCGCACACACAGCAAGCATCTCCTCCACGCACCCTAGCAGCATCTGCCAAGCTGTAGCAACAACCATCCGCTCCGTGCACCTCGCTGCCTTCCAACGCAAAGTGTTGCAGGTGGAAGAAGGCATCTTGAAGAAGGATGCGGGAAGCGTCGGCGCGTATAATATTGTGCCGTTGACGGGGGTGGTTGAGGAGTTTGCGCCCTGGACGAGACGCATGGAATGGTTTCTACGGGTGGTGGATGTTATGAGGGGGAGGGAGCGTAGTGGTGCGGCAGTCATTGATTGGCTTTGTAAGGAGCTGCAGACGGGGTATGTGGATGTTGAGGAGGCGGCCGGGAGTCTTGTGAGGGTTGCGGAGACGGCGTGGTTGAAGCAGGTTTCGGGGTGGGTTCTTTATGGGCGGTTGCCGGGCTTTGGGAGAGAGGACTTTTTTGTGCAGGTGGTTGAGGGGGATGTCGAGGTAAGGATTTATTGTGAGGGGGGAGTGATGTGGTATGGAGCTAATGTGGAACAGGAGTATGAGTCTAAGAAAGAGTTGCTACCTGCTTTCGTCTCAACCCCTACAGCTGCTTCTTTGCTCTTCATCGGCCGGTCGCTAATCATATTCGAGTGAAAGGCATATCGAGTGCTACTTCTCCCGAGCTGGAACTCCTTTCCTCTCACCTGAAGGAACTCTCAACCTTGAAATTTCCAATTAACGGCGCCCATTTCTCAAGAGTTATAGCTTCCATCCGTCTATCGTTGTCTCAAACTACACTCCAGCAGCTTTTACCACTGAGCAAAGTCATGGAGATATTGTCACTTCTGCGGCAATTCTTCTTACTCAGCCGTGGCGAGTTTGCCATAGCATTGATCAGTGAAGCAGATGAGAAAATCCGTTCACGATGGCGTCGTTCAGATAACTTGAGCTACGAGAAACGAGACGACTGGGGAAATATCGTTGTCAAGGACGGTGAGGTCTCTGCAGTGTTGGCTCGCACGTGGGCGGAGATGAGTTCATTACAGGGCCACGATGAAGATCAAGACGAGGATGAACTTCTAGAACTCGCAAGAGACCTTGTTCAATTATCAATCACGAAATCTACTTCAGCGACCCCTGGAAAAAGCCCAAGTGCAGCAAACTCTGCAATAGCTTCGACCCCTTTCCGAAACTTGCTACTATCGGTTCCAGTTGCGTTGTCGTTACAGATACCGTCGCCGCTAGACCTTTTTCTCGCCCCCTCGGATGTGCAAAGCTATTCCAGCATCAACGCATACCTACTATCAATACGCAGAGCCCATCTACGATTAACAGACCTTTGGAAAATCACCTCACTCCGACGAGAGCATCCCGCACCCCCCGGACCTCCGTACGGCAGCTCAACAACCGGTCGCAACAAAGTCCTCAGCCTACGCCAACGAGGAAAAGAACGAGCCGCCACCATGCGCGGGGTATGGGCAACCAGCAGCGCGGCCGTCTTCTTCCTCGGCGAAACCGAAGCATATCTCCAGGGCGAAGTAGTAGAGGGAACCTGGATGGGATTCAAAAACTGGCTCACGGGAGAATCCGGTTCACGGCCTACGTCCTCCAAATCCCAACTTGAAGACGATGACGATATATGGCTGCAAGCAGCTCGCGAATCTACTGCTTCGAGGACGGGAATTAGTCAGACGCATGACCCGCAGAGTCTTGCGGATGCTCACAGACGCTACATTGCTGCTTTGACCAGTAGTCTATTGCTGACCACATCAACATTCACGGATCCACTCTACCATCTCCTCGGGCAAATCGATCACCTGGTCGCGCTTGTACACCGCATCTACTCCATCTGGCAATCTCTCGATCTCGAAGCGGACGAGGGGGTCGTAGACGCCTTCTCTGATTTCCACAAGGAGGAGAAGGATGTGCGAGAGCAGATGGGCATCATTACTGGTAGGGTGAAGACGGCTATCGAGCTATTGATCAAGAGTCTGCGGGATATTGATCAGGAGAAGGAGGGCTGGGATAATGGGTTCGCGGAGCTGGTGCTGGGGGAGGAAGGAGCGTATGTGCCGGCCAAGGTAGGGAGGGTGGATAGGCTGCTGATGAAGCTTGATTTTGGCGGCTGGTTTGATGATGCGAGGACGGTGAGGGATGGGAGTGAAGCTGAAGCTGAATATGGGAGTGAGGATGATTGATTTTGTTATGAGTGATGATTGTGGATGATTGATTGATTGATAGATACCCTTGGCGTTTATTTGGCTCTTGCTTGAAAGAGGGGTGGGGGGGAGGGATGAAAGTACAAAGTAATTCTTCTGACTTGACGAAAATTCACGAATATGTGGGCGGGCATGCGTTATCACTTTCCAGTGCCCGTTCTCACAGTGAACCAATTATATGTATATAGCCAGCCTCATACATATAAGACTCTTGACATACCGCACTTCGAATAACTTTTCTTGTTGGCTAATTCAAGAGACACGGCTCCCACAACTTTGAGGGAGCTGAGAATGATGATGGCAGGACCAGCCGGGCTGACGACAGAACATGCGCATTGTTTCCAAGAAATATGAAATCAAATTTAATCTTCCCAATGAACTTTAAAGGTAAAAATTTATATCTCATCTCGCCTTCATCGTCATCATTCATCATCTTCTTCGTCCGTAGTATACGAGTAATCGTATCGCCAGATCTCGCTTGAAGCTCCACCTTAAGCCTATCAAGAACTGCAATCGCATCTAATCTCCATACCATCACTTCCCTGTCCCTGTCTACAGTACAGTAGGGATGCAGTTCAGCCTAGAAGCAAAAAGCAAACAACAAGCAAAACGGAGATATAGAGTAGGGTTAGTGGAATATAGGCAACCATTAGAGTATTCTTGAAACATCTTCTCAGACCAATAGAAACATCCTGGGCCGCAAAACACCCACCCACTATGCCTAGAAAAGCCACCCACGCCTGCAAAAGGACGCGAAAAGGAAGATCTGGCCTAGACTTCTACGAAGTAGCAGCCAACTCCCGTCCCGCGCGGCCTTTACTCCAGGAAAGATGGCTGATGGGTTTTGAGAGATCAGCGCCTTTCGCGAGTCGCAACAAGGAAAACTCTTGCTTTCTCTTTGAGAAATCATCTGATGCCTTTGCAAGGGCATCACCAGTCCACCACCACCGTCATTGATTGCCGTGTGGGTTGGGCTTTTCTTTAGCGATTGGTATTAATTGAAAAGGCGGGTTCTGGAGAAGCAGCCACTCACTCAAGCTTACATTTGCTTCTTTCTCCCCTCAAATCCCGAGAATCGAAGGGGTCATCTGAGACGACTGGGCCTTATATAAGCAAGCCACGTTGTGCTTGTGGTGTGGCTAACGAGTAGTTCAATTATAAGGCCTTCCATCCGAACAAATCAGTCTGCATTCCCTGAGATGAGCAAGCCGACGTGCCCTAAAAGAGAGTCGTACAGTACAGTACTGTACATTGGGGCAGCGCACACTGCACAGATGCCATGCCTTGCCCTGTCCTGCACTGGCGCATAGAACGACACATGTTGTGCTTGGTGACCTCTGCTAATTCAATATATCCATGCTCGCTCTAAGCAGTACGTGTCAGCCTGCAATTCGAAATTGGAGCAAAAGCCGCACCATCTCCATTCGGATTTGACAATTGTTGAATTCAGGTTGATTACTTTGTATAGGTAGGTAGGTAGGTATCAATGTAGACCGGTCCGGTACTGTAAAACCAAACAAAGGACTTCCAACAGCTTCCAATCTTCGCCAACTCCCGTTGGTGGCGGCCGGATAAAGGCACGAGCTCGCTGGGCTGAGCGCCCGGGGGTTGAACTATTCGTAGAACAACGACCCCAGTCGCCCCAAAAAGGAATGGCGACACTGTGGCTGATCTTGAAAATCCTTCGCCAGGAAACTTCTAACAATGTTCTGTAGAAGAGATCCAAGTACGGTGCAGATGCAGTATAATTCCCGTAGTCTCTCGTGCTTGCTTGTAAACCGACTTCGGCGTTGGAGCTACACGCAAGGGCAGAAGCAGGAAGGAGCTTTCTGGGTCCCGTAGGGAGTTGATTATGAACAACTATAAATGTACACTACGGTACTACCGGTAGAGTGAAGAAATACACTTCCCCATCTAAAAGTTACAAAGCAAAAGAAGCAGGGCCAACAGGGGCAAAGCAGGTGGAGTGGCACGAGACTTTCTCTGCTCAGGTACGGAGTACTTCGTACCTTGGCTTGGGTGTACCTCCCTCCTCCCTACCCTACCCTACCTACCTTTAAAGCCAAGAGCCACCCACCCGCCCGCTCTTCCGCATCCCATCATCACACGCGCATAACCTGTCTCGACACATATCCCTTGCCCTTCATCCAGAGAATTCATAGACACCACATTCCTTGATACAATTTCACTACGCTATCTCCAACTACCAAATACCCACCACCACCATCACCGCTCCCTTCGCCTGTTTCAACTGCCATCAAGCGCCACCCGCAGAGTCATGCACGGACAAACGCATCCACTTCTTTATCACAGCATTTCCAGATCATAATTGTGACAAGGAAGACCTCGTAAGCGCGCGCAACAAAGCTATCCGTACTCTGGAATCTAGGAGCCACCGGAATCACGAATTAATGGCCATCTTTGACGCGTCTACGGCTAGGGGATAACGACTGTTGGGGATCAATTCGCACGCTTGATCGACAAAGTGCTGCTCCGAGGCGGCACCATTCCTGCTGTCGACAATACGAATGGAAAGATGGGCATTTGGCCTTTTCGAAAAAAGAGTAATCGAAGACCAAATCGCAGTGGGGTAGAGATGAACGACGCTATGCATGACGAGGCAGGCCTGCAACGGAACCTAGGAAGGCATAATGTAGCCGAAATAAGGGCAACAGCAGCAGACCCAGAACGGAGGAGGAGCCGAAAGGATAAGAAAAGGAGATCTTCGAGAGATTCGAAAAAATTACAGAGAAACCCTGAAAAGCAGCGCACATACAGCTTTTCTCCCGGTCGAAACGACAGCATCAGGGTCCTGCAAGACCTAAACCGACCACCCGTTCCACCATTACCATCGTCACTACAGGCTGCTAGCAAGAAACCCATTCGAGCGAGCACGCAACCCCCAGAGACTATACAAGACTGGCAGAGGATGCCAACCCTACACAAGAGGAGCGCTCAAGATTTGTCGCGTCGCAAGTCAAGCAAGAAGCGGAAGGAGGACCATGATAGAGAGGCAGAGATCAAAGCAATGGCTGCATTCATGCCGACACGTCCCGCAGCAGACTCCAATTCTGCTGGCAGGCCGATGAGGAAAGAAAGCAAGAAGATGCGAGGAGGACTGAATCGCCACCTTGAAAATCCCTCCTCAGATATATCCCTTCCACTCGCCGATTCCATCCATTCCTCCCTATCCTCAAATTCCGATCACCGAGCATCCTACAAATTGTCCGCATTCGATATGTTAGCCCCCCGACCTACTATTCGATATTCCGAAAATCCTCGATATGGCCCTTCCGCAGGTTCCGAACACTCGGATTCTAAGAAGAGGAGGACATCAGAACGAATACCTGAAGAACTCCTAAAGGCCAACAAGAGGATAGACGATCTTGCGGATGATCTCGACGCAGGAGAGCTTAGAGAACTTATGGAGCGGGATCAAAAGCGGAGGGACAGAAAAAAGCTTGCTGACAGGATTAAGACTGAAAAGAAGCTTGCGAGGCGTCAAGAAGAGCAGAGAGTAGAAGAAGCCACCGCTGCGCGGGAGGGTACCCCGCCTCCAGTCAATATGGATCGAGGAGTTATGGGCAGAGACGTCGTTGGGCTGGGAATTGGAACTTCCGCGGTGATTACATCAAGCAAGAGAAAGGGGTCAACAGGAGCAGACAGTGGTCGAGAAAAACGCCCTACGGAAGCATTCAGACAGGATACCCAAGAATCGACCAGAAGTACATATCCTAGCGCAAGTATGGTGTCAGGAAATTTGACCCCCGGGTCTGAACGTTCAGATCCTATCCTCGAAACGGCGAAAGTTGGTACCATCACCAAGGCTAATATTTCCCCCACATTATCACCATCACCACGAGGCCACCTTCGGGGGGCTTCGAGTATTTCACAGTTAATGGAACTCAGCAAGACGGAGCTAGTACCACCACCAAAACCACAGTCTGAGCGAAAGGGCTCTGAAGGTTCCGTCAAAGGAACCCAGTCCTGGACATCATTCTTCAAAAGATCAAAGAATAAGCGAAATTCGATACCAGCATCATTCTCCAACACATCACGAGATTCGATGCAAAGTGCACCATACCAACCGAGAGTTGGCTATACGCCCGTTAAATCAAATATCCCTAAACGGACAATGTCAAAGTTCAGAGAAGATCTCCCAGAACTCCCACTGTCACCACCAGATTCGAGAGTACAATCGCCGGAGGCTGATGTTGTACCACCTATTCCAATCAGCAAAGTAGCGCAATCGTTATCCGAGGAGCACCGTGAGTCTCATGTACGATATGATACGCCTACAAGTGGATATCAGTCTTTGGAGGCAATGCGTATGCGTGACGAGACACCTACTAGTGGACATCGGTCGGTTGATGCTCCTTCTCCAGAGCCGATAGCAGTCCTATCACAGTCACTTGCATCCATCGACTCTGAAGGGTCATGGCTATCTGGTCGAAAAGGTGGCTCGAAGCGTGGATCGGCACAAATGCCTCCCCATCCCCTTCGTGACAGCGCAAGTTCACTGCAAAAGAGATACAAGGAGTATTCTGAGTCTGCTGAAGAGCTCGGTATTGCAGAAGATGAATATCTTAATCGACTGTCGCCAGAGGAGCAACATAAGATTAACAGGGTGTCCTTTGGAAATCCTGTTCCTTCTAGTGATGATGAGGATGGTGGTAGTTTAGCAAGTCCCACAAGTCCCACCTCATCAGAACCGACCACCAAATGGGGCGCCGCTGTTGGTAGACAACCGACTGTCGTACACCGCGAGCCGCGAGCTAAGTCGAGAGAAGGATTACTAAATGACTTTGAATATGATTCAGCCAGCGAGCATCGCGCAGATACCCCAGAACCCAAGCGCAAGAGCTATGGAGTGTCTCAGGATATAATCGATGAGAACGAGTCTGGTATACAGAGAGCTACGAGCATTGATCTTGGGAGGCATCATGCCAGACATGTCAGTGCTGGCAGTGCGAGGTTGCTGGAACTGAAACCGAGGAACTCGGGAGAGACGAAGAGGGATTCAAAGAGATTCAGCCTTGGTTAGGCAGTGAAGCTGGACTAATTGGACGGTCAATCTTGGAGGACGACGACGGGCATGACATTTCGAAGACAAGCACCACACTCCTTTGTTTTATTTCCTTATCACGGTACACTCACTAGTCGGCATCCGACACCCACGCTCATTTAAACATTTTCTTTGGAATCAACAATATCGAGTCATTCACTTGACACATTTCCTTGCAACAACCTCGCTCATTTTAATACATTTCCTTTACGGCTTCGTCTTCGTCATCAGCTCGTCCAAACCTCAAGTTATGCATTCGCCCAACCAGAACAACATCATCTCGCAACAACAGCACTCCCCTCTACGCCTCGAATGTGCGTCTCGAATATGCGCTTCACGCATTACATGATCGATTTCTTTCCTATCTTTGCAAACGATTCCCCCCAAATAGCACATAGACATTTGATTTTATTGATTTCAGCGGGTTGTACCTACCTCGGAGGTGGATTTGAAGCAAAAAAGGGTTTTGGGTGGATGGGAAAATGACGGCGTGACTTCCTCTCGAATCCTTTGGAATCCGGCCTGGTGGTTGGTGCCTGAATATGGTTGTACGGAGATATGGAAGGGTATTTGGGCCTCGCATATTGAAGCTCTGGAAGAGCAGTGTTATGAGTAGCCCACCTGTATTCTGTGGAGATAGATAATCGAAGATTTAACACCCATAAGATGGTGCACGTTGGCTACTACCACCTTCCTTTTATGTATCTGCTTACTCGTAATGCCGTATAATGAGTGAGACGTCCAATAAATCAATAATTGAGACCTCAATTTACCCCTTCCCCCTTTCCCTTTTCCTTCACGTCTAAATCACGTCATCCCGCAGCTGAAACCCCTCTCGCGGGGTTGATAAGCCACGAAGGCCTTTTCATCCTCTACCTTCCCATTCCATAACACAAATACAAAGATCCATACAAACACGAGAGAATCTTCAAGAATCTCCCATCACTTCAAGGTAAGCAATTGACCCGAATTTCCTCTTGTCGCCTCCCTCCCATTGCCCCTGTCTTTCGAATTGTCTTTGGAATTGTCACTTGAAAGGGTGCGAATGGAATCGAAGACGAGAACGACCGTACGTACAACGACCAAATCAGCATCAGCATCAGCATAGCCGCAATTAGGAGTTATTCCTCTCGTCACCCTCCTCCTTCTCCCCCTCCTCCTCCTCGTCGCTTCCATCCTACGCACGAAAGCGAAAGGCACAGGCAGAGAGCAGAGCATCGCGTCGCATTGCATCTGTTTGATGATTACTAAGCAGAAGCAAGCGCGTCATCGGCTAGGCCGTTCCATTCTTATATCCTTAGAAATCAAAGATCACCAATCCCAAATCAACCAACATCAATCATCTCCTTCCTTCCACCACACAATTTCTTTGTTTGCAGTATTTAAAGGAACCGAGCACCTCAGCAGATTGAATGTACAGAACAACAAAGCTTACTGCGGCGACGATTAGAGCTTCGACGAAAAACAATCACCACTTCACACCCGCAATACAGAACACATTTGTTAGAGGTTTCACGCATACAACTAGCAAAATGACGGTCCATAACCTTGGCAGGTATGTTAAGTTCACGCCTGATTGATAGTCTTTCTCGTCGACAGCTATGATGCGGTGCGGCAGAGACGACGCGTTGGAGTTGGAGTGAAAGATGCTAACAATTGTGCTTTCACAGCAAGCCCGAATTTCAATCGGCCATCAACGACAACAAGATCGTAGTCCTTGATGCCTTTGCTACCTGGTGCGGCCCCTGCAAGGTCATTTCGCCCAAAGTCGTAGAGTAAGTTTATCCTCCCTCTTATCATCCCCAACGTCTTTCTTCTGCAAGCAAATCCTAACAATAAATAGATTCTCACAACAATTCCCCGATGTCCATTTCGTCAAGATCGACGTCGATGAGGTGCCAGATGTTGCCCAGGAACTCGGTATCCGCGCCATGCCTACATTCGTCATCTTCAAGAACGGGGAGAAGGAGGCTGAGGTCGTGGGCGCGAACCCGAAGGCGTTGGAGGCTGCTATTGCCAAGGCTAGCTCTGAGTAAGGAAGATGTGTGCATAGATGGGTATTAAGGGAGGGTTGGGGTTGGGATTAGTAGATACCAGGAAGGGAATGGAATTGATTCATGGATCTTCATATGCTGCTATTTCGTGAATTGTTCGAACCTTTCCGTTGATGGACACTCCTATAATTACCCCACGAAGTAAAGATACTCGAATCCACCCACCTTGCAAGACTATCTCAACTGCTATCAAGCCCGATTATTCTATAACTTGATAAGTATTCTGACGAAAATGTCTAGTATTCCCCCCGCGCCAGAGCGTAGAATTGCGAGGTGCGGGCTAGATGTCTTGATTGAGTACTCTACCGTATATTATGAACCGCATATTTGTTCTCACATGTGACATGTCACGCAATGATACCATACAATGTGATTGCCCTGGGTGCACATCTTTGGATCGTAGATGCACCATGGCCTGTCCTGTTGAAGTCTGATGATGGTGCTGTGATATCAAAGTTTATTATCCGATGTAAATAATGATTAGTCATTTCATATGACTATATTGTGACTAAGCTATTCATGATGCGTTAAGTTCTTCTCGATGCTCATCTATACGCAGGCAATGATGCATAATATAATAAGTCATGCTGAATGCTACTATTACGTGCTGCATTATACTGTCGTAGTACTTACCTACCTTATGTTAGGAAAATCCATCGCGCTAAACCAAAAAAGCGAGGTTCGCTTTTCGTTCACGGCTAGAAATCCAGAAATGCTAAAAAGAATTGACACCACGTACTACGGAAAACAAAATAAAAGGTCAAAAAGAAAGCCTTCTACCTGGTTCGAACAAGTGACCTGAAGATATTTAGACGGTACTGCAATCTTCCGCTCTACCACTGAGCTAAAAAGGCGATGTTTTTATGTTGTACCGTTGAGCCAAAGTAGCTCGGTTTTGGTTAAACTTTCTCTATTTTAATATATAAAGGTACCAAGCATATTCTACTAAAATAGAGTTGGAATAACGACACTTTTGCATCAGGTAGCTAAAATACTAAGCATAATCCTTGAATAAGCAGCCTACTATATTAGTATTCTACGAATGACTACAAACGTGGGAGAACGAGGATTGGCTAGATATCACTTCGAATCACATCGAAAATAACTACCCAGAGCACTTTCTATTTTTGTATAATATAGTATAAAAAACAATTTCAACACCACTTTTGGTTTATTCTAACACATCGGCTCCTAACTCCTTGTTACACTATCGATCGAGCTGATTCCGAGATCTCAATATCTGTCTCTATTCGAATCTCGTGCGACTCTGCCGATTTGCTATCAAACTTCCGATAAACTTGACCTCTAACGGCGATGGCTTTGAAATTGGTGTGCATACGACTGCCGTCCGGGGAATCCCCATGGGCCCAATAATCATTTGTCGGATCCGAATCTGTATTGGCCCCCTTCTTGCTCATCAAATAAAGGTTCATCATCGCTGTGCCCTGCGGCTGGCTGCGGGACCTGGAACCCGATGTTTGCCTATAGTTTCGGGCGCAGAATTGTTTGGGAAGAAATAACTCTGCTACAGGCCGGAGGGTAGGGAGGCAGGCGCTGATGACGGCGACTGAAGGCTCGATTGAGCACCAGATAACTGGATTGCCGAATGCCCCTGTAGTGTCTTATGTTGGAGATTCCCAAGGAAGGGAGAGCGAATGAAAAGGCAATATGGAGCATTGCAGGAGAATAAGGAACTTACACATAAAATCTGGATTCGCGACTTGATGAGGCTGTGTGAGGCGCGAAATACCGGTAGCAATAACACAGCTGCCAGTGAGGAACATACCCCTAAGCGCAATCTTCTCACTACGTGTTGTTTGAAGTCGCCAGACAAAGGGCATGGGAAGAACAAGAATGGCGACATCAGTAAGGATATTTAGGATCGCATTTCCAATGTAAAAGCGCTCCGATACAATGCATTTCGCTCCGGGAGCATGTGTTCAATAAGCCGAGATGGGAGTACAAGAGAAGATTCCCACCAAGGTCGTTGCAATGAGCCACATTATGACTATTGCTCCGAGAGTGTTTATTGCAAGCAAAGACGACCGTACGGGAAAAAGGCGTCTATAGAAGCACAGAATTGAAAGCTTCGTGGCCGCGATGGATCCAAAGTATATAATCACGTAAACGTATGCGCACTGGAGGATAATGAGCAACTGGTGACCTAAAGAATGGCAAACGAACTTTGAAAAAGTTTATGATATTAGTCTCTGAAGCAACTTCGGTATGTCGTCCAACGCCGATCGATACCACTACAGGCGTGTAAGTAAAGAACTTGAGACTATTTCGGGATTTGGGACAAGTTACTGTAGACAGAAACAATAAAACATCCCCAGGAGATAACCTGTCAAGCCGTGCAATTAGTTGAATGCTCTGCCACACAACTTTTCAGAATATTGCAGTATCTTACCAGTCCAACCACAACTGGGCAGTCATCCCATTGTAAACTCGCTGCCGAAGTCTTCTTGATACAAATCGAAGGGAATACAAGTGCATAGACCACCCCATTCTTACGACTGGACGGTCTGTAGGAGCATGTTTTATATGATTCGTCTATGTACTTAACATACCTACCTATACTTTCTTCTCCTAATTACGGAAATATGGAAAGGACAGAAAGTAATCGAGGCTCCGAAGGGCCGCGTTCAGCGGGATAGATGAGGTTGACGCACCACATGTGCATCCCCCAGCGGAGCCGTCTTTGTTTACGTGACAGTAAAGCCTTAGCTAGATCTAAAACCACGCAAGGATATTGCAGCAAGAATGAGGCGTAACAACAGTTGGACTTCGCCAGAAACAATCTGATTCTCTAGTTGCATACATAGATAGAAACACAAGCGAAGGAGAATAATATCGGTATAGAACGGAATGGTCCAAGAATGATAGCTTAAAGCAGATACATCTGCTTGACTTACAAGATTTCAAAAACTATAGTCTCCGTTTCTCAGACCGTAAGCCAACGCAGATCACTTACGTTTTTGAGACAGAGAGTATGATGAAGAAGTGCAAGACTATTGAGAAGTATTGGGGCAGGTTGTTACCTAAAAGTAGGCTACGCTAGCAGGGTTTAAACCTATCAGTACTAGTGATAATCATCTAGCATATGAAAGTTCCTAGATGAACAGATAAAGAAATACAAAGCCGTTTACGGAATGTTGTAACTTGGTATCTTAAAGAGGAATGAGGATTCTGTTGAGCTTAAGGCAAGTCATACCATGCTGTACATTTCTGAACATCTAGCCAAAGTGATGACTATGAAGGTTGGTGGCAGGACGATCATCAAGCAGGACGACAATGTTCGCAAATTTGGAATCATCGCTGGTCATCTTATAGGATTAATGAAGGATGCAAACCACCTCACCATTAGAAACTTTGTACGGCTGCTAGGTTCTTTATCCTTCAAGGATAAAAGAATACCAATTCACTTGCAGTAAAGGGTCATTTGAGGGGGCAATGCATCCCTTGATCATGATAGCTGTACACAAATGGGTAGCAAAGGAGGCAGCGGAGGAGGCAATATAACAGAAGTACGGGGAGGTAGTGAAGGAAGTAGTGAAATCAGGAACATTTTTATATTGTCAACTTAATTGCATAAACTTAAAGTAAATATTTATAATAATTCAACGCATAACTTGACGGTTATTGTATCGAGCACTGACTCCCAGAGTCTAATCAGGGATATAAAGGGTGATCTATATAGTATACTCACTTGACTTTCGCTAGTAGCTAGCGCCGTTCTACATAGTCTTCGACTCGTACAGGACGTTAATGGAATCATTATCATTATCATCATCATCATCATCATCATCATGGATATTGTATCGCTATCATTACACTTCAACAGAGTCTTAAAATCCACAGACCATGCCTAATTATTCAGGCCAAGAGAAGATAGTATTGAGTAAAATGTGTCGGATGTGATTCCTGAGATCGAAAAGAAGAATTCCTCTATTTTAGGCGCTATATCGAATGGAAACTGATAATGGACGTCGACAAGATTTGGAAATCGACGGAAATGAACCCACCTCGTCTCCCGAGCAATGTATAGAAAGGAAAGGGGGAAGGAGACGCTAGTGGCCTAAGACTTCATCCGTTTGGTACACCAGGTATGACGGCCTATTTATTCTTCATCTAATACTCGATGGATATAAGCAACAATGGACAACAGAAGAAATCCTAACAGTGACTATAACTAAAAGGCATCTTCGCACCTAAGAGAGATACCAGAACTTGGCTTCGAAACTGTTAAACATGAACGCTTATAGGAAAATAAGGAGGCATAGAAAGACAATTCGAGAACGTGGACGAGCTATAGCGACAACTTGTTTCTGTGGTCGATTATGAGGAATAGAAATGCTGCTTCAATATGGGCTAAAAGTAAGTCGACAGATTTGAATTCTTTCGTAGATTGAAAAAAGAAAAAAAAGATCAAAAGCCGGGTCCTTCAAGCTCAAAAAGAGCGCCGGCAATTTACAATTCCCAAAATTTTGCCTCGCCCTTCGGGTATCTTGAAATCCCGCTTTGAGTCGATCCCAAATACTCATTTCTCGGCTTTCCTAAGCCAGACATGAAAACTCTAAATCTAGCTCCCAAAACTGCAGAAGCAGCCAAATATCTCGTACTCGTACTTCGTAATTTCGTAAAAGAGTTTCCAATTGTCACCCGAAACGAGGTGGACGTCTGAAAGGAAACTTCCCAAGAATCCCGCGTTGCGAGCGAGTACGAGTTTCTACGGACCCTGATCTTCGCGTTGATCCTCATCCCCGGCCCCACTAATTGTCGCGCCCAGCGAAAGGAAAGTTCAAATCAGGGAGAATAAAAGCGGCTATTCCCGAGTAGCCAGAAGTGGATGGATGCTTCCGGATTTTGGGATAAATTTACTACTTCGCAGAAGAAAGGGATCCCCGGTCCGCGTAATGGATTCCAAGAGTCAGGAGCAGAGTCTAAAGCAGTTTCAAGACTCAAAAGCAGCTCACTTACTCGACAAGCTAACACCTGTCACTCCACTTTCGGCACTTGTCTTGTGTGTCCAAACGGAAGATGTGCATAGCATAGCGCATACTGGTACGTGCGGGCCGGAGCGTGTCCTTGGGGACGAATGACGACTGGAAATATTGACTTGAGGGGAATAATGGGAAGTTCGAGATTCGGACCACACATGGATGAGTACGGTAGGTAGCGACGTGCGTGCCCCGTGAATTTACAAAGCAGAGAAATGAAATAAAAATAACACAGTGAAATTATAAAAGACCTGGGAACGAGTCTGGCAGGAAGAGGGCAGCAAAATACGGCACGTACTGGGAGTCCATTTTACATATCATCCCACCGCATCCCCCAAATCCGGCCGTTTGGAAGGGGAATGGGCACGGTGACCCAAAACATTATCTCCTCCGAGTATTGGAGGGTCAGTGGCACTGAGTGCAAGGGTTAACTTGGCTGGGATGTATGATAGGTGCGGGATGCGTTCCGTGCGTTGAAGAACCGAGAAGCTCATGGATCCTGTGCAGTAGGGAAATAATTTCCGCTATCGTAGTATCGATAGGGGAATGAGATCTTAATCTTAGATGCTTGAAGTTGATTGTAAGTGAGGCGATGTGAAACATTATTCCAAAGAGTTAAGACGAGGACGAGAGCAAACCTTTAGTGCCACGAGATATCGGCAGACGAGCCATCATTCAAGTAATAGACAGTATGCTTCCAAGTGACGGTAAGCAGGAAGAGGGGAAATCACAGGAAGATCTGCTGCAAGCTCCTGTTCCAACATAGCGGTTCATGGAGTGGGATCAAAAAGAAAAAGAAAGTCTACCCAGGGAACGGGGACGAACTGTGATTCTTTGGACCAACAAGCGGTGTAGATTGAGGCTGATAAGCTACCAGCCGCTGGGGAAAGAGTACTCCGAGAGGCGGATCCATACGCTGAAGAGAGGATTTCCACCATCTTCAACGTTACGTTTTCTTCTTCTAACCGGTGGCAGCTACATGTGACTGAGCGACGATGATGAAGGGTTTCGTGACTGCATCAGGATGCAGGACGACAATAAGTGCGCCGTGATATCAGTAACTGCATCGTAATCTGTTCTTCTTGTCTGCTGTGTACTTTGGGATAAATTAACGTCAGGCGACAGAGGCACGCAGAGCTACTGTTTCTCCGACTTTGGCAGCATGGTGGAAATCGCGAGATCTTGAACTGTGGCTCACCACCCAGGGAACAGGTGCTAATGAGGTGCAAATGAGGTGCAGAATTAATATGCAGAGGGATCAGGCTAAATATGACTGATACGATTTCTGGGACGAGAGACCAGTAATAATGTGGGAGTGGCTGTCTTGACGTACGGAGGTATCGTGATATCCCCTCCCTCTAAAAACCAAATCCCTTTTCTTGACCTCGCCATCTCGGGGTTCGAGGAGGAAGAGGGAGGACGGCGGCGATGAAGCCAAAGTCCACGCCTCTCCCTTCATCTCACGATGTTTTACGAAAAGATGGGACGGAGAGTTAAAGGTCTTGACAAGCATTAGTGCAACCGAGTTGATCAATCAGCGTCGGTCCCAAACGGGCCAAACCGCAGTACCAACCGCCTTTTTTGGAGCGTTGGCGGGAAAACTTACGAGGCTAAAGGATTTCCAGATGTCCCAGAAGCAGGATCAACCTTCCAGCGAAAATAAAATAAGGATTTTACCGTAGGACCGCCGTTACTTCCATCCACAATGTGACAGACCGCTGGGCCCAAGTGAAGATTTGACTAGGATCTGAGTAAGGAATTTGAGGCCAGGCCCAAAGTCTGACAAGTTTCATTTTCCCAAGTGGGCCAGCGGCGTTCAAGTGGAGATGGAAGGGCAAGAGCTAAGTACCGTGCTCAGAAGGGCACGGAGAAGGAATCCAGCCAGTTGGAGCACTGGATTGAGAGACAGCAGGGGTTGGGGCTGTGGGGATGCTTGGCTTGGATGGGTAAACCGGGTCGTGGGTGTCACTGTCATGAGCCTTGTTGGAAGGAAGCGATGTACTGTACTTACTGAACTGTATAGCGATGGAAACAGCAGAAGTTAATCTGTATATAGGTGGCTCAGCGTAGAATAACTTTATAAGCAAAAGCGAAACACTACTTATCTACAAGATGCGCTAGTTTAGAAACAATGTACAGAACCCTTCGAATGAAGGTTCTAAGGTTGTCTCCGTAGATTTTATTCCCCTCCCTGTGTAAGTGAAATCCACGTCCATGCCCCGCGATGGCCCGTACTCGTACCATACGGTAATGAGCTATGGCGCGCGCTGGAAAGGAAGACAATCATTCATATTATTGGCATGGACACTTGTCCTATTTACTCTTCAAGAGGGCGACATGACCTTGTTCTTTCCTCTTTCTCTCTCTCTTCTCTTCTTGGCTCTTTCTCCCGCCCAACCAACCACGCTAGCTGGCTCTTCCAGCCGACGCAGTACAACACGCCTCCAACCGCAACTTTGTTATATTGGTCCCGAGCAGACAGACCTCCTACCTTCCTCTATATCAGGGTCCACGTTTCTTGACTATACCACCCTGCATTGCTGCTCCATATTGGCGGGTACCGGAAAGACGCCCGCAGCGTGGTTGACAAGCCCATACTAACGCCATTAAAACGCTGACTGCATGGTTACTGCACTTGCAGCTGCATCGGGATCGCATCGTTTTCGGATCGGGCAGACACTGCTTTCACTTCCACTTCCATTCCTACCACTCCCACCATTCCCACCAGTCCCATAACCCCACGAACTAGAAGTACCTTGGCTGCTGGTTCAGTACACTGCATTGCTGTGTTGTGCTGTGCTGTGGCTGCACTTGCCTGCGCCTGCACCTGCACCTGTATCCTGCTTTTCGGTGGTGGTGTTGCTGCTAGTGACACTTTCCCGAAAGAATACAGCGCAGTTTCTGTCTCTGGCTGGGTGCATGTCTGAATCGACCCATTATTTGTAACGCCATCCCAGCCCAGTCTAAGAAGCTCTACCGCAGTTCAACTTGAACTTCAACCTCAACCTCAACCTCACTTCCACCGCTTCTCCCCTCCGCCAACAAACAAACAGTGTTTCTTCCACGAGATCGTCTACCTGCACGCCTGCCCGCCGTATTATTGACCGCTGTATCATTAGTGTAACAGCTTGAGTGCAGCAACCCGGCCTCCCAAAACGCCCTGGATGGACCGCTGGTGCCCAATTAATATCCTGAACCCTCTGATTACCAGCGAATCCCTCGCCATAATTCTATCAGTTCCAGCCACTCGGTAATCCTTAACATCCAATCTGGACGCTTACTAGACTTCCAAAGATCGCTGCACAGGAACCCCCAGCTCAGCGGTGCGAGTCAACAAACTCCTATATTAATCCCCTGCGCTCCATCAACCAGCCATCACTCGCACAGTCGCACTGCGCTTGGGTACCGTAGCATTTCTTGATCCATTAATTATTATTGGGGCGTTTCTTGTGAGACGTTCAAATAAACGCCCAATCGCATCTACCATTGCTTTTCCATTGCAACAAGTATACATATACCTTGGAGGAAGCCCTTTGGACGCCGGGCAATTGATTAGAAGGCAATAGTCACGGTACAGATAGGGGCGGGCATTGTTTTGAGGCTTTATTCCAACGGCAAAGCGAATTCAGGCATTGATGGAGCAATAACATTTATTTCGGGACCGACAAAATACCCCAAACTCCAATAAACTACCTCCACCGCCATCATGAGTACCTCAGCAACAAAAAGCCCAGATGTGCCACCAGCAAAAAGCAAGAGGTTGAGCACGTTCGTTACAAGGATGAAGACAGTACTGAAAAGAAGCGATGGATCAAAGCGGTTATCATTCTCTTCCAGACCAGCAGCGGCAACTTCTTCAACCGCGGGACCAAGGTAGGAGTTGTCTCTAGTGTTATTCTATTCTTGCTCACATACATCTTCCCAGCGCGGTCAAGAGTGACGAGCCAACCGTCGTGCGCACCAACGAAGAGCCTACACGACCCGAAATACCCAAAGAAGAAGAAGCATCTACCGGCCAGGCCAAGAAGGTTAATCGGGCACAACTAGATGCCGAACGCGCTCGTAAATTGGGCGAGCGTTTCAAGGTCACAATAGAACCTGTATTATGGCCAACTCCGGAGAAGGAAGTCTATCGCGTAGAGAAGCCCATACGTATGCGTATCCATCGCCAGTGCCATAGATGTAGCACGACGTTTGGGGGAAGCAAGACTTGCAATTCGTGCCAACATGTTAGATGTACGAAATGTCCTCGGTATCCTCCCAAGAAGACTGATAAGGATAGGAAGGTGAAGGTCCCTGCTACATCAGGAGGTCTTGAAGTGGACAGCTATTACGGCTTGAGTGAAGTTATCGAGATACGGAAACCAAATCCACGTCCTGGCGGTCAGCCATTAGTGAGGAAGAAGCCCATGCAACGGATACGGAGGACATGTCATGAGTGTTCGACACTTTTCGCCGCCAATGCGAAAATTTGTTCAAGTTGCAATCACATCCGCTGTGCTGACTGCCCTCGAGATCCGTAAGCCTGCCCTCGCGGTATACCCTCAAACGTAACTAATTTTATCTGTAGAGCAAAGAAAAGGAAATACCCCGATGGCTATCCTGGCGATGCCCCCTCCAGTAATACGTCCCTCCCTGTAAAATACTCGTGCCATAAATGCAGCAAGGTATTCCCTCCTATTCCGCATCCCGATTCTGGGGTGGAACAGCCGAAACAAGATTGTGTTCGGTGTAAGCATGAGAGATGCTCGGAATGTTCGCGGGCGCCGCCGATGAGAATCGAGCCAGAACCAGATCCAGAGTTGTTGAAAAGAGTGGAGGCGAGGTTGGCGGCGTTGAATGTCAGTACAACTACCGCTTGACGGATGCGTATTGCGGCAGAGAATCACGGTTGAGAAACTCCCATGAAACGAAACAGGAACGAAGCATCAAATCCCACTCTGTCGGGAATTTATGTTCAGCTGATAATTCATCACGCTTTTAGCGTACAATTGCATTGCATAAGGAAGAAACGAGAAAGATGACGACGACAAAGCGAGCATTCTGATTATGATTTTTTTGATTGGGGTCCATATTTGGGATTCGGGAAGACGGATCTATTTCGATGTGTTGGATTATTGGTAAACTATTGGGATGGATAGATAGGGTGTTTATGGCATGACGAGGGATCTAAAAAAAAGGTCATGGTGCAAAGGGCTTGAAAAAGACGTGGTGGAATAGGAGGAGTAGAGCGTGGTGAATCAAGAACTCGCACCTCGTTCCCGTTCTTTGTCTCGTATTCTATTTCCTTTCCATGCTCAAAAATTCCCTACAAGTGTAGGGCAATAATTTGATCCCCAACGCTTTTGCTCTCTCCGGTTTCTTCTATGAACACCCGGTGGACTGATAAATTCCCGGCAATTAATTTATAGACGCTAAAGTACACCAACGAACGTTTGCAAATGCGCTCTTTGAACGGTAACTTCACGGCCTTTCATGTTAGGGGCTGGGCTGGGATCCGGACGCGAGCGAAGGGAGAAGAGGAGAAAGAGAAAAGATATTTCACGAAGATTGGTGCTTGTTGGCTTGCTAGGGAGTGAGGGAGTGGTGGTGGAAGTGGAATCGGGTTCGGAATCCCAAGGGTGTTGGGTGTACTGATGGGGAGGGAGGGGAGATGTTTTTCAGCTGCAGGGTAGATGAGCGTCTCAGGTCTTGATTCTCTTGAGATTGGGGACCGGGAAGCGAGGGAAAAGAGAGAAGGATCTAAATCAACAGGAGACATGGCATTGATGAACGACAGCCAAAGCCCTGATGTTCCTCAACTACATCTACCTTTCCAAATCAACAAGCGCATCTCGACTTCCGAATCAGCAAATGCAAATGCTGGATGGGCGTCAACTTATTTCAATCATACGAATGCTTCGACCGAGCGAATAGTATCTCGCGTTACGGAGGGTCTCTCGTAGCACAGGAGGGAAGTGGGTGATGCTATTGTACTCCGGGTTCTCCGGTTGCATACTCCTTGGCTCCAGTCAATTAGCAAAGTTGAAGCTGAAAGTGAAAGTGAGTTGTACACAGCGTGGGAAGGTAGCTCGAGGCATCAAAGTAACAGCTACCATTCAGGTATTCCTTATGTCCACGAATCAATGAATGGTACTTGAGCCACATGGTGTTGTTCAATTGGAAACAGATACTCTCCTCCGGATATTGAAAGGCATCTAATCGGTAAGGCCGTAGCCGCTTTCGGGAATTGGTCTTCTTGGGGAATTTCAAGGTACTAGATGGAAGCGGCTATATATTTGATTCGAGTTAGTATTGACTGTTTTTGGCCATCTTTGACCATGATTGGAAAGATTCTAGAACAAGGTTGAGGTTGTTCTAGGTACCGGGTTGCCGGATGTTACATTTCGCCTGCCTGATCGGGCGATGATAAGGGTTACACCTGCTAGGTTTGTGAGCTGCCACAACCTACCTACCTTATTCGCGTATCCTGGTCTTTAACACAATTATTCCGTCGGGCAACCCCGCATTACCGCGCAATATATCGATCTACTAATCGTAGTCCTATACTAAGCGCTTCATTTCGATCTAGTCCCACCCCTCAGGGAAGAGGCCCAAAACTTGTCTTGTTGTAGCAGTTCAAAGCCGCGGTACCCAGTTTGCTAACTTAGAACGTCGGCCAAGCGGTCTCTTCTAATATGTAACGTACCTGGGTAATACTGCGGCCATCTCCAGTCACGCTTTAGGGAAATGATGGATGTACTTATTTACGAACTGGACGCGCACTTTCTATGAGGTAAACACAGCATCCTCGCGAGCTCAACGTTCTTTTCTTGTTTCCTTACCAAGTCGTCAAGTAATTACTTCATGATGAAGATGCACTACCTTTCCCTCGTGGTTGGCATTTTCGTTTGTCTCTGTGCGGCTGCTCCCACTGGTGTTACGTACTCACTTCATGAAAAACGCTCTGCTTTTCCGAAGTCATGGGTAAGAAGTAATCGCGTGGAGAGCGATTCCATCTTACCAGTCCGAATTGGTTTGACCCAAAACAACCTGGAGAATGGATATGGGCATCTCATGGACGTGTAAGTGTTCCTTTACCCACTACCTGTGACAAAAGTCAACAAAATGCTGATATTTATCAAAAAGTTCTCATCCAGATTCTCCGAACTTTGGAAAGCATTGGACCCCGGAAGAAGTTCATGAAATGTTTGCTCCATCCAAAGAGACTGTTGAAATAGTTCGCGAGTGGCTTGTTGCATCTGGAATCGAAGAGAAATCCATTGTTCACTCTGATAACAAGGGATGGCTCGCTTTGAATATCCCCGCATCGCAAGCAGAGGACCTCTTCAAGACAGAATATCACGAGCATGTCCACTCTACTTCAGGGAAAGTTAGAATTGGCAGTGACGAGTAAGCTCCAGAGTTTCAAATCAGCAGTATGTAGCTGACGTTTTCTAGATACTATGTACCTGATCATGTCCGAGTACACATCGACTACATCTCTCCTGGAGTAAAACTTTCGGCACCACTAAAAAAGAACAAAGTGAAAAGGACTGTCGAATCGAAAAGCCACCACAAACCAGGACCTGTCCAGTTTAATCCACCGGAAACCCCTTATGCTTTGAAAATGCTCCCTGCAGCAGCCCAATTGCCAGCGGATTTGCAACACTGTGGAATAAATGTAAGTCAATTCCTTTGGAGGACAAACCCTGCTTCAGGGGTCTCAGAAGTAGCTCACTCTCTAGGTGGTTGAGAGTAGACTACTCCTGAATCCCTTTCGACTCCCAATCCTGTCTCTAGAGGTAGTGCTGATTCCATAATTTTGACACTTAGATCACCACGGCTTGTTTGAAAGCACTTTATGATATCCCGGATGCCAACATAACAGACGATGTAAATTCTATGGGTCTATATGAGGCTGGCGACATCTATTCACAGGAAGACCTTGACTTGTTTTTCGCGGAATATGCCCCGAATGTTCCTAAAGGGACTCATCCCCTCCTGGATTCTGTTGATGGTGGTCATGCACCAGTTGCTCCTGGTGATGACTTTAACACTGGAGAGTAAGTCGCATCTGAAGAGGCAAATGCCGGGTAATACTGACTTATTCTAGGTCAGATATCGATATGGACATCGCCTTCTCGTTGATCTACGTAAGTTTAATTGTTTCCCCAGAAGTACTGATATTGACTGGTTGAAGCCTCAAACCGTGACACTATATCAAGTAGATGACGACATCGAAGCAGTGGATGATGGCGGCTTTAACGTCTTCCTCGATGCGTTAGACGGTTCCTACTGTAACTCTACGGCATATGGAATCACGGGAGACTCTCCGGGTATTGATCCGGTTTATCCAGACCCGGCAAAAGGCGGCTATAAAGGGGCTCTCCAGTGTGGCACCTTCACCCCGACGCGAGTAATCAGTGTCTCATACGGTGTCTCCGAATTCGATGCCCCAGTGAACTACACCAAACGACAGTGTGACGAATTATTGAAGCTGGGTCTGCAAGGTCATACTTTCCTCTGGGCTTCTGGAGACTATGGCGTCGCATCCTTCCCAGGAGACGACACAGACTCGGGCTGCCTCGGCGACAAGGCAACCGTCTACAATCCCAGCTTTCCCACGTGTCCATATGTAACAAACGTAGGAGCAACACGCCTTTACGATAACCAAACAGTTCTCGACCCCGAGTCCGCTCTCCAAGCCGATCTGGGGGCTGGCGCTGAGCTCTTTGCCTCCTCAGGAGGCTTCGCAAACTACTTCCCCGTTCCCGATTACCAGAAATCCGCTGTAGCAACCTACTTCGATAATCACGATCCCGGACTTCCATACTACACCGTGAACGCGGACGCCACGAACATCGGTGCTGGTGGGGGTATCTATAACCGTGCAGGGCGTGGCTTCCCTGACGTATCTGCCAACGGAGCGCAGATGCGTGCCTTTAACAACTTGACAAATGGTCATTGGTACGGCACGAGTCTCTCGGCGCCGATTTGGGGAAGTATCATCACGTTGATCAATGAGGAGCGGACAGCAGCTGGGAAGGGGCCGGTTGGGTTTATCAACCCCACACTCTATGCGAATACAAACGTCTTCAATGATATCAAGAACGGGAGCAACCCGGGATGTGGGAGTAAAGGATTTAGTGCTGTTGAGGGTTGGGATCCGGTGACCGGGTTAGGTACGCCGCAGTATCCCAAGTTATTGGAGCTGTTTTTGAGCTTGCCATGATGATGAAGAGTTTGCAATAGACTTAAAATAGACTTAATGATGGATATCAGTTTCCACTAATATACCGTTCAAGATGGTACACAGATTCGCATTGAACATTGCGGGGAAGAGAAGCTCGACGGGTAATGGGAGCCCTTGACGCCAGGGCTTCTGAAGGGGAGCAAACAAGCCTGCAAGTTGAAGCGAAAAATAAATACTGCCCAGCCAGCAGTTTCACAGCCTCAAAGGAAGTCAGGGGAAGGCTGAGGAGACAGGCTCGCTTTATGTATCTGCAAACGAGGGTTGCACATGTACGCCCAGGACAACATCCATCCATCAATAAACTCACCTATAATTTTCTTCTTTGAAAACTCTCCCCAACAAAACTCCCCGGGGCATTCTCAAGGCAGAGTATAGAAATCACGATTTACGTACGATAAATGCAACGCTAAGTATGTATAGAAAAGGTACGTACGATGGTGGGGGAGCTGGGTCGCGAGTGCGATTCACGATCTCTCGCTCACCTGTATTGTGATTTCAAAGCGGGAAATATATGTATGGATAGAGGATGGAGATTGATATTCAACGCATGGGTATTAGGTAATGGAATGATTTCAAGGCCATGGTCATATTGTCCCGAGTATAGAAAAGCTGACCATTCAGAGATCTTGCTTGCTCTGCTCTAATTGAGAGGACTTGAGCCAGACCGAAAGAAGAAGCCGAGCGGCATGTGCAGGGTTGTATCGCTATCCCTGGCTTCTCCGGAATCCGAACTTCTAAAACCATGCCTGCAGATTATTATATTTCCAACAAATACTCGGGCGAATATATCTTCCAGGAGCAGCTTTATATAGTCTGCTATATTTCTATCCCGGCGATGAGGTTTTTGTTAACCGGCTGCCCGATCCCGTTCCGTTCCGTTGCCGTTGCCGTTGCCGACACATGGTAAACGTTTGATGTAGACCGAGGCTTGGGAGTGGAGTAAGTAAGTCATAGTAAGGGCACCGATTCGCTTCCGTGCTCTGCTATTATTGCTTGATTATCACTGATCGATCGCTTTGTGTCCGGGTCGGTAATGAAGTTTCTTTTTGGATTTAAGTAGAATCTGGTATCAAGTATGGCTGTTGGGAGTTTAGTACCGATCGTTGTGGGGGTTGGAGATATCAAGAACAGATCTCAAAAGGTCGAGGATGCTATCGAGCCTATGCAACTTATGCTCCAGGCAGCTCTAAAAGCTATCAAGGATATCGGCTTATCAGAGCCAAAAGCAAAAATCCTACAGTCGACGATTGATAGTGTTTCGGTGGTGGCAACTTGGACTTGGGACTACCCCGACCTACCAGGTCTTTTATCTGAAAACTTAGGTGTAAAACCTAGCTACAAAGTGCTAAGTGGTCAGTCGGGGAACTCTCCCGCCAAGCTGTTCGATGAAGCCGCTCGTAGGATTTCTTTGGGAGAGAGCAAAGTTGCCATTGTGACAGGAGGCGAAGCTTTGGCTTCCTGTAAGTCGGGTCATGTTCAAAGTCCACGGCAGGTACTAACATTGATACTAGTGGGTGCTTGTGCAGCGGCTCATAAGATACCCCCACCTGGTTGGACGCCACGGGACAAAAATGCTCGTAAAATGGATATCTCTGATGTTTCCGTCATGGGAAAAAGTAAGCTCCTAAACTCACCTACTGTCCTCGACCAGCTGATAGTAACCTTCGACATCAAGACATAGGTACTTTTCATTCTCTCGGTTTGCCTATTCAAATTTATCCGTTATACGAGAATGGATTCAGAGCTCATCGAGGTCAATCAATCTCGGAAAACCACCAGGAGTCGGCGCAGTTGTACGCCTCTTTCGCAAAAGTCGCTGAGAAAATGCCGTTGGCCTGGAACTATGGCCAACCTGCAACTACCATGGATGATATTGGCACTGTATCGAAGAAGAATCGCATGATCTGTTTTCCTTGTAAGTTCTTGCTTCATCCTGATTGATTGATGTCCATCTCAAGAAACTCATCTTATTTAGATCCACTTTTGATGAACGCTTTCAACAATATAAACCTTGCAGGGGCATGTATTTTGACATCTACCGATTATGCTCGAAAACTTGGGATTCCCGAAAGTAAATGGATATACCCTTTGGGCGGTGCAGGAACAAGCGATAGCGGCAATTGTATGGACAATACTAACCTTCCAAGTCACAACAAGCTGATCATGAAACAGTTTGCGAACGGCCTAACTTCTACTCAAGTCCATCGATCTCGAGATCATTAGATGCAGGCTTGAAAGCGTCAGGGCTCAGCAAGGAAAATGTTGATCTCTTTGATTTCTATTCGTATGTACAGTATTGACAAGCAGCCAAGCAGTCTAAAAGGTCTCCGCTCATTAACATACCCAGCTGTTTCCCAATCATCCCCAAGCTTGCTTGTGAACACCTCGGGTTTTCAAGTACGAATCCTCCAAAGCCGATCACGCTCCTAGGCGGGCTGACATCTTTTGGGGGCGCGGGAAATAATTATTCTATGCACGTACGCGTTTATCTCATTCCATTCCATTCTATTCCATTCCATTAAACTAATCAACCTCAATCAAAATCCTAACATTAGTGTCAATAGGCTCTTATAGAAATGGTACGACAATTGAGAAGTGGCAAGGGACACACAGGCTTAGTTCTCGCAAACGGCGGCGTGGCAACCTACCAGCACGTCATCTGCCTCTCTTCCCGCGCAAGAAACTCTTCATACCCACCGGCGAACCCATTGCCCGAATTCCTGACCGATGAGCCTGGCCATGCTCCTGCTCCGGCCATCGATGAAAAAGCAACGGGGGAAGCAACGATTGAGGTATTTATATACTGACTCCGTACTTACTGCGGCAGCATCCTGTAAATAAGTAACCCAGTAGATATACTGACTAGTAGACAGACCTACACCGTAGAATTCAATCGAAGCGGGGTGCCTACGCGTGGCTATGTTGTTGGGAGGCTGAAGAGCAATGATCATCGCTTTATTGCGAACGATGCCGACATAGGTACGTTGCAGCAGCTCGCGAGTACGACGAAGGAGCCTATTGGGAGGAGTGGATGGGTGGAGACTGGGGAAGATGGTAGGAATTTGTTTAGTTTTCATGGGGGTGAGAAACTGTAGGTAAATTTGATAAAATATGGAATCATATAGTATTTCTTGGGAGAAAAGTATGTGTAAAATGTATGTGCACTGCCTCCTGGTTACTTGAGAAGTGTGACCGAGTACTAGTGTCGCTCAAGATAGTTCTTGCCTGAGAACTCTCTATCACTTGTATAACATGAATTCAATATGCGCTGGTAGATAGTAAGTCTGCTAGAGTAGTCTTTTTTATTTTATTTGTCCAGAGGACTTAAGAGGTATAGTATATATGCAGTGCTGAGAAAAAAACAACGCAAAGAATAGAAAGCTAGCAAACAAGCGCAGCATGAGTTTTAAGGTGTTTCTGTTTTGCTTTTATACCTAACCCTAAAGTTAGTTGGATACGGTAATATAGTTACTGGCTTACTATGCTTATAGCTAAATGCTAGGATAATAAAGGGGCGACGACGATTATGCTTTCTAAGCAATAATAAGCGTTTTCTATTATAAAGAAGGAATCAAGTAAAAAGTGTATATATATATTTTAGGGATCATAGGTCGCAAGTATATATATCAGTCGACTTATGCATTTGGGACTTTCAATCTATCCAAGGTATCATGTCACTCATATGAAGACGTATAATAGTTAGTTAGGTGCATAGCGACTAGGAAAAATGGGGAGAATAATGAAATAGTCTGACCATAATAAGGTCACCGTGAGATATTGTGATTGTGAATGATTCATGGAATTAGGTGTTGTGATTACTGAACTAACTAAGGATCACCAGGAAGACCCCAGCCCGGTACCTCATTGGCTACAGGTTCTTCTCCAGGAAGTTGATGTACCAAGCACTGCCTCCAAATTTAACAATCGCAAGTGTCCGAAGCTCCGGTGAAGTTCTTTCCACAGTTTCCACATCTGTTGCTGTCGACTAGCTTGACTTCAGGGTCGATGACATGGCCATTGGTTGGCTGGATGTGACCTTGGGTTTGCATGTTGCTTGAGTGTAACGGCGAACGTTTATCGACTGTTTTGATGGTAGTGGTAGTAGCGGTAGTGGTGGTGGTAGTGGTGGTGGGTTGGGTTTGGTTAACTTTCAATTCCTATGGTGTAAACGCTTCTTTTTATAAGCAAAGTTCGCCCTCTGTTTCGGTCTAAACAACTTGCAAACAGCGTCACTATACTATAAAGTATAGCCTGGTGTTATTACCGTACTTGAATAGTTCAAGTTCAAGTGTCAACTACTGTTCCGCAGAATTGACTAAAGGTATGATCGAGTATGGCATGGCATCATTTGACAGCAGGTGCATGGAGATTGTAGTATTACGTGACTTAAGCCACAAAATGCTTAAAACAAAGCAATTGTATAGAGTCGTTAAGTTAATAAAGAGATTCCTCATGCAATTGACGAACGGAGTAGAGAAGACAGAGAAGTTTTGTCTCAGTTCTTGTTACAGAATTGGGAAAGGAACAAAGGCCGCCTTATCTTTACCGCTACAAAGCAGAACAGTTTGAGAAAATCATATTTAAATATCAATTCCACTCTCCATTTTGTTTCTACAACTACCGCCAACCTTTCACACACCAACAAGTTTCACCAGACCACAATAAACACGGACTTAACATCATCATGGCAGATCGCTGTGTCAAGCCCGATGACAACCTTCTCAAGCAGATCTTCACTCACCTACCAGAGACCATTTCAATCTTTCTTCAGAATTGGGATAAATGTGTCTTCAAAGCGGAATTTCTTTCTGATTCCGGATATAACTACTCTGCATGTGTAGTCCGTCTAGAGGCTGAGAGCGAGGATCTCAAAACGTTTCCTACAATTGCTGCTCTACAACAAATCGCTGCGACCGTCGTCCCTAAACTTGTCCCACAAACCTTTCAAGTCGGCAAGGCGGAAAATCTGCAAGGAAGAATATTCGACTTCTCAGTGACTGAGTTTGTGGAAGGGGATCTCTTGGAAGATGTGTGGCAACAAATGAGCACCGAGGAGCAGAGCTCTGCTGTAACTGAGATTGTCGAAGCACTCGAGAAGTTCCACTCTATTCTGCCGAGTGATAAGGGAGTCAAAGAAATCCTTGAAAAGACGCTTCGTGAAGAAGAGGAGTTGAAGAGTTCCGAACTGCCTCAGTCTTTCGGGGGCCCCCATACAGGAATTTTGAATAACGGGCTTGGTTTATTGGGCGCTATGATAGAAAGGCGAAAGCTCAAGAAACCATTCTGTTGCATGGAGCCACTTGTTGATTCACAAGGCATCAGGATTCGGTCCAGTTTTGAAGAGCTTGGGTCGACAGTCATCAATAATTCCGCTATTGAGAAATGGCCAGGGGAAGCCGTACTTTGCCACAACGATCTCAATCCACGCAATCTGATCCTCCGATCATGTGTCACCTCAGATGGTAAATCCGAATACAAATTGGCCGGCATCATTGATTGGGAACTCGCCGGATTCTACCCAGCTTCGTATGAGTTGAGTATGCAAGATACATACCTGGGCAATGCCAATCGACATGTATCATTCTATATGCTATTGAAACAGAAGATGAGAAACTTGGTACCACGATCCTCATCCCAGATGATACTTTCACAAGCCATGGAGCTCGTCTTTGAGTCCCAGCAGAGGCTGTTATTAGACGGCAATAACATCGGGGCTCACATTCGGAAGAGGTTCATCGAGTACTTAATGTTGGAGCTTGATGATGATCCTTGTATTGGTTGGACAAGAAGCCCACAGGCTGGACCGCTTCTTGAATACTCTAGCGCTGCTTTTCAAAAATTGGAAAATGATGTGATTGAGGAAATGGTTGCAAAAAGAAAAGCAAAGGCAACATGAATGCTGCTAGAGACACCTAATGGTTCATCTTTTCTTCGCGCGATGCCATTGCCTTGCCTAAATCTAAAGTATTTGAAATTGATCGATAAGACAAATTATATGTTGCAAGTGCGTGACTTTCCCAGTACCATTCAGCGTAATCGAATAACTTTTAGGCCTGGAGATAATCGTCCCAAAGTCCCCTCTGCTTGAAATTCGTCGCCGAAATGCTATATGATCCCCGAACGTGTTCAAATTATGTTTCAAGCATGACTGAAATATGAACAAGTGCATTTCATTACTTGAGAATATAAAAAATATATGAAGGATTGATACTGCTGGGATACGGGCTGTATCCCGTTATTTCCAGTCATGTGATTTAGTGGGGCTTAGTCAGCGGAGAGGTTTTTTACCTCTTTGTCTCTTCGCTTCTCCCACTTCCGCTTTCAGACATCCATCGAAAACACCAACCGATTATGACCACCTTTTACTAGCTAGTACGAAGTGATCTAATGGGTATCCTGTGATACCAATAGCTATGCTACTTTACTAGAAAGGTATAGCTAGAGTTATTCATCATTATTCCCCGCAGACTTAGTAAAAGGAAAGATAATAGAATAAGTTACTAAAAAAGTAGCAAAAAGCAAAACATACAACAGCAGGTATTCGCTGGTGGTCACCCACCCAACTACTAATCTGCCGATCTGAGGCTTGTGTATGGCAGAGCGGACGGGATGCCCAATTCCCCTCAGTCTATGGTCGTATGTGGTATCCTTTTTTACTATCTTGAACTATAATAGACATGGAGTAAGTTTTTGTAGGGCATTAAGCATCCCACCCCACCTAAGACAATTTCCTCATCTAGAAGCACTATAGTCTCAGATCGGCACGACACTATTGGCTATGGCGATGCCAGCGTCTCTGCTCGCTGGCGTAAAATACGAATTGTTAGTAACATAGTCCGGAATCCAACTCTAGCAGATAAAAATATGATGCCGTTCGTAGTCTTTCATGCCTGTCTCATTCTGGGATATTCCACAGCGTCGACGAGTGACATGCTGGTCCGCTGTGAAGCACATAGCATGATCGCACATCCAACATGGCTCTTTTGGTACAATGTGCACATTGAGCCGTTTCTGGACTGCAACAGTCGCGAGGCAGAGCCGTGCCAACTCGTTGTTGAAAGCACGAACTATGCCATTTTCAAGTGGTGGATCCAGTAGTTCAGACCAGTAGTCAATTGAGACTGCAGGAGATATGACAGAGGCGTCGAGCCGCTCTTTGGCCGAGTGCTCACAACCACCAGAACAGCCTTTTTTCAATTCTTTGCCCGAAACTATCGAGGCAGATTCATCCGGATCGTAGTCAAAAGCAAACGCTGTGCCGTCCATCTTCTGGGAAACTCGAAGACAATTTTGCAGGGACCTCTCTTCATTTGTCTTTTTCGGACTACAGGCTTTCTGTCGGTTTGGGTACCTCTGGTCAGCGGTACCAAGAAGCGCAGTTTATAGAAGCTATCATTTCTGTCTATGATCGCGGAATATGGGTTGCTGATCTTGACATCATAAAGGCCAGCAGAGAGTGAAATTTAGCGTCTGAAACTCGAGGCGAAGAAGCTGCGAGTGTAACTAACATTCCTCTTAGAGAAGATTACCACGCTGTTTTTGCGACTAATCGCTGCGTGGCACACTGTGGCAGCTGCTTAACTGGGTCACTGAGCATCTTCTGTGAAACATATATAGAAATTTTATATGTAATGGCCATGACAGAATTTAGCTCCTTTGGTTGGAGGTCGAGATGACCAGTCTCGAGACAGGCAATACAGGCGAACGCGTGGCCTAATGGTGGGTCGTGGTCTCCGTCGCGTTCAGACCACCATTTCCACTTTTGCAACGGTCGAGAAGTTACTTTTAAATCGATAGTGCTGCTAGGTAAAGTGGCATAGATCTGTGAAGCCATTGCCAAGGCATCTAAAGAGGCTAGTTGCCGATCCAACTTTTGACCTTTAGGTGAGAAGAATTTTATTAGTTTGGCTCTTAACAATTCGTGATCTAGATAAGAAGAATCTAGTGACAGTTGTAAATAACGCAACTGTGTGATGTTCGTGGTGGCTGTTGGTTCTCGGTTAGGGGCAATCTTCCGAAAGACAGCTGTCTTAGCGTCGCCAAAGACAAACTCATGCCGTATGGGAGCTTCATCATTCATACTTGCACGGCAGAATATACTGAAAGCTATCTGTATCGAATAGAAATCAATCGATTCAAACTGTCGATCGATGAGATATTCATCTGCTCCCCCTTCAAGCCAGAAGCTGGGTGCCCATCTCGTTTTTTTTTTTTTGGCTGGCTGCGCCATGCCCTTGGTGAGGGTTGTATACTTGGCTCTGGAATATAGACCATCACAGCAGCGTATCACCAAGTTGTCAAGGTCACTGCTGAATGAGTGAATGTTCTCGCGTAAACATTCCAATCTGCCTTCAAGTGTGGAAAAAGAGCAAGTAGAACTTGCATGCGGGCAAGACCGAATACGGGTGGAGAGTGCAACTTCCTTGGAGCCAAGAAATCCGGACATCTCCGCTGGCCAAAATTAATTAATCGGCTTTGTATTGTTTGCTCTTCCTTGTTTGCATCGAGATACTGTTTCGTGGTAGAGAGTATAAGTTCCTGTCCAGTAGATAGAAGGGACTTAGGTTCTTTCCATAACTCCTCGACTGTAACATTTTCCGTCGTTGAAGCTTCTTCCCCCCTGGCAGATTTATGCCTTTTTGCGTTTCCCTGCTTATTCAAGGTTTTGTCCGCGCAGCATTCAGGTCTCTTGGAGCTCAAATGTGTGAAGAGATAAACTGTAAGCTGCAGAGGTCCCGAAAGGTCTGAACTTGAATGACCCCGTGAGCTAATTAGACTCCCAATTGTAGTCTGAAGGAGCTGGTCAAATGTAATGCGAGAAGCGTAGGCGCCAGCAGTAGACGTTGTTATAACCGGATTCCCATAATACTTCAGATACGCGAGAGGCAAGGACCAATATATACCGTCATCTTTCGCTATGCGGGTATTCTTCAAACCAAGTGTAACAACGCCACCCTCGGCAACCAGATGGTCATTCTGTGGAATAGCAGTTGATGAGGAACCCAGGGCATACAAGTCGGGGTAGATGTGCCAAGCTGACAAACCTAGGAGAATCGCGCCTTCCTCGATCCTCTGAGGCATTCCAATAATTAGGTTGTCTACTGCTTTCATCGCTTTGGTCCAGACTTCCACTACATCGTCATAAAGAATCGATCCCTTTGCGACAGGAATGCTGATGTTCTTTAAAATCAGCATCAGCTGCGTTTGCTGGACCCTTTTAGCTTCATCGGCGGTCTGTAACCAGGCCCTAGTTCAGCATCAGCATCTAAAACCACTGGGAGATCTCCACCTTCTTCTATTAAGTATGAATTTGAGCTTACCTTGCGCTACCATCCCATTCCGCTAGCTGTTCCGTGCTTATTTGAATTCGCGATGCTTGTAATTCGGAAACTTTGAAAGTTAGATTATTACAATGCTCTTGCAATATAGCTCTCCTCCGAATCACCAGCTCAACCCATATAGCGATAGCCTCCGCTTGAGGCCATTGACATGCCAAGATGCAAGCCAGCAGGTGCATTGCGATTGCGCTCGTGCCGGAGGTTGCCGCCGCCCAAATTGTAGTACCATCCGCACCTACATGGTCTCGAAAAGGACCATCTCGGGAACTTCCCTTCGGATTCACATTAGGCATCTCCGCGATCTCTGTTACTCGTCGACCATAAGCTTGAATCAGGTGAGGAACTTCAGGCAATTCGTCTTCAAAAAGTGCGCCGAGCTTCCTCGCGGTAACGTGAGTCGAACCATTCTCTGCATCATGTTTGCGTTTGCTGGATAATGCGTTACCAAGACCTTGATACTCTACTGGTGCCTCCATTTTAAACAGAGCAAAGTCGAAATTTATGCTGGCAAGGGCCAGCGTAGTCTCTTGTGTCCCGGTTATTAGCGACGCCGCTAACTTGCCAATTGAAGCCATACTTCTTGGAACGGGTGAGAATTGTATGCTTGAAATATTGTGACCGCAATGGTAAGGGATGTGGGTTTGGAAGGGAAAGTGAGAATGCGGGATGGCGCAAAGTGCTCTTGGATATAATAACAATCGTGATCCAGTGGGGCTATGTCTAGGAGGGGCTGACGTTTTCAAGTAACAAGTCATACTCGTACATGCATGAAGAATCGAGTTATATTCAGGCTGCCCAGGCATTCTCACCCTCGGCTTAGGTACTGTACAGAAGCAGCCTTCTTTTACTCACCGAGTCACAGGTAGTAGAGAAGCGGGTAGACGCGGTTTCAACAGAAATGAGGCTTACGGTTATCTGTATCCCAGAATCTGGTGCTTGATTGCAGCATCTAGGCGGAATCTTGTATCTCAGAATTCAGACTTTGGAGCAGAGCTGGCTGAACGAAATTCTTAATTCTGAGCTTCACTTCGTTACTGTAGTTTGCGCAGTCCGGTGCAGGTGAATTCCAAAAACGGGTTTCAACTGGCCTTGTAGCGTCAGGGGCTTCCAGGTTCCTGTGGGAGCCTTGAAAGTAGCCTTGAGAGGCTTAGCACTCTATTAGCACTGCGTTTAGCACCCTAAAGAGCAGTAAATTACACGCGTGACCGCTACGCCTGCTCTCCAGATTATGAATTTTGAAGGTATTAGGTTGCATTGCCCCGATTCCCGATTGTCTGCCTCTAAATTGGAAAGTGGGAGACATTAAATCGCGAGCAGTAGAAAAGCCGGTAGATAGCAAGAGCGCAGAACTTGGTTGGAGGTCAACCGAATACAGCATCCCGTCTTTAGCGGTGTCTTGCCTAACTTTTCAAATGTTATCCCTAATCCTCCTTTCCTATATTCCGGCTAAACCTAGAACGGCTTTTTGCTTTCTGGATTGGTTTTCTCTTTAGAAAATGCTTCATGTAATTTGGGTAACTAAGAATTGAAACCCTTATGCTGAAATGTGTACTATATAGCTAAATCTTAAATATGCTCAAGTAGAATTAGTTAATTTGAATCCGGAATTTAGTGTTTTGAATCCTAAACACAGTTCTAAATTGAAGCCTATGCTAGGTTAGACGGTTGAGATAGCCCAATTATCCTCAGTCTATGGTCGTATGTGGAATGTAAACGCATTATTAAAATACATATATGGAGCATTGCTGCTTATTAGAGGGTTCACTGATAGCAAAGTTGGGAAGCTGTTGTTATTGAAATACGCTAAGCGGATTGTATACCAACCGACTACTCTCAGAACTGGATTATTACGGTGGATATGAAGAGTAGACACGGAGGTGAAGGATGATCTATTCAGTCTAGGCTGGGGAAGCTAACATAGTGATTGCTACTGTAAATTTGTAAGTACATGTGCCTGAAACAGGTTTGAAATGATTCTGTCTTCAACTTACTATGTATCAAACACTCATTGTCTATCCGCCTCGCCTTGAACCTCTCCTCGATTCCTCAATTGCCTTGGCACATCACCATAGCAGATACAAATGATAATGGGTAGCCAGTCAACAATACTAATGGTGGAAGACTATTGTTTTGGTTTCCGCCTCGACGAGGAGCCTGAACCACTATCTCTACCGCATCCCGTTGACCGAGAGCCGTTAATACAGTCACGCCGCTTGTAGCCTGATGCTGACACTCAGCACGTTGATGTGTCCATGTCCTGTAACGAGCGCAATTCATGTATTCCATGAAACCTATTCTGCATGGTATCCAGGTGCAAATGGGGGTTTCGGCGGTATGCGGCTGTAGTTGAGTATTGATATCGTTGCCGGGATCCAATTCTGCGGCCCTATGTTCCAGCTTCTCATCGATATCATTGCCGGGATCGGGTTCCGCAGCAGTGAGGTTCGTGTTTCCGTCTCGGTCTTGCGGTGGAATTCCAGCTTTTTCGGCGTCATCCACTGTGTGCTTGAAAAAGTGTCGGCGAAAAACCTCGCAGGTAGAATGGAAGATAAGCATGTAGTTTGAGTAGGGTGTTGGCCCAATTTCTGATCTTTAAAGTTTCTTCTGAAGTAACAGGTGGAAAGTAGGCAGCGAGTGACTTTATGTAAAGCTGGGGTTGGATTAGAATAATATAAGATATTAAATCTCGGTCTCCCAGATGGGACCCTAGTTATTATAGGACCTGGATTTGATTTTAGTCTAGCTCGAGCTCATGAAACCATTAGCTTCATGTCATCTTTCAGGATTACACTTTTCCGAATATATATATTTATTCTATGGGGCGGTTTGCATTATCATATTTGTCCATTTATTGGGGTTGCAAAATATCACGTTGTAATGGCATAGCAATATTGTATGAAGGTTGTGGGAATTGGATAATGCATAATAGCTATATCACTTAGATAATGACTAGTTACGAGCTTGTGTTTAAATGCTTATAAGTTTTAGATAAATCTTCATTTTGGATTCTGGCTACTCACACCTTAAGCTTTTGAATACGAAAACATAAAGGTTCCGGTTATCGGTATTTCATAACCGTCTCCATAGATTCCAAATGATACCTTACCATGGATGGAAAAGGCACTACACGTCATTTATAATGTGTTAGGTGGCATGGGACATTAAATGTCAATTAGCGGCTCTCGTAGGGAAGGCTGTAGACACTATTGGTTCTTATTTTACATTTATCTCACCCAAATTCCAGACTTCGCGAATACTTCACGGCCTGTTAACAATATGATAAATCACCCCGGCGTTCAATCTATATTGATAACAAATTTCCCAATCCCTCCCTTCCCATCCAAGACCTCCTGGCAGCCCTGTCTCACCCCCTCAACATCGGAAAGCATCACCTGCCTCCCTACAATCGGCTTGATCTTCCCCTTGTCCACCCAACGAGCCAGCTTCTCCAAGTCCGACCCCGCCGGATTCGTAAGTAGAGCGCTATAATCCACGCCAGCCCTCCTCGTCCAGGTTCTATAAAACCAGTCCACAAGATCCAGGAGAAGCACCAGCCAGCCCCCCACCTCGGGCCTGGCTTTCTTCGTCATGGCACCCGACGGCACCGTGGTAACAGACACAATTACACCCCCCTTTTTCATCATCCCCAGCCCCGCCAGCGTCATGCCCGTATTGTCATACATGAAATCCACCACGCCCTTGCCCACCCTCTCCACCACATACTCTGCGCCGCCCTTATAATCAACCACCACATCCGGCTCCCCATCCCCCAAGATCTCCCTAATCCTTCCCATCTTCGCCGTCGACACCGTAGTAATGACCTTACTAGCCCCAAACACATTTTTCGCAAGCTGCACGCCGAACGATCCCGTGGCGCTCAGGGCCCCGCCGACGAACACCGTCTTCCCCGCAAGCCCGATCTTGTCATCGCCGCGCTGCAGACTCTGGAGCGCAGATTGGGCTGCGAGGGGGATGGCTGCTGCGGCGCTGAAGGAGAGCGAGGTGGGCTTGTGGGCTGTGGTGGAGGTGGTGCTGAGGGCGTATTCGGCGATGGTGCCGCGGATGCTTGAATCGGCATACACCTCGTCTCCTACTTTGAAAGTTGACACGGAGCTGCCGATGGCGACTACGATGCCAGCGAGATCGTGACCGAGTTTGTAAGGGAATCTAAAGGGACGTACCCATTAACTGATGTTGGAACTTGGAAAGTCGGTAGGCTGAGCTTACGGTGCTGTCTCCATGAACTTTCCCATACTGTAGGTATTGTTAGCACAGAAATTATATGCCAGATAATCCAAGGCGCACTTACCCCGCTGCCATCTTGACGTCGATGGGGTTTACGGAAGCTGCGAGGACTTTAACCAACAACTCATCGGGCTGAGAGATTTGTGGCGTGGGGATAGTCGCAACATCGTATTCAGAAGGCTTGCAGTATCTCGGAAGGACTAAAGCTCGCATGGAAGAAGGTATTGATGTGGACATTATACGATGTGATGTAATGAGTTGACCCAACTTGGTTCGGAATTTGTGAAGTAATGGATTTATTATATCTGAGATTCTTCCATCGCGTCTTTTTGTATAAGTGACGGAAATTGTCTCGGAGAACATTTCTTGAGACTACTCTATATATGGACTGATTACGGTCTTCAGCAATTCAATTGTGGAACTTGGATCCATGGAGAACCGGCTATTTCAGGGGGAAGAACAAGCGAACGCCGATAGCCTCGGTCTTTACTCCGTGAACAAACATTACTTCAGAGTACTGTACCCTATGCAGAGCCTTTCAAGAATGCGAAATTTGACTAATTCATCGTTCTTCTTTTCTAGAAAGATGCCTTGAAAGCTGGACGTTGGATATTGGCACAGTAAGTGGGCTTCAAGGCAGACAAACAAGAAAAATGCCATTTACAATGTGCTAGGTGGCGTGGGACATTATTAGAGGTCGATGAGAGTAAGTGCCGCTTTGTGTGTCCAGCGTAGGGGAAGAACAACAATGAGCCTGGGGGTTTATAATTCATAGTCCTTTTGTGGGGAAGGCCGTAAAATAAAACACTGCAGGAGTTAAGGTATAATTGAAATGGGTAAAAGAAACTAGAAATAACAGCCAGTTGCTATTAAATTACCGACTCGCTTGAAAATTGGATTCCAGTATAGGATTTTAGACTAATAGGAAACACTAGATGAGAAAGAATACCTCAAGGCTGGCAAAATGCAAAATCACGCGTCTAATCTAAGTATCAAGTCATATCTGATGCATACATATGTAGCAATCTCCCAAAAACCTAGAGGGGTATCTAAACTCCACACCCAACAAGCCAATTTTTGACGCCTTATTCCTATCCCTTACCCCGATCCCATAAATGCACTCATACACCATAAAACTCATGACCAGCAGCCGCTTGATCAAGATCCATAAATTGGTCAATATCTGCCTCTGCGAACCCCATCGGAGGGGCCACTTGAGCTGGCTGTACGTCCAGGAATACATCGTCGGCAGGAGCACCATCTAAACCTCTGCTGACTTTGAAATCCGCAGGGACAGCACGGCCTAGCGTATCTTTTCGATTGCGTTTTCGCTGCTCGGGGTTGTTGTTCTTGTCGCGACGGCCATTCATCCACGCTCCTGCGTCAGTGGTGATGCCACTGCTGAGCTCCTCCTGGAACTTTTGTATGCCGCGGAGAATGGGTAAGAGAGTTCGCGTCTCGTACCAGCGGCCCTTGACATCGCCTAGGCTGCGGCGAGCTGCTGGTTCTAGCAAGCGCCATTCATACCATATTCCTTTCTTTGCGACATCCGCGACTTCGTTCCGGAAGCGGAGGTCGACGATCATGCGGGGAGGGAGGGCCGGAGTTGGCCATTCGGAACGGGTTTTGTAGGGGGTGGGCATCTCGACGAATTTGTAGACGTCGCCGACGAATACCACGGTGGAAGTGTTTGGGGGCGTGGTTCGCTCGATTAGTTTGTGGATTATGAGGACGACGATGTCGTTTCCTGGGACTCGGAGACGGACTGGTTCTCCTACCCATATCTTCTCGGCGCCTAGGAACATGCCTTTGTAGTGTATTTCATTTGGTCCAGCTAGGGCACCCTCTATCCGGTCAAAGAGTGAGTAGCTGGAATCGATGACTTTAGCAGCAAGAATACTGCCATCTACTACGTAGTCTCGAGATTGCCCGTCATCATGTTCTCCTCTGACAACCTGCTCCCAGGGAACTTGATCGTATGTAAGATTTTGTATGGCAGGAACTGTGGTATTTGGGACACTCCAAGCCAACCATGGCCGAATCGAGTTTTCGTCATCTTTAATCTGGTAGGCCTGGTGCTGGAAGGGGTTTGAAAGGGGCTGGATGAGATAGCGTGGCTTATTGTTCTGCAATCCGCGTTTTGATATTACACCCAGGCGCCAATTCATAACGTTGTTAAACCAAACCAATTCTCCCGGCCTGTAAAGATATTTTCCCCCTGGGTCACCGTCAAGCTTTTGTTCAGCGGTCTTCGTGGCCTGAGTATTCAACAGAGGTTGGTATGATGGTCTCGATTGTGCTGGAGCTGGAGCTGGTACTGGTACTGGTACTGGTACTGGTGCGCCTTCAATGATATTAGCTCAGGCCATCTAATGCAGTGGACATAGTTACTCTTTGGAGCAGCTGAAGCCATAGGAACAGGCTTCACCTCCCTCTTAACAGCTGTCTCTACCTTCATGGGCTCTTCCCCTACGGCCTCTTCATCGCCATCCGGGGAACATATTTTACATGAACAATTTCTGGGGTCACCCTCTGTGTCCGTACACAGCCACAGCATATGTGGGAAGAAGTCTGCCGGGCTTCTAAACCTCTTCTTCCGACCATGAGGATGCCCATAGAGGTATGCGTCTTGACGCTCATACACACCGGCTGAGTGTTTGCCCTTGTCTCTCTTGTCCTCCGCCAGCTTTTTGGCATTATATTTGACATGTTCCCACAACACATACCCTTCGGGAAGTTCGCTCACAATATAATTACGGTCTATAGAGGGGTTAGCTTGTTCGAAATTTAGAAGAGGGGACAAAATACCGGCCCATTCTTTTCCACCGAGAAGATGCATGTACATGCCACCTAGCTTCCGCCGCCAGTCCACTGCCTTGGCATCGTCGGGTTCAATCTTCCTATAACAATCTACATTTCCACTGGCGGCGTCCGGTGTACCGTTCAACTGCGCTGTTGTAGGTTGGTTGAGCTCTTTAGTACCGGAACGAGTGGTAATCTCGAATTGCCCGTCTGATCTGACAATTGTGAATGGCCAGTAGGGTGCCATGGTGATTTTCGAGGTGGTTAAGTAATATTTGTAGGCATCAATGGGAGGGAGTTGGTGTTATATCATGGGGAGGGAAGCTTGGACGTGAAGTATGGAAATATACGAAGTAGAGCTTCGAGATATCATTGTAAAGTACCTAGGTACGTTCGGATTAACCTTCGGGCCGCAGCGCGTTCCGTCTTTAGAACTGCCCCTCCTTTTTATTGTTATTACTAAGTATAATACAACGGGTAGAGTAGGATACTTCCAGGACGAGCATGAGATATTATTGCATGACATATACAGATGCGCAATACTGTATTTTCTCACACTTGCAAATAAATATTTTAGCTATTTAGTAGACCAAACTTTAAATGATACAGCCGCGCTCTACTTTTCTAGATTATATAACTTTTATAACACCTGGTTAAATTTAATTCTAAGAATTATATAGAGTATATTAGCGTCTTATCTATCCAATTGATTAATACGAATAAAATTATAATTGAGTTGTGGTGGTTATGCTGGGGTCGCAAAAGGGAGGCTTGTTTGCGGTCGTGGGTGTCCTCAACTATACAGTCTCGAGACAGTATAGTATTCCTTACTGTAAACGAAAGCGGTCTGGTATGGCAGAAGCTGAAATTCGCGTCCCCCTTTACGCGACCGACGCCCTGTGAAAGTTGATATCTGGTCAGCTTCTGCATTCTGTGCATTCCACCCCACAACACCGTCAATCGCACCAATATCCAGATCTTGCATATGGCCTGTGTCGTTGTAGTACCATTCAGTTTCCACCCTCAACTTTCTGCGACATACATGGATGTCACTATCCTTCACACAGCTCCTTGCTTTTGCCCTCACGCGCTCGGTTCTTGAACATCTCACAGTGTCGATTGACCCCGCCATCAACCTTTGAGTCCTCTTCTGAGATCACTTTACTACCAACCTTAGGTATTCACCCCTTCAACATGCAAGCTCCAAGCTCAGCAACTCCTTTGCCTGCTCGTCAAACTTCGGCTTCGACGTTGCTTGCCCAGTTCCTCCCCACCGCAAACATCGCTCACAAGATGGACAGGAAGACGCCCTCTCCGAATATACAAAAAGCAATCCCTAATTCACAACCCGATCTTGTGTCCGCGATACCCTATTCACTCCCCACCTCGAGCAAATTAAACTCCGATCTAGCTACAGGCATCACCAAAGAAGCAGTAGATCAGCACAACGTGAAAAATATGGCAGACAGTGACGAAGATGGTATTGCATATGCTACTCCATCTCGTCGCCAGCTGAGAGTACGAGTCCCAAATAAGTCCCTCAAAGCACTTGAGAATGTAGAGGTGGGAAGACGACGATCGGGAACCACCAAGCGAGAGCCTCGCACCTCAAGCGCTACCTCGACCCCGAGGGCGAGCAAGAGGGTTGAAATCCGGAAAGATATTTCGAATCACACGGTGGCCCTGCGAACTGTTTTTTTCATTGAGAAGAAGGACTTGCTATTACCCCTTTTGCCACCCCATAACCATGTCAGGAAGTTGATCGAGAAGCATGCACGACTGTCAGAAGATGAGCGTTCGAAGCTCCATCATGGGACGCCATATGAAGAAATTGAAGAGGCTCCACGCGGCATTCTTGCAACCATGAAACCATACCAGCTCTCTGGCCTCAGCTTCTTGGTTTATCTACACCGCAATGTAAGCTTCCTCTCACCTTTCACTTACTAAACTGATACTATATAGGGTCTCTCAGGCATCTTGGGCGATGAGATGGGTTTAGGAAAGACTCTGCAAACCATCTCTTTGATTCAGTATCTAAAGGAGCATGACCCAAAGGCTGGTAGAGGTACACTGCAACGACCGTTCTTGGTTGTCTGCCCTCTCTCTGTCTTGAGTTCTTGGATGGCAGAGTTGAAGCGTTGGGCACCTCACCTAAAAGCAGTCCGGTTCCACGGCCCCATCAAGGAGCGAGATCAGATCAAAAAAGTCGTCATGGGAGACGAGGACCTATATGGTAATGCGACTGCCCAGGGCAAAGCTAAGCAAAAGCGCCGAAAGCCGCAGGTCATCTCCCTAGACTCGGACTCGGAGGATGAAGAAAGTACTGGAGTCGACGTTGTCGTAACAACCTATGATTGCTTCAAGGCCGAGCAGAGTTGGTTCAAGAGAGCTCTTGTATGGCGATACGTGGTCCTAGACGAAGGTCATACGGTACGTTCAACCATCATTAGATCGGGCTCGGCTAACAGATCACAGGTCAAGAATCATGAGAGTCTTGTGTCAAAATCTTTGCAAGGCCTACAAGCAGAGTATCGATTGCTACTAACAGGCACTCCGCTTCAGAATAATCTGTCTGAACTCTGGGCACTGTTTCACTGGCTTTATCCCGAGGTTTTCAACGAACAGACGCTAGAATTGTTTGAGAAATCCTTCAATCTAACGAAGGGGCATTACTCCAACACCGTTGTGGTTGATTCTCGCCGACTTCTTGAGTTGATCATGCTTCGGCGCATGAAAGATTCGGCCGGAGTTAACCTCAACCTTCCTCCAAAGACTGAAGTTCTTCTTTTTGTACCACTGAGTCCAACTCAGAGAGCTTGGTACCAGCGTATCATCACTAAATCTGATGAGGGGCTGTTAGATGAAATATTCAAAACCAAGAGCGAAGATATTGGCGAGGAAGAAGAGGACGCCAAGAAGACCCGCGCTCTTGAGGTTTTAGGGGATGACTCTAAAATCGGAACTATAGAATGGACTGATGCACAACAAGTATTAGCTGCAGGCATCAACAGCGAGAAGCCCGCGCTGTTTGGTAAAAAGAATGATTATCAGCGTCTAATGAATCTCTTGATGCAGCTGCGCAAAGTCTGCAATCACCCATATCAAATTCCTGATGCCCAACCAGATCCTTACAGGAGTGGATCTCATGTAATCCATACGTCTGGAAAGTTCATCGTTCTGGAGAAACTTCTAAATGAGCTTGTCGTCAAGCAAAAGAAGAAGATCCGTAAGTAAACTTACGTCGCTAGACAATCACATGCTAACACTATGCAGTGATTTTCTCCGGTTTCGTTCAGACCCTCGATTTAGTCGATGAGCTGCTTCTCCTCTGTGGTGGTGATGGCTCTGAATATCGTTCAGTTCGCATTGATGGCTCCGTTCCCAGAGCGAGACGCAACCTTGGGATTCGACTTTTCAACAGTCCTGATACCAACTATAGGGTGATGCTCATTTCTACCAGAGCTGGTGGCCTGGGTATCAATCTAGCTTCGGCATCAGATGTCGTTCTGCTTGACCAAGACTGGAATCCTCAGATCACTCTTCAAGCAGAGGCACGTGCTCATCGAATTGGTCAGAAAAACCCGGTGACCGTCTATAAGCTCGTGTCTTCCGGCACTGTGGAAGAACAAATGATGGGCCGTATCCAGAAGAAGCTTTATCTTTCTGTCAAGGTTACCGAGGCAATGCAAGACATTCACACAAAGTTTGGGTCTGGAAAGAAATCAAAGAAGGGAAACTCCCTAGAACAGGAAGAAGACTTGCCACAATTGAGCACTGGCCAGCTTATGAATATGGTACGACGTGGTGCTGCTACTCTTGCACGACCTCAAATTGATGTTAATGAGATGCTTGACTGGTAAGTACATTTTTAAGCATCTAGTGGCTTCACTAACAATTTCCAGGGACTGGGATATGACGCTGTCAAAATGCAAAGATCGCCCTGTGGACCTTGATGTTAAGAAAGATGTCGTCGCTGATGCAAACGTTGGTGAGGAAGAAGAGGTTAAGTGGTTGACCGAGCAAGAACGTGTTGAGTCTCATGTTTTCGAGGGTAAACATTTAAACCGCGCCTCAAAGTCGGAACCCGAGACTATTGCTTCCCAATATGCCCAGATTGACCGGTCTGAACGCCGGAAGGGCAAGAACACCACTGTTATGGTCGATGGCTTTGCGATCTCGAAAGAGTCGATGGGCTGCAAGGATTGGGAGGCTGTTCCAACGTATGCAGGAACTAATGCTGCGTATGCCGAGCCAAAGCGCGCCAAGAAAGTTCCTATCGTACCCCAGAGCCATTGCCAGGTTTGCCTTGATGGTGGACAATTGGTCTGCTGCCAAAGCTGCCCTCGGTCGTTCCACCTAAATTGCCTGGACAAACAAGCTAGGACCAAGGCTTTGGGGTTTCAATTCAACTGCCCTCAGCACGAATGCTTCCACTGTCTCCAGAAGACCACCGATGCTGGAGGTATGCTTTACCGCTGCAGATGGTGCGAGCGTGCATACTGTGAGGATCATCTTGAGTTTGACGAAACGGAGCTCATTGATGACAATCTTCCCGAATATGAAATTCTAGGGTACCCGTCACGAGACAATGCCTTCTACGTGCGATGTCCCGCTTGCCGTACGCACTTCATTGAAAGACCAGGCGACAAAAAGCTATGCGATGACATGGCACACAGCATCAGCCTCGAGCATGAACGCCGATTCAAGAATTCCAGCACGCCCTCGACGCCTATGACAAATGCAACGACTCTTGAGAGCACTGCGGTGAACACTCCATCTCTCGACGATGAAACCGGCTGGGGGCTTAACAATAAGGGGGCAATTAAAGAGGAGTATACTAACGGTTCCTTCAGGCCAAATTTTGCGCCCTCAAATGCCCAGCCCGCTTCCATGGTCCAAAGTTGGCCAGCGCTCAACAGCCAAAATAACGATATTTCAAATGGAAAACAGCAAAAGCCATCTTCGAGCGCCCATCCGAGTTTTACGTATGATTTGTCGCGCTCTGGCTCGAATCATCCTCATCCTCAGTACCTCCCCCAAACAAACGGACCAGCCCTGTTCCAGCCGAAGACGTTCCCGCCCAGAGTTGACCCAGCTTCCTTAGGGAACGCATCTCATCACAAGGCCACGAATATTGCGGCCCGTGACACAAATACAAGCTCCCCTTATTTCGCTTCCCACCATGGTCACGTGTCTTCTAATCAGAAAGCCAGTCCTCCATCCATGGCCAACCGCGTCGTCATAGATCTACTCGATGATAGCGACGGAGATGATTTTATTGAGGTAACATCAGTCAAGAAGCGGAAGATTTCTCCAGAACTCTCTAGCCACCCATCCTCTTCTTCGAACAAACGTCAAATTCCTTCGGCGTATTACGGCCAGCAGTAAATTTAAGGTGTTTTGAGAGCAGATTGAAAAGTTATGATACTCTTAACGACAAGTATAGTCTCACCGATTTTTTCTCTGATTTGTCAGGTTGTCAGTGGTCTTTTGTTTTCGACGGACCGGTAAATTTGGTTCCAAAACCCCACCCAGATTCTGCATTTCACGGCGTTTATGGTATGGAAAGGTGGGAACAGAAGGGAATGATTGTCCTCGTCATAACTCGACGAGATCAAAATCGAGATACAAGCCCCGCTGTAACGCAAATATGGCTGGTGGCACGATTTGTTTTCGTGGCGTTTTTTACATGGTCTTCCCCCCCATCCCTCCGTTTTGGAGGTGGAGATAGGAATCTGGATTTGATACACTTTCATGACATGTTAAGGAGTATGAGGAATATACTTAAAAGACGAGATGGTGAGAATGGGGCGTTTTTAATAGAGGCAAGGATGGGATAGGATAGGATGATTAGGATGGACACATAACTGATCGTATGTATGTGTAGAATAAATAGACTTATTGCAAATGCAAATCTGCGTATGATTTTCGGGTGTGTTTCTGTATATATGTGTGTGTGAGCAATTTGCTCTTTTGGTTTCCTCGCATTCCTCTCTTCGTTGAAACAAGCAATATCGTATAGTTACTATATGAACTTACGGAAAAGGGGTCGATCACATGACCTGAATTAGCTGCAGCTGTACCCTGGTTTTTGACCTTATGAGATGCTAAGCAAGAGTATATATATTCCTCTATGCATGTTTATCCTACACAGTTTACTTTTTTAATTCTTGCTTCTTTAGGTACTATAAACCTCTAAGAAACTACACGTGATAAAGACTCTCTTCCATCCTGTGCAGTTTAGTAAGATCTTATATCCTCAACTTCACCACCATATATGCAGAAGCAGAAGCAGAGACGAAGAGATTTGATGAAGGTACTTATCTTGTCGAGAGATCGTTGTATGTTCCCTTGATACTGTGGTACTGTATGCCCCTCCTTGTTCTTCTGTTCAGGCAAGCACATGCTCACATGTTTTACTTCTATCTACCACGGATTATCTCTAACTATAAAGTATGCAACCTTCATGCTGCCTATGGCATCCAAGCATGGGTTGGGTCATACATACATACATACATACATACATACATACTGCTGTGCAACGCAATTTGAATCCTCGGGTAGCATTGATGACATGCATCGCCTTCCCCTCAACGGGCTTGGCTTTGGGTATTGCTGCAAGTCTCGTTCGCTGATTTGATTCTGCGGGTGATTATAGTAGATATGGTGACGTGAGGTGGGATTGAAAGCTGGGCAAGGACTGAGCCGGATTGGCGTTCGTGAATGAGGGGAGAGGAGAGTAGCGGAATGAAGCAAAAGAGCTACGATATCAGATGAATCGTCGTTCTGTGTCTCAAGCCCGATTATTCCCTAAGGTAGTCAACGACTAAATCCTTTCATGAGCAAATATCTTGAGGAAGGAGCAAAGGGGCGCAGAATTAGTCGTTGTTCCTTCCTTGTTATTGCGTTACTCCACCAGCATAAAGCACAACCTTGTGCAGCTGTCTGGCTGGCTTTACTGAAGCATACATGTACCTACAAAACACACAAGAACATTCCAGTATTTAAACATCTCCAAGATACAAACAAATCATACACTCGTCAAGATGGCATCAGCTGCACAAGCAACTACTGGAGGTTCGTCCCTTGCCCCTCATCGCATCACATCTCAAGCTTTCCCCCTCCCTGATTCAACAGATAGTCAGGGCCTATTCTACTTTGAACACGATATAATGCTCTCGACACTATCCTTCTTGTTCCCAAAGAACTTCTGCAAATCGAATTACTGACTCCATGCACCTGCAGATGTAGTCTTCGACAAGCAAGCAACGGGCACCACCTCCAATGACCCCTTTGCAGCTCAGCGTAACGCCGATACAAATGCAAGTGCAAATGCACATGACAAAGGCACCGAGAATCCAGTAGCGGCAACGGAGGACAAAGGCTTAGAGCCAGTTGAGACGAGTCAGGGCGACGAATGGGGTATGTCCCTCCTTCTTCTTCCCCTTCCCACATTTCAAACTTCCTTCATTTACACCCACGCATACATGATAACCAAATATCCTCACAGATGCATCCAAAACCCCACCCTCGCGCTTCCAACAGCGCAAAGGCAGTCTCTTCGCCACGCCCGGCTCCCGCGACGGCCACGTAGCGCGGAATACTGATCGCGACGCGGCATATCATGCGAAGCTGAGCGAGCGTGGTTGGGGCTCGGGTGGCAGCGCGAAGGATAAGGAGAGGGAGAAGGATAGAAGGGGTAGTAAGGTGAGTAATTGATTGGGGGGAGGTAAGTTGAGTTGGGCGCTTGCCTGTTGCATGGCGTTAGGTTGGGTTGAGAAGCAGGGAATGAATAGATGGATGGAGGAACGAATAAACGAACGAATTTGTTATGCTGGAGTGATCAAACGGCATTTGATACGATACCAAGGGATGAGGATTATGATCAGAAATGGAGTGGAGTGGAGTGGAAATAGAAACAGTACGACTTGTTACTTTGAATGGAACACGCACAAACACAAACACAAATTAGGGATACTCGCTGCGTTACGTTGCGTTGCTTTTGTACTATGAGAAAAATACAAATACCATACATACAAGCAAGGAGACAAAAGTGAAGTCTATCCTGTGGCAAATAACGCCTTCCATGCAATATGTGATCCGAACGCCTATAATGCACTCCTGTTCCACCTCCACATCAACTTCACCAATCTCAGTCGTCATCCACATCAATAGCATCCGGATTCACCGCAGCAGTTGCCGCAGCATCCCCATTGATATTGCCAATTTGCGGCCCAGTACTAGCAGCAACGAACCCAACCGGTGCTCTCGCCTCCCTCTCCAACGCCGCCATGGCATCCGCACCATCGCCCTCTGCTCCATCACCCTCTTCACCCCCACCAGCCTGCTGCTGTCTCGCCAAAGCCTGAGAAGCGATAAAGTTAACATCAGTATTATACTGCGCCTGCACGCTCCTCTTAATACGCAGCATCTCCTTGAACGTATCCTCGTTGCCATGCTGCACCTCAAACTGTTCCCACTTAGTCCAGAACGTCGGGCTAGTCCGGGGGTCACAGAACTGGCTCGCGTGGCCGTAGATGGCTCTCGCGCGGTCGATTTCGCCCAGGCGTTTCTCCATATCGGCGAATTTGAGACACATGTCGCGGGCGTCTTTGTCGGGGAGAGCCGCGATGGCGCGCTCGTAGATGGGGCGTGTGGACGGAAGGCCGAAGTTGGAGGCTGATTTCGTAATGTAGAAGTTGAACATGTCGGCGCGGTCTTCGTCGGATACGGCGCGGGTGGCGCGCTCGTAGATGCGCATTGCGTGGCGGGCGAGGCCGCGTTCTTCTTCTAGGTTCCCATACATGAGATATAGGACTTTGGCGAATCTGGGCGGGCAGTCTTCGACGGATTGTTCAAAGAGGTCGCGTAGGCGTTCGATGCCGATTTTGCGGTCCACGGCTTTGGTGAGGTAGAGGTTCCAGAGTTCAAAGGCTACTGGGTAACTGAATAGATCGAGACCACGCTCATAGATCTTAAAGGATTCTTCGAAGTACTTGTTTTCTTCGAGGAGATTGGCGTAATTAACGACTGTTTGAGGCGTTGCGATTCGGAGTTCGAATATCCGTTCGTAGATCTTCTTGGTCGATTCAAGTGTGCTGACACTCTCAACAAGATCCACATAGAAACTCCATAGTTTCCAGCTCTTGTGAACTCGTTGTTGGGGTGATAGCGTTTCGTCAAAGTAGTCCACGGTCGATCGTTTGGGTGCTTGAACAGCTTTCGCCATAATTTTCACAGCGTCGTCAAAGTTTTCGTTCCTCAACTCCATCTCAGCCCACTCAATCCACATGTCTGCAAGCTCTGCTACAGACTTGAATGGAACCTTGACAGCTTTCTCCATGATGACTCTCGCATTCCTTATATCACCACCTTTCTCGTAAAATTTGGCATAATTGGCCCATAACTCGTGGAATCGTCCCACGGCCTTTTTCGGTTGTACAGCTGCTATTGCATCGGTGTACGTCTTGACAACCTCCTGCTTGTTGTCACCCCATAATCCAATCCTAACGTTCCACTCCGAAACGTTGTTCGGGTTTTGCCGAAGTAGTACATCATTGATCAAGAATGGCCGCCGATCCATCAACTGCTCAAACCTCATCATGCGGATGTCCAAGTCAAAATCGGCATTTTCATCTACAATGCCCTTTTCCGACCGTATCGCGGCTTCTTCCATCAATGCCCCTGTAATTGCTTCCTCGAATTCAACATAGGAATCAAAAATGAGTGTGAAATCTCGAACCGTCATGACAGTTGTGATGCCTTCTTCGTAGATATCTCGCGCCCTCTCAAAACTTCCCCTTGTAATCCAATACGTCGCAAGACCGGACCACAGCTTGCCCCTCTGATCAGCAAATCTGTCGATGCCGCTTCGGACAATCCTTTCAACGTCTATTCCGGACTCGTCTCCAGTATCCACCTCTTTTGCGTGGTCCACCAACAGCTCAGCCATCTCACTCCACAGTTGATAATGCCCCTTGCCATTCTTACTCCGGAACTTGGGGTTGTTGAGAATTTGCATATATTTCTTCACAGCCTCCGTATAATGCCCATTTTCAATCAACAGTTCAATGAAATCCTCAGCATCTTCAGGATGAACTTGCATGTACCGCCGCCATATTTTGATTGCTGTCTGGCCAGAAGCAGAGTTTGCGAATGGCCGATACAACGCCCATATCCGATTGTGTTGAGTGATGGGTAATGCGCGGAGTGCTCGGTCGAAGGTTCGGCGCGTAAGGGTAACGATTGGCTGAAGTAGTAGAAATGACAAATACATCTCCCATATTCGCGGCATTTTATTGAGCAAGACAAGGGCTCGTTCGAAGAGTGCATTGACTCGCGCATATTCCTTCGCGAAGATGGCGGGATTCAACTTTCCAAGATGTTTCATTCGGAACGTCAGGTACTATAGCAAGAGTCAGCTACGAAAATACACCCAACAAATAGACTTACCATCTTCCACAGCTTGTACGACCGAGGGAGCTGCCGACAAGCCCTCTCGAGTACATAAGCCTGCTCGTGAACACTTCCATGCTGAAGCTTGAACTCAATGTACACCAGCCACGGCTTAACGCTTCCCACATCCTTCAAAATATCCTGCTCATAAATCGTGTCTTCTTCGGACTGCAAACCAGTCAGCTTCGGATTTCCATTTGTAGAGGTTGGCGGCTAGCCTACAATTAAATATAAATCTGGTTTTCCCCTCGAGAGCTTCGATTTGGCTGCGGCGGGAGCAGCCATTGTGGGCAGAAGCTCACCAGGCATTCTCTGCCTACTGCGAAAAGAACGATCAGACCGTGGAAGGGGTTGATGGGAATGATTGTTGTGTGATTTAAACAAGTGTTCAGGCGCGTCGCGGAGTGGAGTTTTGATTCATGCAGATTCGACGCCTGACTATCGCAAGGCTTCAAGAGTGCCACGCGCTAGCGGACAGCTCCCCGCTCGACGTAGCTGCAACTGCCCTCTTATCGAAATGCAACCTCTAAATAGCTTCATATTACCAGCTCTGATTTTCCACCATTCAAGACTCCTCCTTGTTCAAGAGGATAGTTTGGTGTGAATAACTACCACACAACTTCCCCTAAAGTCTCTACCACAACACCGTCGAGATGTCCGGAGCTGGGGTGAGACAAAGAGCTCTATGCTTCCATAGAATCAACACTGACCCCCTCCTAGAATCGAGAGGCTGTCTTCCCGACCCGTCAATCCTTGGGATTGATGAAGTCGAAGCTCAAGGGAGCCCAGACTGGTCACGATCTGCTGAAGAGAAAGAGTGAAGCTCTCACTAAGTAAAACTACCCCCCCTCATCCACGACACCTAATGCTAATACCAATTACTACAGACGTTTCCGAGGTAATTTACCACAATCCCAATTTCCCAACTGTATCATCTTACGCAATTATAGAAATCACTAGACGGATCGACGAAGCAAAACGTAAGATGGGCAGAGTGATGCAAATTGCAGCATTCTCGTTGGCAGAAGTCACCTATGCAGTGGGAGGAGATATCGGATACCAGGTGCAAGAGTCCGCGAAGTCAGCCCGATTTCGAGTACGAACGAAGCAAGAGAATGTTTCTGGTGTATTTCTACCAGCTTTCGAAAGCTATACTACGGACGGAAACAACGACTTTGGCTTGACTGGTCTAGGAAAAGGTGGACAGCAGGTACAGAGATGTCGAGAGACGTATGCGAGGGCTGTGGAGACTTTGGTCGAGCTTGCGAGTTTGCAGGTATGTTGCAACGCAAGCGCATTAGTGAGATAGGGCTGATTTGTTAGACTGCGTTCGTCATTTTGGACGAGGTTATCAAGGTGGTTAACAGGAGAGGTAAAGAATCCCGCTCCAATCATCTAATTCTAATTACTAACAAATCATCCAGTAAATGCCATGTCAGTACACCTTCGGCGAATGTAGAGCTCGCACTAACAATAGCAGCGAGCATGTGATCATCCCAAGAACAGAGAACACTATTAAGTGTACGAACTTCCGATACAATTATTCCAACCCCAAGCTAATATCTCGCAGACATCAACTCCGAGTTGGATGAGCTGGACAGAGAAGAGTTTTTCCGTCTAAAGAAGGTAAGCTTCCGGTTCTTCTACGCATCGACACTTCTAAACTTCGTCACAGGTCCAGAATAAGAAGCAAAGAGATACGGCTGCCCAAGATGCCGAAATGAGAGTGAAGAGAGAAGCCGCAGAAAAAGCAGAGGCAGCGAGCGGAGCTACCAGTAGTGACAAGGAGAACGAATCCGGCACGGGTGATATCTTGGGCGAGTCAGAAGATGCAGATGTCATTTTCTAATGGGGAATGCAAGGACTTTCTCATTAAAAGTCAGGGACGGAGTACAAATTGTCATTGAGTAGCATGTAGTATTAGCGTGTAAACATCAGGGCAAAGCATTCATATGCTAATTTTATGCCTACCAAATAAACCCATTTTGGACTCCTAGCAAAAGTCAAATACCTACTGTCTCTGGTATGTAACCTTAATCAACTGGTTCTCAGCTCCTAAAGCCATACCCGCCGTATTCTCTTTGGCACTAATCGCACCCGTCTCACTCTCATACTCCACGAACGCAATACCTCTTCTACCAGGCACCAATCTGACTTCCCTGAAACCCTCAAAGCGTCCAAAGATAGCAGTCAAAGCATCGATATCATACTCGTCCGGTAAGTTCTGTACAAAGAGAATCTTGTTAGGAGGCAAGTATTCGTCTGGAATGACAGCCGCGCCAGCTGGGTTCGAGGACTTGAGGCCAGCGCCACGCGTGGTTTTGATGGGCCGTGGTGCAGCAGCTGGATCGGGGAGGCCGGGGCGCTTGAGGAGCTTTTGGGACTCTGCCTGTTCGGCGGCCTTTTTCTTGTCTAAAAATATCTTCAAGTTAGCCTAATCAATGCCTCTTGTGCCAATCCATCTCGAATATTGTAATGTAGGGGGAAAGAAGAACATACCCTTCTCCGCAAGTCGTCTCCGCTTATGGCTCTCAAAGTCCTCCTCATTACCCTGTCTCTTCACCGTTGCATCGCTGCGCGTCTTCGCAAACGCAAGCTGCATCTCCTTGCCGAACAGCTCGAAGCCCTGCACCTCATCGATGGCTTTCTGTGCGCCCTCCACGGTATCGAAAACGATAAACGCCTGGCCTTTTGCCTTGAGGTTCGTCTTTGCTACGATGTCGATGATAGTGCCATATTCGGAGAATAGCTCGCGCAGGGACTCGATTAGTTGGGTGACTTGGATGCGCTCTTCTAGGTTGCGCGCGTATACACTAGGGGGCAGAGGTTAGCTTGAAGCAAGCGGGTTTGTACGTGTCGGATGTGCAATGACACGTACGTTGCGCTTGGAGGGGGACCGGTGGATGCTGCTGCTGAAGCCATTGTTGGTTCGCGTTATGTAGTGTTTCGTGGTTGTGGTGGGGTTGGAGTTGCGGCTTGAGAAATTGAGCAGTTACCTCCGTAGGTAGGAAGCGCAGCCTCGGAGCTTCGGGCGGTGAGCTTTCTGCCACTTCCGATTTTGACAAGTCTACATCTACCACCGAGCCACCTTCACCTGTTCCTGGTGCCTCTACTCGCGCGACTTCACTGCACTATTCCTTCATCAAAAGTCTTTCATGGAGACTCTACAATGTTATACTTTGTCTGTTGATTGAGTGTAGTGTTATCCCTACTAGTTGTTCTTGATGTCAAAGTTTCTGTTGTCAGTTTCAAGCGAACCCATAAGTTCCATTTTATGCTTGAACTCAACCTCGTCCTGGTTTGGCGTTCAAGAAGAGATCTTTCTGTAGACCTTCTAGCATCACCGCTTCGATTTTGTTATATATCCAGAGTTCAAGTAGACAATGATATGCCATTTGTTTACTGAGTAGATAGAATATGGCGCGGCACAGTAGGGTCTCCAAGTCTGAGGCTTGCTCAAATGTTCTGAAGCCTAGAGACAGCCACAATCACAATGTCTTCATAGGTAGGTACTTGTATAATTGTTCAATTTGCTCTCTGCTATTATTACCGAGAATTTTCTTATGTAGAGAACATTCCATCTGTGAGTTGCGCTATAAAAAAGGAAGGCTCGCGCCAACCCGTACAACTTTCGTGTCGTGTCCGTATATATTATAGTATCTTTTTTTTATGCGACATGCAACAAAGCCTTTGATCGCCTATTTGGGATCTATTTAAAGTCACGTGTAGTTATCCCCCGTCCACCAGTGAAGTCCTGGAAGCTGTGCCTCCGTAGTACTCGGCTGGTTTGAATTGATCACAAGTTCATCGTTTGGGTACACCTGTCTTCCTGGCTTCTTTTCGCATACTTAATAAGTATGCAGTGTCTTACGGTTAACCGGGTATTTGCAACTTCCCCGCATAGCTCGGTTTCATTGAAATAGTTCCAGGCTATTAGGCCGGGAAATAGCTGTCAACCCCACGCCTAAATAGATCGTTGTTGAAAGCCAACGTGGTTTCAAATTCTATATACTGCCCTATATTGGGGCCGCCGATCGATCAAAAGTAGCCAACTTCCAGGTATAAAGGTGAAATTCATCTCCTCTTCTCAACTGTTCTAACTGTAGCATCGGATTCTTGACTCTATGATTCAGTAAGCATGTCTTCTAAACTATCATTCATCAGCCTTGTAGCTTCGTTGCTGGCCGGCATACCCGTCGCCCGAAGCTCCGAAGCCTATCCCTCACTACCAACATGGAAATGCACTACCTCAGGTGGATGCTTGCAGCAGAACACCTCCGTTGTGCTTGACCAGGACTCGAAGTACACCCAGGGTGCTGCCGGCTCGAGAACGACGGCCGACTACACAGCTATGGGAGTTTCTACCTCGGGAGACGCCCTGACCATGTATCACTACGTTACAACCAACGGCACGTTAAACGCGGCATCCCCACGCGTTTACCTCCTAGGCGCCGATTCCAAGTACGTCTTAATGGACCTCCTTAACCAAGAGCTTTCAGTTGATGTCGACTACTCGACTCTCCCATGCGGCGAGAACGGCGCCTTTTATCTGTCAGAGATGGCAGCTGACGGAGGGGGTGGTGCTGGCGCAGCGGCAGGTACCGGCTACTGCGACGCACAGTGCCCCCAAGGTGCCTGCTGCAACGAGATGGATGTCCTCGAGGCCAACTCTGAGGCGACGGCCATGACACCCCACCCGTGCGACGGCGACAGTTGTGACAGCGGCGGCTGCGGGTACAACCCCTACGCGAGCGGGCAGCACAGCTTTTGGGGCCCTGGTTTGACGGTCGACACGAGCCAGCCGTTCACGGTTACCACGCAGTTCACAGCCAGCGGAGGGACGTTGACGCAGATAACACGCTCGTACACACAAAACGGACGACAAATCGTCGGTGGCGGGACGATTTCCACTTGTGGCACGGATTCGTCGAGTACTGGTCTGACAGGAATAGGCAATGCCCTTGGGCGCGGGAGTAAGTAGCGACTTGTTGCCAAGTTGCCATCAATTGCTGACTTTGTACTTCGCAGTGGTTTTGGCTATGAGTATCTGGAATGATGCCACACAGGAGATGGCCTGGCTTGACGCCGGTACCAATGGACCTTGTGCGAGTGGAGCGGGCACCCCGTCTAACATTGAGTCTCAACACCCTGACACTCACGTCGTCTTCTCCAACATCCGATGGGGCGATATCGGATCTACTGCCACGGGTTAGTACATGATTGTCTGGCCGCGCGCGTGCGTTGAGTTTCTCTACCCTATGGGGCCAAAGATGGTTGTAGGATATATTATCAAAGAATGCATTTTCACAAGAGTGTACATATGCGAATTAATTGCTAAAAGTCCAGCGCCGAGCAACTAACTTGAGTAAACACTCCAAGACTTGAAAGTCAAGATAATCTCGCAACAGGATCCAGGCGTGGATACGCTGCGCCGACTGCGCCTAAATGCTAATGCCAGCATATAACTGGAATAAGAAGAGAGATTGAATAATAACACATTTCATGCATTGTCCAAATAAACCGGCTATACCCAATCCATGTCGCTTTTCTTATTCTGCGCATCGCAACTCGGCTTCTGGCCAGACAACTGAGAACTCACATCTTCACTCAGCTCATGATACACGACTTCCCATCCATTCATCTCGAAAGGACTCTTCTGGGGAACAGGGGGGCCAGGTGTATGCGGTCTGGGTGCTGTGTCTATCATGATTGGTGAAACTTTCTCGACATTATCCGCCACACCTGGGTTTCTTCTCCTTTTCAAAAGAACATACCCTAACACTCCCACTCCAATCGCAAGCGGAAGCCCGATCCCCAACCCAACACCAGCACCGATTCTAAGCTTTCGCACTGATTGGTCTGTAGAGTCTGAGACCTCTCCCGTCGAGTTACCGAAAATGTATACTGGGTTTTGCCACGCGCCATTGACTAGAGTCGCTTTCACGAGGGTGTCGCTGCATATGTAGTAGAAGGACGTTGCACCCGCTAACGAAGTCGCAGCAAACATAGCATTTGGTTGGTCGGCGAGAGTAAGGGCGCCTGGATTCTGCATAGATATAGTTTTTACCGTTCCCCAACTATCAGAGGTATTGATTCCATGGAGTGCGTGATCGGTGCCGATGTAAAACAGGCTCTTGGAGGCGTTCTTGGCACCAACAGTCGCGGCGAGCGTCACATTATGTGGGCTCCAGGCAAAAAGTTCCTGGACTGGGATTGGGTTTGCTATGAAATTGTGAGCTCTGGGTTGTGGATGGATCAGTGGTGGACTAGTTTGTCTTACACTCCTGCCATGTCCCATTTCCTTGCAGAATCGAGGACCGGATTCTGCCTGACTCGTCGATCCCATATGCCGTCAAGTTGACCCCGCTATCTGTTGTGAGCCCTATGAGACTCTCATTCGTGTTGCTGGTGACAGGTATCCCCTGTCCCCAAGTGATATTGGGGTAGTGATATCTAATCTGGCGAATCGATGCAGAATTGTCGTGATAGAAGACCCGGTATCCATCTGCATCGCTTCGCAATGTGGCTGCTAGACTGGTATCGCCATTGACGCCAGAGGAGACGTCGCTTGATATTACATCGGAGCGTTGTAATACGCACTTCCCCGTTGTGAGAGGGCAGAGGACTTCAGCCTCAACGATATCGCCGCTTTGGGAAATATAGAAGATTTCTCCCTGTGGTATGTAGTCAGTAAGCTTAATAGCACAACAAATATTTTAGGTGAAGTTGAAATTGTATAGGCTCACGTAGAGATTTCCATCTGATCCAGCATATCCTGTACCAGCTAGCCGTGAGCCAGCTTTGGGCGGGGTGGTGACTGGGAGTCTAGCCCACATTGTGAAGCCGCCAGCACCAGTGCCGCTGCCTGTATTAATGGTATAGAGCAGATCTCCCGATGATTCATTCTGATATATGACTTGATCTCCAAGATTAGTGCTCCAGGCAGCAAGTGATTGGGATAAGACTAGTGGGTAATATGAGGATATACAGAGAAGAAATGCAAGAAAATACATCTTGCATTGAGATTTGAAGAATACATGGAAGGGGATCAAGACTCCAGATTTCGGAGAGCTTATTCCATATGTATTGCAATCACTTAGAAGAGGCTGAGCCTTACACAAAGGGTCATTCCGCAAAAGGTCCAATGGTAGGTCTTCTCAGCTCCCTCTGGTCAAGAAATCCGAAACGCTGACTATGCTCCTTCCCGGTCGAAATCTGGGTCGACCTAGCTGGATTCAGCCTATATAGGAAGTTTGGAGTGGAAACACAACAGAAATGGTCAGGGAATCGTTACAGGTGAGGCTGGAAAGTTAAAGAGGAGTGCTAATGAACATAGAAAGTCCTTGGCGTGGACCTTTAAAAGAATCCTAAGAATATCAATATGAGCCTGGGCGAATTAGAGGAAAACCAGAATATGCGTCGCAATCTTGTCCTTGCTGGCCCCCACTCCGTACGGCTGCAAACCCCGTTTGTATATACGTGGAAAAGTATCTGAATCCACGTCACGTATAAGAATTTGTATATAACTCTACATCCATGCGTTCCTGCTTCTAAAGGGGGAGGCAGAAGGGTGAGGGAGAAGGGAGTAAAAAACAACTTCTACTCTGTGTCGCAACCTCAAACAAGTGAGATGTTGAAGGTTAAGGTTCAAGTAAGGGAATTACCCATACCGGGAGATCAACAATCAACCATTGGCTAAAAGGTGTACTGTACGGAACGCCGTCGCACGTGTCAGAAGTCTATTTCAGTTAAACTGGAAGGTCATCTTACCGGCCTTATTCCGTAACCATTCCATAATTTACGACCTTGGTTTCAGAGGCCAGTCTCTCTGCATCAATTGTTCGCTCGAAATGCGTGAGAGAAAATGCAGCCAGTTATCAGGTGGAAACCATAATTATTTTCGGATAACCAAATTAAGCAGCTTTTCACGAGTACCACTTCAGCCCTATGAGATCTCGCGTAAACTCAGGGGGTGAAACAAGGAGGATTTTCTTTTTGGCCACATCTCGATCAAATTTCAAATATTTTGACGTATCACGTATCATCGTATGTAGGGGCCCGATAGCATTGCCCTAGTACAGTACTTGCATGGGCGCTAAGACCACGAGCGCCTATATATACCCCTATTAGAGCTTCTTTGCTGATACAGAAGTCTCGGCACCCGAAAACCCATCAGTCTGTCTGTCTCGAGGGAAGTTATAGGTATAGATAATTATTGCTGCACGATAACTCATATTCATAGGAGTTATATCATAGCTCCTAGAGTCCAATAACGCCTAGTACACGCGCATCGCTGATCCAGGGGCAACGAAATCTCATCAAATTGAATATTGAGAGAGACATATATGAAAAGCCTAATCCACCATTAAAATCCTGTATCTAGTAAAAAGTAATTGACTTTGAGAGAGGAAAATTATATCCATCCAGGGTAATATATTTCTGTTCTTCCAGCCATCGTCCAGCTTTCTTTTTAATTCTTGCCCCCCCACCCGTTTCCTTTTAAGAAAAAGCCATGCAAGTGATATATGACATAAGAAAAGACTTTGGAAATTGTCTTGACTATTAGTACTGTACTGCGAGAGCGGTATGCAAAGCGTCAAGAATATACTAGCGGCTTGGGTGATTGGTTACACGATTTGGGTAAAATGACTACCTTGCTGCATGTTGCATGTCTAAGGGATGTTAAAGGCAGAGCGACCGGAATTCCGTGGAAGGCATATCTTGACGTATAAACATGTTGTAGGTATGATGCAAGGTGATAGTGGGTAGATTAAAGGCGACGAGCGAAGTACTAGAGCAAGTTGAGACCAGTTTACAGGAGGGATGGGAGCAGAGAGATATTTAAATAGTAGAGGCATTTACTTGAGAGCACTGGCTATCGAGTAGAGGTGATCTTGATAATAATTAGGTAGATGCCTGTCTTTCCAAATTGCAGTGCAACCACCAAACCTTGCGACTCTCTAATGCATGTGCTTTCTATTAAACGAGCTGGATATAGAAAAAAGATCACCATTGAAGTAAATCTTTGAGTGAGGGTAGAACAAATAAGAAGTAGACTCTGTGGGAATTTGACACAAGCCTTGCAGCATGCTTCTCACCGTCATCGGGCGTGGAGTCTGCAGAACGTTCTCATTATGCTCTTTGATCCAAGTCTAGAATCCCCATTGAAAGGTATCTTGCATGCGCTTTTCATATCCGTAACGCCCTCCATTCCACACCGGTAAATCCAACCAATGCTATGCAAACACCGCTGCAGAAAGAAGAACAATTTCCCCAGTTTACGTTTCTCGGCGTCAAAATGTCCATCTGAATACCCCATTTCCCATTCTCACTTCTTCAAAAGCAGATAAACGTAGTCAACCCTCAGCGGCGTCAGCTTCTTATACGGTCCCTCCAGAGCCATCAACAGGCCCCCAAACGAAATATACGCCTTTCTGTTGACCAATTAGCTTCATGCTTCTAACCCCTCCCGACCCCACTCGCAAGGAATTTCACTCACATCGTATCGCCACCATCCCCATCCTCAAACTTGTAAATCTTGCCATGACAAACATAATCAAACATATCAGCCAGACTTGCCTCCCCGCCAAGATCCCTCCACCCGCGCCCATCATCCTTGGTGCCATCTAGAGACAGACTACTCGCAAGCACCATGTGTAAGGATTCGCCGATGGAGACGGGGAATAGGTCGTGGTTAATGTCGAGGGTCATGATGGTGAGGGAGTCTTGCGAGGTGGCGCCCAGGCGCGAGACGCGGTCATATTTGGAGGTGTCGAGCGTGGTTATAGTGAGGTTTTCCTCGAGGAGTTGGGTGTCTGTTGTTGTTGCCATTTTTGGCGGTTGGGAATATGGGTATCTGGGAGAGATGCAGAAATTGGTATCTGTGGGGTTATTTAAAGTGGCTGCGAACTTGAAATAGAGGTTGAGCGAGGGATGGAGGGGGAGCTTCAATTCAAAAATTTGAAGTTGTTCAAGCGACAAGGCTGAGCTAGTTTCTTATTGGTCAATTAATTTACGTCTGTGCACCAGGCTCTACTTTTGAAGTTTATATTTCTGCTCTGCGCTTCTATCTATTAATTTATTTCATCACAGCAAAATGTCGTTCCGCAAGAGGGGCGTCGTGCTGCCTCAATCTGGGAGTACGAGTTCGAGTTCAACTGGAAGTACTTCGCTTCCAACAACAACAAAAGAACAGCCAAAAGGCACACGACCATCGCCCCTCACTGGCACGCCTACAACCAGTACCGGGACATCATCTCTGGATTGCCTTTTCGGTGGACATAGTGGACTTGTTCTTGGGTCCTCGCTTCTGATTGAAGAACAAGGGACTACTGATTTTGGTGGGGCAGTCTTAAGATATTACGCAGCAGAAGGCGTAGTGCAGGGACACACAGTTCATGTATTTGGTGCAGGTGAGGCATGGGGTAGAGAGCTGCCTGGGTTGAGTGAGGAGAAGCCGAAGAAGGAAGTTGCGAAGGTGGATGGGATTGGGAGGGAAAGGGAGGAGAGGATGAAGATTGCGTGGAGGTATGAGAAGCTCGGGGAGTTTGGGACGAGTGGAAGAGGTGCGTGTAGTTTGTTTGATTTTGTACATATGAATAATACAAGTTCACTTGATTTGTATGTGTATAGACTGACAACTTCCTTAAATAGAGAAAACAACAACCACATCGACATTTTGCCACAGCTTCGACCTTTCCAAACGCCTCATCCTCCCTTCTCCCTCAAACATCCACTTCACACCCCTTTCGACACAACTCGACCTGTCTTTCAAACCCACAGACCCCTCAGTCTCACCATTCGCAAATTTCCTGACGCATCTGAAAACACAGCTCTCCTCCTCCCCGCCAACGACGATACATCGAATAATCATCCCCTCCCTCCTAAGTCCAGCACTCTATCCCTCGCACGCCTCCTACCCAGAACACATCCTACAATTCCTGCACAGCCTGCGCGCACTTTTACGTGCATATCCTACCACAGCATCAGCGCTCATAACATTCCCCCTCTCCCTCTTCCCTCGTTCAACAGGACTTACCCGCTGGATCGAGTTGTTGTCCGACAGCGTGATAGAGCTAGCTCCATTCCCGTCGAGTAGTCTACAAGTAAAGGCGGTTCCTGGACAAGAGGAGCCAGCGCAGGGCATGTTGAAGATCCACTGCTTGATGGGAGGTGTGGGTGGAGGAGATGACTTGAGTTTTGTATTAGGGAGGAGGAAGGGGCTGGTTATTAGGCCGTACAGTCTGCCGCCTGTTGATGGAGACCAGGAGGGGCAGAATCCAGGAGGACTTGAGGTGGAAGGGGGTGGTAAAGCGACTAAGGTTGATATTGAGTTTTGAATTGAAGATTTTGGGCTATTTTCGATTGGAGTCCGGTGTTGTTGGAAAATATGTACATGGGGATAGACCTTGCGGAAAGAGAAGGGCTCTTGCCAGGGTTCGTTAGCAGCATAGAACGGCATAACGTCCATCATGAGTGATGGGAATCAACAGAGCTTCTGGGGCTTTCGCCCAACATCTCATCCATCTCAATCTGATTCCAGGTTCCTTGGCCATTAGAAGTGACCCCTCGAAGGTAATTACGATCAAATAGTGCTTCTCGGGGATTCATGGAGATACCAGAGATCCGTAGACGAACCTCATCTCCAAGACAGGAGGAGAGAATCAGCCACGCTGGATGTTGTTAGTGACAGAAGTAAAGGGGAAGGAAGACACATGCCTATGAAGAGAACGAGAGGCACGGAAATCAGGACAGCGAGGAGAATGAGCGATGGCATCCTAAAGTTGCCCTCTTGTAAGAACGTGCTTTGAGGAACCCGAACAGAGACCTCTCAAATGTATCAAAAAAGGATAGACTAGTTTCAGATGTTAAGGCCTTTCTGATGATACAAGCTCAGAATCGTATTTATTCTTGCTGTAACTTCCAGGGCTTCCGTACCCTACCTCTTGGTATCCTCAGACACTGTAGAATGCGAGTAACAGTCAAGATGCAGTTTCATACATGAAGCCTCACACGTTCTTCGCAATAAATAAATGGAAGACCTGATGACTTTTGACAGATATGTGAAGTCTGAAGAGCTGTCTAAGCAAAGCTAAGCTGTCCCAAAGTGGATTGGCGCGACCGCGACCCCGACGCTAATAAGAAGCGAGCTTGAGAAAAAATATAACTCCAAAGCTTCCCACCTTCTTCTTCCCTCCCTCCCACAACAAAACAAGAATATACGACAACACTCGTACGGACCTCTGGTATGTTCAAGATCTCCTTTATTACCCCTCTCCTATTCGATATGATTACAAAACCGATCTGTCAATCCCCTGACATCCAGTTTGAGTTCTGGATATGATGTCTATATCAAATATGTTTTAATTCATGATCATCGCAATACTTGCTCCCCAAATGTATTCATCAGCCTCGATATGACTCTTGACTGACTTGCATTGCAATTAGGATTCGTTCCAAGGCGTGCTGTTATGGCACAGACAGTCCACTCGGTTTCCGAGCCAATCCCCATCTCCCTGGTCTCTGGCCGGTATCTGCTATTCGACATCAATGTCGTGACTTACCTTCGCAGGACTCACAATATCTGCGGGGTCCTTATTGGTGGCATCCCGCAGGCTCCACAGCAGAACGTATTTCTCGGTCTACCCCTCGAGCTTATACCCGAGGAAGTCAAGCTCCTCGTGGCAAAGGAGGCTGCATACATTGTGGATGACACAGCTTGGCACAAGGAGCGATTTAGTACTCTTCAAGGCGAGGATAGGAGGAAGTATTTGGATTCACTTAGGTCTGAAGGTCTTCAAGCTCGCAAAGCGACAGACGCAGCTGCAAAGGAGAAAACCAAGAAAGCCCTCGCGAAGCAAGCTATGCTGCGAGCACATAATAAAGGCGTTACCGCTGAGAAGACCATCGATGCCGAGAGTACGGCTACTTCAAGCTTAGAAAGAGTGGATAGGTTCTTTGAGGATGCCTCAGAATCGGGAGACTCCCTCTTCAACAATGAGCATCCTCCTTCACCAGAGCCATCTAGCGCACTGAAACCTTACTTCATCACTCCCACTACAAGTTACAGTCCTTCATCTCTCCCAGAAAACCCGCTCCAGCAACCAGACCCACCTGTATCCTGTTCATATCCATTATTCTCACATTTACACAGCCGCGGCTACTACATAATGCCTGGGTTAAGATTTGGCGGCGATTACAATGTGTATCCTGGAGATCCTCTCCGCTTCCACAGCCATTTCATTGCTACCGGCTATGAGTGGGATCAGGAGATACCCGTGCTGGACCTGATTGGTGGTGGTCGACTGGGTACTGCTGTCAAGAAGGGATTCTTGATTGGGGGGGAAGATAAGGACTCTGGACCTGGAGGGGACAATGTCAGGACGTTTTGTATAGAGTGGGCAGGTATGTAAGAGATGTGATGTACTGTATAGCTCGAGAGATGAATGATATTAAATGAACCTTCAACATGATATCGCTCCTTAGAGTATGACTTGATCCGGGAACCGTACTTTTCCATCCACTTTTATCTACTTTGTGTTGGTAAATATAAGTATCCAAATTCAAAATTTATACGTTGTACCTAATATGTATCGATTTTAACGAGTCGGCAAAGCATCATATGCTGTGCTGTGCTACCTTTACTCAGTAATCGCTAGTCGGCCTCGGAGAATGCGGGCCGATAACAAGACGTGGGGAAATAAACCAGCTTGATGCAGACTTCCATATCACCACAACATCCGTCTAAGAAAGAAGCAGCGCAAACAGAGGAATCGATTGCATGATGAGCAAGTAACTTTACGTCAGAAAGTTATCCCAATCCTAGGATGCCTCCGCAAAACCGATCATTTCCATGATCCGATTGTCCCCAATCAACCGCCGCCAACGACCGAACTGACTGAACGTCGATTGATTGATCAACCATATGCCAACGCAATCATGGCAGCAGCATCATTCGACACCGCAGGAGGAGGTTTCTGGACCACAAATTGGACAGCTGCCTTCAACGCAACCCAATACGTGCCCTCCGCCAAAGACCTCGCCCTCGCCGGTCCACGCATGTTCATGAAAATAGGTTCCTTCCTCGACGTCGATAACATCTTCGGAGTACGAATGGGGCAGCGCATCATCCCCGAAGCTACGGGGGGCGGTGGGAATTTCGTCGAAGCAGCTACGACGGCCGCAGTGTCCGCGAGAGAGATAGCACAGTCCGCGGCGGAGATACTAGTTGATACGGATGAGCAGGCCATTGGGCTGGCGAGTCGGTTCTCGCTGGAGAGCGCGAGGAGTTTTGGGAATGTGTTTAGTTATATGACATCGAGGTGGGCTATTTTGTGCGTGGTCATGGCTATTGTTCTTAATCGGACCAATATCTATGCTTCCACGAGAAGAAACCTAGTCCTGCCTTGGAAAGTCCGGCTTGGGGTTCGTATCATACCGATCTTGTTTCTGGCGTTCCAGGCCAGGTATGCATTGCAGAGTATACAGTGCCAAACGTCGCCGGATTTCTCGATGCTGAGGTGGGGCAATGCGTCAAAGCATTCGGACCTGATGTATACGCAGAACGGGGGCGTGTTGCATACGGTTAGTCGGGGGCTCTTGTTTCGAGGAAGTGATGAGCAGGCTTGTTTGGCTGTGAAAATGATCCCCCCCGAGTATGATGAGGAGGTGGCTCTGTCAACGCCTAGGAAGGAGATGCCGCCGGCAGAACTTTCTGGATCGCTGTCTCTTCTTTATCCGCTGTTTCAGACCTTTTGTTTTAGTCAGATTGTTGAGGCCATATCTTGTGCTGCTCAGGGGCGTCTGGTTGCTGCTGAAACAGGAATGAGTATCTTCGAGCATTCTTTGGCTTTCGCGGAGGCTGAAGCTGCTATTGGGAGTCAGCTGGGATTTGGATCTTTTGGTGATACAAGGAAGATCAAGGCTTGGACGAACACTACATCTTCGGAGGAAGCACAGGAAATTGCCATTACCAGGACCATGATTATGAAAAGAGTCAACACTACCCCGGAAGTTCTTCTGGTTGGTTTCCTCTCCGCAATGAACCACTTGACCAGTCACGTTCTTGCAATCTTTAACTTTCAGGGACGCTTACGGCTTCTCAACACTGGGTTCTGGGGAATGGCATTCATGTCAGCCATTGGATTGAGTATTATTACTTTTGACGTGGATGATATGTTGAACCAACCCTTGCTACGATTCCCGACTGTTTGTATCGTCGGATTCATTCCGCATGTTCTGGTCCTCTGTGGCATTGTTTGTTGCATGCTCATTTACGGAGCTGCGTTGGTCCTCTCAGCACTTGCTCCGCCAATCAGTCGTGATGGCGTATCTGAGCTCGACATTGCTGCTCAAAATGGATCATTTATTCAAAGGCTTCGCAATGCACACCACAACATGCAGGCCAATGTCCCCCTGTCCAGCATCAGAATCACTATGCACATGGACTTTTACACGGCTTTGTTAAGAACTGGCTTTAGCGTTATGACTATGGCGAGTGAAGCTGTATATCTCAATGAAAGCCGTGGTGTTAGCATCAAGCAAAGAACGTGGTTAGAGGAAGAACGTTTACAAGAAATCGAAACAATTGGAGCTCAATGGCTTGGTCCAAGTTTCCGGTCCCATGCTCCTGATTCAAATTTTCATGATGGCTTGTCTGATAATGTCGGACTCGTTCCAGCAAAGGCCCAACCAACGGACCTACTTCGAGATTCATCCAGCGGCTATGCTCGAGAAATGACAACGAAAAAGAGAGCCACCATGAAGGGAAGAGACAGAGGCATCAGAGATGGTGTTGGTGCAGCAGAGAGAAGTGGAAGATGGATCATGGCAGTGGAGTTCTTCTTCGGTATCACCAGATTAATGGCTAGCTGGTACGCTTTTCTTGCTCTGAAGCTTATGGCAAAAGCTGGACTGCGGAGGCGACCAGCTTTTCTTCTCTGGCTATCTAGGAGACCGAAGTCGTCATCCCTTTCGGAGGACCCCCAACCAAAGAGGACCGAGCCTGATTCGTTACAATTCTGGCTCTTGAGATCTGATGGTGAGTTGATATTGCCAAAAGATGAGCATGTCGATGTTGAGGCCGAGATGAGGAATCGACTTAAAGATGCCCAAGGATACACAGATGAAAGCAAGCTAGAATCGCACCTCTACGGATGGTGGCTCAACGGCGGTTGGTGGGGTGGAGATGATAGTAGCGGAACCTTCGACCCTTCCGAAGAGGAAATCGACGATGACACCACGAGCGTTGTCTCTTTCTCCACAACCGCCTCCAACGACGATCAAGATTGGGAATCTGATGATGATGGCCGTCGAACACCTACTCAGAGTGACCCTCGATTCTTCTGTGAAGAAACACCCCTGAATGATACGCCACTTAATGCGAGCGACCTCGCAAAATTGCTGCATCCTCAAACTCCGGAACAGCGCGCAGAGGCTCAAGCATTAGCTGCACATCTCGGAAGCGAGCAGATCATGACACGCTCCCGGTATGCAACGCTCACGCAACGGCAGCGCGCAAGAGTTCTAACCTCGACACTCCTCCACCGCCCGCCCAACCTTTCCCCGTCATCCTCTCCTCTTACCTTAGAAGAAGAGGCGCAAATCCTCGAACACCTAATCCTTACCCGCCGCGCCACGGCGGCTGCAACCTCTACAGCGGGTGTGGGAGGGGAGATAATGGACTGGAGCAAAGGCGCATCGGGAATGGGCGAAGGCGGACCCATGTGCGTGGTGTGCCAGTCCAGTCCAAGGAGTATCATCGTGTGGCCGTGTAGGTGTTTAAGTCTATGTGATGATTGTAGGGTTACGCTCGCAATGAATAATTTCGACAAGTGTGTTTGTTGTCGGCGGGACGTTGCTAGTTTCTCGAGGATCTTCGTGCCTTAAGCCGAGATGAGAGATAAGGAGAGTTGGGTTGTTGGCGGTGGATACATGGGTTCATGGGCGTTTAAGGAGCATGAGCGAGCAAGCGTTACGGATGAATAAATGAATAGCAAGCTTGGATTTTCTGGCTTTTGTACCAGTATGTATATTGTGGCGAGGAGAGAACCTACATATATGAAGGGGTGGGACGAGTGGCAATGAACGTCAATGCATAAAGCGAATGGATGATACCTTATTCTGTATCGATCTTCCTTCTTGAACTTGAATGTCCGATTGCCGCTCCATATTCTAATTCTTAAGGATGGGAACGAATGGGATAAGGAGGTGGTCAAGTACAGTATGGAGGCATGGATCCGAAACCAAAGGAAAGTTGATATTTCTTGTGATGACCGACTCTTGCTCGTAAGTTTGAAATAGGTAGAAAAGAGGACCAGATCATCGTCCTCTTAAGACTCGTTTTGATTGCCCGGTATTATTCTCTGGGTATCTGCAAAGACTAGTCATATATGCAGCTGTCTTTGACTGACATTTCTCTTTCTTGATTTATTCCAACGACATACAGAAGACCGAATTGTCTTTATGCAGTGCAGCCCCCCCCCTTTTTTTTTTTCTTCCTAAAACGCCTTTCATAACAAACAACAGCTTTAATACCGTCCCATCTTAACATCAGCAGTCTCCTTCAATGCCGCAACAAGCACTCTATGTGCACCAAGTGCAGCCTGTACCGCATTGTCCGCCAACTCCTCATATCCCCCACCATCCCCAATATCCCCCTTGACCCAAAGATCCGTAATCTCGTCTCTCTGTGGCAAATACCCCACAATACAAGCAGCCACAATGTCCTTGTGCTCGCTGGGCACTGGGTCCAGCACCAGACCCGGCTTCCCACTTCTCTGAACAAGCGCTGCCAGTCCCCCAGCTACAACGTCCACACAGTCAATACCAGCATCGGCAATGGCAGCAGATGCTACTGTAATGCACCCGGAAAGCACGCTCATCATACCCCATTCCCCGGCCCCTCCCTCATCGCCCCACCACCGATCCTCCTCACCCTCCAGGATCGTAATGATAACCTCGACGCCACTCTTCGGCCATCGATCCCCAATAATCACACCCCGCAAGGCGGTCTCTAGATGCACGCCCAGATCGCGCTCGCTCGCGTCCCGGAGATAGCCTTTCCGCTTGCGGGTTGCGAAGGGGGCGTATTTGACGTGTGTGGAGAGAATGATGTGCGGGGAGAAGGGCGCAGATTTAGGGAGCGGCCGTGGACCGTGGACCGTGCAGGTTAATTTTAGGCCTGAGGTCGAGAGGGATGCGAGACCGGTTTTGGTGAGGTTGGGGTGGTGGGGGGAAGCTTCAAGTTCAAGGTAGGCGGAGCCGGATGCTGAGGGGGTAACGCCGGTTTTGAGGACTGAGAATAGCATTAGCTGACCGTCTGGAGGATATTGTGAGTTGTTATAAAGGGACTTACACATCTTTCGGAGAACATTTGGTGGTCTGGAGCGAGTTGGCCGTGGTGGTAGGGAGGAGAGGTCTTGCGTTATGTATTTGGAGTATATGGGAGCGCTGGTGCCACCCGACGGTCCATTGATACGCCTTCTGTCTGAATTCATGGTGAAAAGGGTCGTAAGAACGATTGTTCAAGCATTATTTACTTTAGTTGAAGCTGGAATATTTACTTTTTGATATATGTCTCAATATAGCTTAGGCGCGGTGAAAGGATCTTCCGCGCCGAACCACTACAGAAATAAAAATTCCAGATTTGAGCTTCCACTTCTCCCACCCACGACAACACCACCACCAATATTTGGAAATCGACCTCAATGCCTCTTGACTTGTTTGGAGATACTTCTGCCAGCAGTATGGCTATGTCTCTACGAGTATATGAATTGCTATACCACTTGCGCGTTCAGCTACTAATATAAAGGTGCGCAAGAATTTTATCCTTCCCTCTTGTTTCCCACATTGCTCCTGATGATTTATTTTACCCAAGTTCGCCGGCGATTACCTGAGCCATTGAACAACATGCATCACCATCTGAAGCATCTTCTTACCTTCCGTCTTTGTTGATCATCGTGGAAGCAAAACGCTGACCTGAAAACAAGACAGGGATCTCAATCGCCTGCTTGAATCACCCCCACAAAGAGCAGTGAGCAGACTCTGCCATAACACCATCCCACAAGGAATAGCAATATGCAATATACCTGCAATGACGTACCTCAACATCGAAAGCATGAGCTAGATGCTGGCAGGGTGTCATTGCAGGCACAACAACTTCTTGTAAGCAATCACAATTCTTTCAACACTCCTACACAACTTTTCATGATGAGAAAAAATAATCAGTTCTGCTTCTGAACACCTGATGATAACCTATAATACCAAAACTTTTCTGAACTTAACAAATCAATCCCCATCATCTTTGCCTTCACAGCAAAGCAGCGTGGCTAACGATTCTCAGCTTTAGGTACTCGCGCCCAGAACACCAACCGTGGATGCAAAAAAAAAGGTACGGCAGTATGTTTTTCTTCTCGCAGCACTTTCGCCCTGATGACAACAGCTTATCCATTCCATGACTGCGTCTTGGCCGAGCCACCCTCCCGCACCAGACTGGTCATTCATTTAATCGGGATGATAGGTTGTGGAGTGCGTGTCTTCAGTGCTTCTGCGCTCTGCATTGCGTCTTGTAGTGTAGAGTACAGAGGCCGGCTGGGGTGCCTGAGTAAACTGGCTTATCTGAGCAACTTCCAATCACACTCACTACTTTAGACTTTGTTATGTTGCCATTGCTAACGAGTCCAATAGGATTTTCATGCTCGATTCTCTCTTTCCAGCCTTGCGGTCCTGATGTCTAAAATTAACCTCAAGAGGTCGCCTGGTATGCTTAAGCAGCAATCAGAACGGGAGGTGTTTGGTCATTGGAGATGTCATGAATCTGTGAACATAATTTTATATCAATTTACAAAAAACGAAACCCTTCGTATACTTGTCTTCGTGTTTCTGTGAATAATTCCCTTCAAGTGGTTGGCCTCAATTCAAGTCGTGTGACCTCCATACTCTTTCCTCGAGACACTTAGGAGCTGCAACCCGAGGAAAGCTTTTCACGTCACATTACCTAGTAGCGACTGCTCCCGATGTTAAAACAACACCTCCGGTCTGATCAATCCAATGGAACGACCTGGGATCGAGTTCCACATCAAATATCAAAGTGCCAGATTTGATGAACAATAAGCAATCTGGCAATAATCCATGCTATGCTAAAGGTCGTATGGGATCTCAACAGTCGAACACCAACCAATTCCAGAGACACTTAAATAACTCACCGTTGTCCAACAAATACAAGCCCGTAATCCGGATCCAAATGTGTGGAGAGCTGAGCTTTCCTGTCGTCTGCAAATTCTTTGGCGTGTCGGTATGCTCCTCAAGCCATATTTCTGGCTTGAAGCTGTTTGGGTCTTTGAAGTTCTTTGCATGCGCTCCCTGTTCAGGGTTCACTACCCATCGTGAATACTACACCTGTTTTGATTTCCGCCGCCAACTATGTTGGGTGTCTGACGCAGATAGTGGTTCTGCTGGTGGGGTAATACGCGGGTTGAGTACCAGATGCCCTGGAGATATTCGAAATGCTGGCTTCGTTTGTACACGAGCCCAGATAGCAAGGCCTTTGACTTGATGTAGATGTTTGGTATTTTGCTTGGATTCTCGAACGACTGACGGATATTGCGTGTAGAGGGAAGAGGAAAAGAGAAGAGGAAAAGAGAAGAGAGGAAGGAAGAGAGGAAGGAAGAGAGGAATATGAATACTATGCTAGCTATTATTAAATCTAATCTTTACGAGCTCTACATGAGCAGGTGATCCATATGCTTACAGGCTTGCCAATGGGACTAGTAAGGACGCTCCGGATATGACAGGTAGGTGTCTACCGCCTATCTTTGCTGCAAATGTTACAAAAGCAGCGTTTGGATTCTGTTCGTTATACTCCACGAACCTCGTAGACAAAACAGCGGTAAAGTTTGAAAGGGGAAAACCCCGTATGTTTGTTGGTATTTGTAGCACCTGTCAAATGCCATGGACCTGCGAATCCCAAGTACCTTGGGTAGGAGGAACACTGTATCCGTGATGTTCTTCCACCCGTGCACCGACAAGCAACCAGGCAGGTAAGCCGGCAAGTTTCCCTAATTTGATGAGAATTTATGAAGCGGATAGACAGGGGTTCTTTGTAATTGGCATCGGTGAATAGTAAACACCATGTACTGTAAGCCGTCTGGTCTTACCTGTGAGTATATTGTGTTGTGGTATGATTGCGCTATCTGTACGACGCCATTTCATTCAAAGGTCTGACATAAGCCTCTGTATACGCGTTGAAAAATCGGAGGAATGGGGGTTATATAGGCAGTGTTGAAGCATGAGTGAACTACTTCTCGGAGACAACCAGGTTTTTTTTTTTATTGCAATCGCCACTGGAGAGAAAGGACTTTGCACCTCTTTCATATCGACATGTCTACTCCTACCAAGAAGTGTATGGATTGCTTTGATTAGGAAAAGCAAGTTTCGGATTGTGATTATGCTCTTGAAAGATCAGTGCATTCTATTAACGGATCGGTGCCGTCAGAAGCTTACAGTATGCCTACTTACAACTCTATTCAACAAGGTTTGGCGGCAAGCACCACTCAATTGCGTGACAACCAAAGCCCGAATCATAGCCAGCAAGCTGAAAACGGGATCATCCAAGCGAATGAGACAGAGAATATAGATGCATTAAAAGCCCAGGACTCGCAGACTGTTCAAGAAATAGGCTTGGTAAATTAATTTGAAAGTGGGGTAAAGAAAGAGGGCCCTACTCTTATTTTGATACGAGAACCGACGATGATCCTCGATGACAAGGTATGGGCAGTGCTTTCTAAGAACTGAATTCGTTGACAGGTGACAGCTAGTTCTCGAGCCATACAACCATGTTGCTTCCCTGAATGGAAAAGGGTTCAGGAACCATCTTTTGAACGCACTTGACGCTTGGTTCGCAGTGCCAACAACATCACTCAATATTATTGGCAGCACAATCACCATCTCAACAACATATCTCTGATGTAGGCCCCTGCAACATATACACAACACGCACAAATTGGTTAGTAGCATTGTACTGTACGCAACTAGGGACAGGAAGTGAAGTGACTTCAAATACCTACCTAGGTAGTCTGTTAAAAGAAGGTTTTATACCTGGTCCCGTGATTCTCCATGATTGATCTACTTCGCGGCTTCAGCCCTTCACTTCAATTGAGGCGCGAGCTAAGGTAGGTGGAGCAGATGCTAGTTAAATTACCTTGCCTGAACTTGAACCAACCACCATAACTTCTTTCTCCACCAATATTTCTCACTCAGGAAAGTTGGGAATCCCTATCCGTGAAACCCTTTGTCTTCCTCCTTGCAAGACATATCACAAACCCTGCCTTACCTATTTTTTATACCTCAGTATTCATTCATTCAAGCGCAGCGCGGCAATGCTCCGCGGCTATTAAAACGCCGACCTGAGTAGTGTCCCAATCGGATTTAGACTTTACGGTAAGCGCGACTTCTACCCTAATTTTGAGACCAGATCAGATACTGGATGCCGTCAAACGAATTCCCTTTCTCACATGCCCTCCAGTCATTTAGGAATTGATTGAGCGCAAAAAAACCCGCCATCGATGCCGCGTCTCCTTCGAATATTTCTCTACCTCTAGATCCCAACCGCACGTCCACGTTCATTCATCTTGGTTCAGGTTCAGCGGCGGGCAAACTGCCCAGGGGTCACACAAGAGTCAGCTTGGGACAGGCTGGCAATTTCAGCATATCGACAGCCACAACGTCTGCCATTGCTCCTCGAATCCGCCCAAAATGCTTCCTCGGCACCATGGATCGTCGTATTCGAATGGGAAAAAGCACGACTACGAAGAAAAGACATACAGCATATCCCCACACAGGTACGATGACGCCCCTGATTATCCAACAGCCAGCGTAGATGAAAGCTAACTGTGCGCGCAAAATAGATTTCAACCTAGATCCACACCTCCGGCTGCTAGAAAAAGGCGACAACTCCTTATAAGGCTCGGTGGGGTGTTAGCAGTCCTGCTATTTGGATTCTTTGTATGGCCCGGAGTCTCAATACTATCAATTTTCTCTTTCGGCTTTCTGTCTTCGGGTGAAGACTTCCAATTAGAAACGGTGCGATATTACGACCTGTCGAATGTACAGGGTACCGCCAGAGGATGGGAACGAGAGGAGCGGATCCTCCTCTGTGCGCCTTTACGAGATGCCGAGTCTCATCTGCGAATGTTCTTTTCTCACCTACATAATTTTACCTACCCTCACCATTTGATCGATCTGGCTTTCTTGGTGTCTGATTCCAAGGACCGAACATTACCACTGTTGTCTGAACTTTTGGAGCAACTTCAGGCGGATGAAGATCCAAAGATGCCGTATGGAGAGATTTCTATTATTGAGAAGGATTTTGGACAGAAGGTTAACCAGGACGTTGAGAGTCGTCACGGATTTGCTGCGCAGGCAAGTCGAAGAAAGTTGATGGCACAAGCAAGAAATTGGCTGTTGAGTGCGGCGCTACGACCATATCACAGTTGGGTTTACTGGAGAGATGTGGATGTTGAGACTGCCCCATTTACTATCTTGGAAGATTTGATGCGACACAACAAGGATGTTATTGTGCCGAGTTAGTTAAATCATCTCATTCTCTAAGAATTTTCTAACCTAAGCAGATGTCTGGCGACCACTTCCCGACTGGCTTGGGGGCGAGCAACCATACGATCTGAACTCATGGCAAGAATCCGAGACAGCTCTGGCATTGGCAGATACTCTGGACGAAGATGCTGTCATTGTTGAAGGTTATGCGGAATATGCGACTTGGAGACCCCATCTTGCATATCTCCGAGACCCATACGGTGATCCTGATATGGAAATGGATATTGATGGTGTGGGGGGTGTCAGTATTTTGGCCAAGGCCAAGGTGTTCAGATCCGGTGTTCACTTCCCAGCTTTCAGTTTCGAGAAGCATGCCGAGACAGAAGGATTTGGAAAGGTAGGATCTACATGTTCTAGGGATAATGGTAAAGCTAATACCAGACAGATGGCCAAACGGATGCAATTCTCTGTAGTGGGCCTACCACATTACACTATCTGGCATTTGTACGAGCCTAGTGTAGATGACATTCGACACATGGAGGTATGCAATTCCAGGCCTTTTTACGCTACATGCATTAATTCATCATAGGAAATGGAACAAGAACGTCAAGCCCGTGAGCAGGAAGAGAAGGATCGCGTTGAGCGAATGAAGAAGATTAAGGACCAGTTTGCCGACCCTAACAACCAGTGGGAGAAGGACAAGACGGATATCCAGAATGAGGCCATGAAAGAGAAGAAAGCAAAGGAGGATGCGGAAGCCGGTACTGAAAAGCCAGCAGCCGGGCCAGAATCTTCCGCAAAGCCTGAGACCCCAGTTGGAGCCCTGGCTGAAGCCAAGGTTGAGGATGTCACTACAGTCAAGAATAAACCGGCAGCTTGAGTAAGGATATCCTTTGAAGATACGTCGCTTGCTTGCTAACATATTACAAGGCTCGAACTTATCAACAAAGAAAAACTCTATTGAGTGAGTTCCAAATCGCTTGTTCTGACAAAGCTACCTGGGGGAGTTTTGGAGGACTTTACACCCTCCAATATATATTGAAGGTGTAGATGGAATGTTGAAATGAATCATAGGCGTTGGGACTGGAATTGCTTAGGCGTAGATCCGGTCGGTGGCCTGCATGCATTCGTGTTCATTGGAGAGATCTTTTCCCCGCCGAGCTCTCTGTAGTGTAATTTGGGAGACTTGTACAATTATAGTGGATAGACGGCCTGGGACATATTGCACTTTCAAAGGCATGAATTTATCCTTTTAGAATTATGATCTGTAATTTCCAAACCGATAACTTGAAGTATACGTGGAAATCAGCAAAATATAGCTCTGTACTGCACTAGCTAGGTAGATATAAATAGGGGATGATCACGTGTCATCAATCTTGACAGATGCGCCGCATCTAGACGACTTGGGGATTATTTTTCTATAAGTCCCAACAGCTTCTTACCCGCGGGACAAACATCGCACCCCTATTTTCGAGCTTGATTCGAATTCCCTCCACAAATCTCTTAAACATACAGGATTTACTCTGGGCAAAATCCGTCCAGTAATTCTCAAAGGATAGTTGGGATCCATCTGCTCACCAAGGCTCCAAATACGCCTTGTATCGTACATTGTACAACACAACATGAGCAATGAAGACGCCCAAGCCGCAGACAACACCCCGGCAATAGCTCCTCCTACCCATCTCCCAGCTTCATCTAAATCCAACTCATCACATACCAACGGCACAATGTCTACCTATTCTTCCTCGTTCCGCCGCACGCCCGTCTCGGTGGCAGTCGACCCTGTGGCGCTCATCACCACAGAATGCATAACGGTCACGTCTGCGATGCGGAAACACGCGCGGTGGGCACACAGTTCTGTTTCTGCTATCCTGGGCGGCAGTCACGTACCTATGCCGCCGAACTCTCGGCCGGGCACACCTAGAGATGAGACTGGGAGGAAGGGGAAAGGCGCGCCGAGGATTATGACGGGTGGTTTTGGGGCTGAGGGTGGTGAAGATGGGGGGCTGGCGAATCGGTGGGGACTGAGGGGAAAGAAGGGGAAGAGTATGCAGGATAATCCGTTGATGGCGGGGTTTGGGAGGTTGAGGAGGGAGTTGGCTGGTTGTAGAGGTATGTTTTCCCCTCAAACTTCAAGTAAGCAAGAAAGAAGACGTTGTGTACTAATCATGGGAATGGGAAATAGATATCCATCAGTTCGACACGCCGTCCCTCTTGCATCCATTCCTACAAGTCATCCAAGCCTCGGCGACGTCCGCCCCTATTACCTCCCTCGCCCTAGTTGCTATAACGAAGTTCTTCTCCTATAACCTAATAAGCCCTGACTCGCCCCGGCTTTCTCTCGCCATGCAGTCCCTCTCTGCAGCTATCACGCATTGTCGATTTGAAGCCAGCGATTCTGCCGCAGACGAGATCGTGCTGCTACGAATATTGAAGCTTATGGAAGGAATGCTTTCCGGACCAGGAGGAGATCTACTTAGTGATGAAAGCGTCTGCGAGATGATGGAGACAGGTCTTAGTATGTGCTGTCAATCAAGGTTATCCGAGCTTCTGAGGAGGTCAGCCGAGATGTCCATGGTAAAGATGTGCCAAGTTATTTTCGAACGGCTGAAGCATCTTGAGATTGAGGCGGGCGATGATTTGGAGGCCCTAGATGAGAAGACGAAGGAGGATATGTTTACAGTGAAAATGGATCCCTCGGCGAACGCGAATGATGCGGTGAAATCATCGTTAGCTGCTCCTCCGGATTCAAGACCTTCGTCGAGTCTTGACAAAACGAGGAATGGACTTTCGAATTCGAATTCGCTAGATAATACTTCGGAGCTTGGAGTTGGCCCTGCTTCCGAGTCTTCTGATGAAGCGCCTATAAAACCATACTCTTTGCCGTCAATACGGGAACTTTTCCGGGTATTGGTTGATTTATTGGATCCACATGACAAGCAGCATGCTGATGCAATGAGAGTTATGGCTCTACGGATTATCGACGTGGCGTTGGAAGTTGCTGGGCCTTCGATCGCCAAGCATCCCAGCCTTGCCACCTTGGCTGAAGACCGACTTTGCAGGTACCTGTTTCAGCTAGTTCGGTCAGATAATATGGCGATATTACACGAATCTCTTATTGTTGCTGGGACATTGCTAGCAACATGTCGTGGGGTTCTGAAACTACAGCAAGAGCTGTTCCTTTCTTATGTGGTGGCTTGTCTACATCCTCGTGTGGAAATTCCAAGAGAACCAGGCATTGATCCATCTCTCTATGCTGGAGTACCACAGGCTCCAAAACTAGTCAAACAGCCAAGTAGCGGGACCGCGACTCCAGTTCCAGTAAGAGACCGCCAAAAGCTAGGAATGGAAGGAGGTTCAAGAAAACCTGACGCACGAGAAGCTATGGTTGAGAGTGTGGGTGCTCTCGCAAGGATACCAAGTTTCATGGTTGAGCTTTATGTCAACTATGACTGTGAGGTTGACCGGGCAGATTTATGTGAAGACATGGTCGGCCTCTTGAGTCGAAATGCCATTCCGGACTCAGCGACCTGGAGTACAACAAGTGTTCCTCCGTTATGTCTAGATGCTCTGTTGGGCTACATTCAATTCGTAGCGGATAGACTAGACGACGAGCCCGAGTATGAAGGATATCCCGAAGTCGCAAAGTTACGAGAGCAGCGAAGAAGAAAGAAGATTATCATCCAGGGGGCATCTAAATTCAACGAAAACCCAAAAGCTGGACTGGCATATCTGAGTGCTCAGGGCATCATTGATGATCCTACAGATGCATTCTCGGTGGCCCGTTTTCTAAAAGGCACAACGCGAATCTCGAAGAAGATGTTTGGAGAATTCATCGCAAAGAAGGGCAATGAAGCCATTCTTGAAGCTTTGATGAGTAATTTCGACTTCGCAGGGAAACGGTTAGATGAGGCCCTCCGTGTACTCCTAGAAACCTTCCGGTTACCAGGAGAATCCGCGTTGATTGAGCGAATCATCACAGTATTTTCAGAGCAGTACATCAAGGGTGCCAAACCAGAAGGCATTACCGAAAATGATGCTATTTTTGTCCTGACCTACGCCATTATCATGCTGAACGTTGATCAGCACAGCCCGAAAATCAAGTCACAGTCCCGGATGCAGTATGAGGATTTTGCCAAGCAAGTCAGAGGCGTTAATGGCGGTCAGGACTTTGATCCTGAGTTTCTGAGAGCCATCTTCGAGGAAATCAAGAGTAATGAGATTATTTTGCCAGACGAGCATGATAACAAGTTTGCTTTTGATTATGCCTGGAGAGAGCTTCTTCTAAAGACTGGCACAGCGGGCGAACTTGTCCTTTGCGATACGAACATTTTCGACGCGGATATGTTTGCTGCGACTTGGAAGCCTGTGGTGGCAACTTTGTCGTATGTGTTCATGTCTGCTAGCGATGATGCCGTGTTCTCGAGGGTGATAAATGGCTTTGATCAATGTGCGAGAATAGCTGCCAAGTATGGCCTGACGGAAGCTGTGGACAAGGTCGTTTACTGCTTGAGCTATATCACTTCATTAGCTACCGAGACCCCATCAAATACTACTCTCAATACTGAGATTCAGGTTGGAGAGAACAGTGTCATGGTCAGCGAGCTCGCAGTTAAACTTGGAAGAGATTTCAAGGCACAATTGGCTACTGTCGTGTTGTTTCGAGTCGTCACTGGGAGTGAGACTGTTATCAGTGATAGTTGGAAACACGTAAGTTCCAGTATCTTAGATTGCAATGCTCCTGACGCTGACAATTTATTAGATCGTGCGAATATGGCTAAACCTCTTCGTGAATTCGCTGATACCCCCTTTCTTCGCACCGAATCGCATGGAGATTCCTCCAATACCCCTCCAGAATCCATCACAGGTGATAGACCGCGGTCCGAAGCAAATTGACACTGGTTTATTCTCAGCGTTCACTTCATATATTTCAAGCTACGCTGCAGATGATCCACCAGAGCCGTCTGATGAGGAGCTGGAGAGTACACTGTGTACGGTAGACTGTGTCAACGCTTGTCATATGGGAGATGTGTTCGCGAATGTGGTGTAGGTCTTCAAATCCCTATCCCTAGCTTCCAGGTGCTGACTCTTGCAGAAACATGCCTGCGGATTCCCTCAAGCCACTGGTTGAAGCTTTACTTTCGGAGCTTCCAGATGACCCGACTTCTGTAGTTATCTCTGTTAAATCCGAGACTGAGGCGCCTGTGTCACCAAATGGTCCCAAGAGTCCCGCTGGTCCATTATATGACCCATCAATGGTCTACCTCCTGGAGCTCGTGACAGTTCTTGCTCTAAAGGATAAGGAGACCGTCGCGGCTCTCGGTGCGGACGTTGGGGAAGCCTTGCAGAATGTCATGCGAAACGCGGCTAGTTATCACAGTATCACGATTGCCAGGACCATGTTTTACCTCCTTCACATTCTTCATGCCAGCTATGTAAGAATCATGCATTTTGATATTGGAATACCTACTAACATCTACAGGAACACTCTTTCCTCCGCGTTCCAGTTGTGCTTCACACAATATCTAGCTTCAAGAAAGATCTCTTTGACAAATCCGCACCACTTGTCCTCCAAGGTTTGAACCAATGCATCGATGAGCCAGGTCCCCTCAGAAATGAGATCATGACATCTCCCGATTTCTGGGTAATCCTTCGCAACCTCACAGGAAATGCCCAATCTGCACCAACGGTATTCAAGATCCTAGAAGAAGTCGCCATCGGCAGTCCACCAACAATTATAGCAGACAACTATGAATCTGCCGTCAAGCTCTTAAACGACTTCGCATCAGCTGGTAGCGTCGGCTCCACAGTAGAGCAAAAGAAAGACCGCCGAGTTCGAAAAGGAAAAGGAGAGCCACAAGTCACGACAGTGAAACAACCACAAGTGGACGCAGCAGTAGCCAGAGGGGTGAAAGCAATCCAAATGATCTACTCTCTTACAACACGGATACCAGTTCTATTGAAACAATCACACCTCGAAAGTAAAGAAGCATGGGCCGCCTACTGGTCACCTATCTTCCGCGCCCTGACGACACAATGCACGAATCCGTGCCGTGAGATACGGCACCAGGCTTTCTCTTCACTACAACGCACACTCCTTTCGCCTGAGTTAACTTCAGGCGAGCATGAAGAATGGACGGCTATTTTCAGCGAAGTTCTCTTCCCCTTAATAGTAAGGCTGTTGAAGCCTGAAGTTTATAGTTCTGATCCTGTGGGGATGAGCGAAACGAGGGTACAGGCCGCAACGCTGCTGTGTAAAATATTTTTGCACTACCTGGTGTTACTGAGTAAATGGGAGGGTATGCTGGATCTTTGGCTGAAAATCTTGGATATTATGGACCGGTTGATGAATAGTGGGCAGGGTGATAGCTTGGTACGTTTTGCTCTTTTCTTCTTTCTTTCGGACATGTGCTAATGATGATCGTGGGTGTAGGAAGAAGCAGTTCCCGAATCCCTTAAGAACATCCTCCTCGTCATGTCCAGCTCTGGCTACCTGATCCCTCCCTCGCAAGACGCCAGCCAAGAAAAACTTTGGACCGAGACGTGGAAACGTATTGATAGGTTCTTGCCTGATTTGCGAAAGGAATTAGATCTAGATCCGAAACCGGAAGAAGTAAAACCAGTGGAAGAGAAGAAGGCCGAGGAGGTAACGGATGTTGCCGTTGCGCCTGTTTCGTAGACTGGATGGGCAGCGAACGATATGAAGACAGGTCCATGTGTATGTGCGTGATGGAGACACGCAGGCAATTGTACATTAGGGAAGCGTTTTTTGGATTCATTGCTATCAATGGCACAGTGGTGCCATGGGATGAGATGAGATGGTCATTTCGATGAATGGCAAGCAAGGATGCAAAATGTGTATGATGGCTGGCATAGACAGCGAGTTTGGTCGATGACAAACGACCTTGTATAGAAGAAAAGAGAATTCGCCATCTTGATCTTGCTTTTTATTACATACATCTGAAATATCCTAGTTGGGTATCTGTTAAGGGAGCTGCTATGTGTAGCAAGCGCTACTTGCACGTATCTGTCTATATATTCCTCTACTTGCTATCGTGTCTTTCTTCTGAGTATATCTATCTCTCGCTCATCGAGATCATCGAGCTGGGTGACGCTAAGTGGTATTCGATTGAAGATTCTCTTTAATGCCCTTGCTTTTCTTTGCTTTGCAATTTGTATATCTTCTCTGGCTGGCTGGTTGGATGACAACTCTCCACCGGCTAAGTTGCAGACAATTGGATCGGATCGATGAGCCACGCGCTGCTGCACTCTCACCCGATTCGCCTCCACCCCGCCTTTGCTCCAAGGGTTTGCAATCATTTCTTGATATTTTGTGTCAGGGGTCTATATCTAGTAAGTAATATTTAGGGGGTGGGGTGAAGGGGGGCTTGGCGTATTTGTTTGTTTGTCTGTTGGTATAAGCTGGGAATTTGCTTATTATATGCATGTGTTGTCGAATATAACAAAAATGTAAAGCGGATTGTGAATACTTTTTTATTCACGCGCGGATCCTAGCAGTTAATACAGGCGATTATACCTCTTCTTCCTAACCTGTTTCTGCGCGACTCGAGATAGATTCTTCTTTCAGAATCTGGATCTCGCTATTGTCGCCTGGTATTTCAGAGTTGCATCCATCCTAAAGTGTAAACCTTCTTGCTCACTAGAAAGTCTTTCCAACGACCAGACACTCTACTATGGAGACCTACAGTTCCTATAACGTATCAGTGAGTACTCCACCACGTGCTTATGCCTTGAGCCCTGGAAATTAACGTCCTCAGGTGGTGCTCTTTGCCACCTTCGGCTCCCTGTTTACGGGCTACTCTCTCGCCATCATCGTAGCAACAGTCGGACAGCCGACATGGTACGAATCTTTGCACCTGGAACCCGATGCCACGGCGCCTGGATACAATCACACAACAACTATCATCGGAGCGTCCAATGGCGTCTTCTTCGCTGGCGGCACCCTAGGCTGCCTGCTGGGCGGATGGCTGGCTGATAAACTGGGCCGTGTAAAGGGGTTCAGAGTTGCTGCTATAGTTGGTATTATCGGTGCCGCGATCCAGACTGGAGCTGTGAACCAAGCAACGGTGCGTTTCAAATGCTAAATACTAAGACTGTTGTTACTGCATCTCGGCCTGGTTGATGGCTGGCTGACTGGCTAATCTGTGGTAGTATCTCGTCGGAAGAGTGATTACTGGTCTTGCTGCAGGCCAGACGATGGTCGCTATGCCGACCTACTTTTCCGAGGTTTCGCCTCCTCGTTCTCGCGGTTTGATGGCCGGTGCTCACGGATCTGGTATCAACATAGGATATGCCCTTGCTGGATGGGTCGGGTTGGTATACATGAGCTGATTTAAGATCTGAGGCTGATCTACTGATCTTATATAGGTACGGGTGCTTCTTCGAATCTAAATCGTCCTTTGGCTGGCGCTTCCCAAATGCCGTTCTAGCTATCTGGGGCTTGTGTTTATTGGGAGGATCCTTTTTCGGTGCGCAATAAATTCCCTGCTCCGGCTTCACCGCAATAAAAAAGTGCTTACTCCGTATTTATTTTCAGTTCCCGAGAGCCCTCGCTGGCTGGTATCGAGAGGCCAAGACGAGAAGGCTTTGCAGATCCTCTGCAAGCTGCACCACGACCCAACAGACATCGAAGACCATTTTGCTCATCAGGAACTGCGGTTCATTAAGAGCCAATTGGAGATCGACCTCACGCTGATTACCGAGCATGGACAGTGGCAGTTATTCACCATGCCTACGTATCGCCGCCGCAGCATCTTGGGATTCTTCCTCATGATGGGAGGCCAGAACGTGGGCGTGCTCGTTATCAATAACTACAACACGCTGCTGTATCAGTCTTTAGGCCTCTCCAATATGGAGGCCCTTGTCGTGGGTGCTTCCTATAACACTTGGGCTGCCTTGGCAAATATCGGTGGCGCAACGGTGTCTGATCGATTGGGACGACGTAGGGCTCTTTGTAAGTCTTTCTTTCTGTCTGTCTGTCTTTGTAATATCGGTGAAAGAAAAAAAAGAAAAGCTCTTCTGGATAAGTGATTGATTGATTGATTATCCCCGATTACTAGTAATTGGCTATGCTGGCTGTGTCATCATGTTCAGCATCGCCACAGGGCTCATTGCCACGTTCAGCGAAAACGCATCCAGGACGTACGCCGGCACCGCGGTTGCATTTCTCTTTCTCTATGTTTTCTTGTAAGTTACACATTCTTTTGCCTCTAAACACAAACCTTATGTATATGTATGTATGTATGTATGTATGTATGTATGTATGTATGTATGTATGTATGTATGTATGTATGTATGTATGCGAAAATACGATGAATAACATCTGCCTCCCTTGCCTGTACGACAGTTACGGCTCCCTCATCGATGTCAACCAGTACACAGTCGTCGCCGAGATATTCCCATCGCACATCCGCTCCCAAGGCTCGTCCTACTCCTTCGCAGCCCTGTTCCTCACCGACGTGCTCTGGGTCGATCTAGCTGCTACGGCGCAGGCTACTATTGGCTGGAGGTACTATCTAGTATTTCTCTGTCTTGGCATTGTCCATTTCGCACATCTGTGGTTCAAGCTTCCGGAGGTATGTAAAAAAACTATCGTGCCTTAAGTTCTTGTCTCTTTCTTGTGAATCAGATTAGATTAGCTAACTTTAGCCATGGGTGGTGGGAGCAGACGTCTGGTCTGGCTTTAGAGGAAATAGACGTCTTGTTTGGGAAAGAGGAAAGGGCTAGTTCTAATGAAGAACCCAAGGCTATGACGCATGTTGTTGAGGAGGAATAAGCTAGTATTTCCTGGATGGAGATATCTATTGGCATTATTATCAGTTATATTAATATTGGATGATCGTGACGCGCAGGAAGCCGCTAAGCCCCGCGGCGGCGGCGACGACGATGTTACAAAGATCCCTTATGACGTTGGCAGCACTCTTAACCCCGGACTATCGAAAGGCACTGTGATACATGATGTTGCTTGAACGATGTTGAAATTTTCATTGGAGCCAAGACTTATTTAACAGCTCATCAATACAAGTATTACCTCGCAGCAGCAAAGAGCAAAACATATTTGATAGTTAATTAGGAAGATATAATGCGCCTTGTTTCGACTGCTATTGGCATATAAAAAGGCTTCGTTCATCTATCTTTTATAGGAATTGTAACCTCGTAGAACTCACCACATCTATCTAGAATTGTCCGTACCAGACCTTGTCCGTACCAGACCTTGTCCGTACCAGACCTTGTCCTCTAGAAATCCGATTCTCTTCTAAGCTGGCATATTCCTGTATATCCAAGCTTCTTCATCCAATGTCACTCACTCTCTCATGTGCCATGCGGCCCCGGGAACTCCAACTTCCTATGAAGCCTCCTCTCAATCTCCTTCCCCTCTTCACCCACAATCACTCCCCACCTAACCAAGAAATCCAAAACAACAACCGCACAATTCGGCTTGAACTCCCCCTTCCCAAGCGTCTCCAAACACTCCTCAACCGTCCACAAATAGAAACACTCCACTTCCCCATCTTGCGGTTTCGGCACTATTCCTTGCGGTAATTCCAGATCATATACATATTCGCATTCCGGCTGGATGACCCCGCTTTCACCTCCAGCCCGGGCCTCGCGGATGTGGATATATGTCACTGTGCCTACATCTTTAGCATGTCCACGTACGTGCTCCGCGGGCAAGCTCGCCTCTTCATCTGCTTCCCGGACTAGAGTGTCAAACGGTTCTTCACCGGACGCAATACCACCTGCAACCGTATTATCCAACATGCCGCCATACGTCTGTTTGTTTTTCGCACGGCGCGGAATCCAGAGTTTGAATCCATGTTTCGTACCATTCTCCTCCTTTTCTTCCTCACTCAAAAGGGTATAGCAAGACATGTGAATTCCATATGTAACAACACCAAACAGACAACTCGCGCTACGCTCCACATTCCATATCAACTTGTTCTTCTCCGTATACACTGCATATAGTTCGTTCCTCCACCCTGCCAATACCTCAAATGTCTTATTCTCGCGCCAGTATTGACACGTAGCGGCTACGGCTTTGCTCCTTTCTTGTTCCGTGGGGAAGATTGGCCAGGTTATTGTGCGGTCTTTGCGGGAGACTTCTAATTCGCCTTTGATGCGTATGGGGACTTTTGCGAGGGCGTTGAAAACGGATTCGAGGATGTAGCCGATGGGGACTGAATCGTGAAGGAGCGTGTAGGTGGTGCTGAGCAAGGCGGTGTGGGATTCCGTTCCTGGATAGGGAAATCTGGGGGAAGATGAATAGATTAGTACATAGGGTTCAACAGGTAGCTATGGAGAGAACGTATGTATTGAGTGGAAGAGAAGGGGGTTGCATAGGATTAGGTTTAGCAATTGGTGTAGCCTTGTATGACCTGCGGAGCCTTTCAGCCTTCCCAATTTGGAAACAAGAAAGTTCAACTCACGAATCGCATTCCTCTGCAAGCTCCAAATTTGATTTCGTTCTCGCCATCTTGTCTGTCTCCCTAAGGTAATATATCGTTTCAGAAAATGTGTACAGTAGTTGTAGGAAGACAGGGCTGCGCTTAATCAAATTGTTTCGAGATTACCTTAGAAGAGCCTGGCGGGCGGAGACAACCCCGCATCACCCCACCATGACTCTTCCAGATGTTTCTTCATTCACCATCTTCTTTCTCCACCGTCTATATAAACAGCCCAATACATATGGCAAAATCTTCGCATCCTATTAATTTATAATCATGGCAGAACAAGCTGCCTTTCCTCAGCTTTTTGGCCTAATTCCCACCGGCCGCCCTCCTATCCTCTCTCCATCTGCAGCACCCGCGCAAACAAGCTTCGTATATACCATACCGGTGGTTCCTTCACGGCCGTTTTCTCATATTGTCGTTTTCTTACTTCCCGGTATATATCACCCACTTTCCCATGTTGGCTTTAGCAAATAAGAAAGCTAATACTTGCGGTGACAAATCAGGAATCGTACTTCCCCCAAACACCGCCGCCGCAGTTTATATCTCCCTACCGACCGCAAACGCAAACACAGGACCGAATTTCAAGTTCCTAGGCGGAATTGGACCTGGCAAGGAGAGCGCTATATTCAAGGTCTCCGGTCTCACTTCCGCTACTAATGGAGCAGGAGAAGTGGACATGGATGCCCCCTTGGCCGGCACTGGCGGGGCCGAAATCACAATCGGCATATCTGTCGAAACTGCAGACTCGGTATCTGCGCAGATGGCTGCATTATCCACAAATACAGGCGTGGCAGGAGCAGGAGGGGAGCAGAGTGCTGCGTTGGTTCTGGCGAAAGCGCCCCAGCAGAGACCGGATACCCTTGTGCTCGCGCAGAGGATCATCAAGAACGCGTTCAATTTTCTGGCGAGCTTTAGTGGGAACGTAGCCGGTGGCATTGAGGTTGTTCCGCTGAAGGCTTTTGAGGAGTGGTGGAAGAAGTTTGAGGGGAGGCTGAGGAGTGATCCAGAGTTCTTGGAGAGGGATGTTGGGGATTGAGGGGGAGGGGAATTGCCTCACTCCTTGGGAGTTTAAGATATGAAAATCTGAAGCATTGGAAATGGGTTAAGGTCTTCTAAGTTATCCGGGATAGAGGAGGATATGGTTTATATATGGAGGATGACACTATGGGGTAATGTAATCAGGTATCTAGGATGAGGGAAGATTTGTACGGGCACGTTGAGCTGCATACGACTAGGTGTTCACGGATGAAGCAAGCTTAAGACAAAACGGGAAGAAATCATTATAGCTATATTAGACGTTAATTTACCCAGTGAAAAGGCCTCATCTCATCGCCGACTTTTCTCAAGCGAGAACCCCTTTCTGAATGTCCATCACCGCCTATGTTCCACCCCAACCCACCGCTAGCCATGTCCCTAACAACTCAGCCCTAAAAACCGTTGCCAGTTGTATCAAATCTAACCTTGAAACAAGGTCTACTTTACTGTATTATTATTTGGATTAGTATTAGTAGAATTATTATAGTTACTTGATACAGATTAAAAGGTATATAGGAAGACATAATTTAGGGGTTAGACGCTAAAATGGTTTTCTATAGGAGTAATTAGAGAATCAGCTCCTCCCTTTATAATTATTTTATAAAGTTTTAAGTCAACGAAAACATCTCGAAGTACTTTTGATCAAAAACCTGTCTCCGCGGAGGATCGAATGGATCTATAAACTCACTATGCGTAAAGAGGATATATTCAAGTTCTATAAAAGTATACGAAGTATTGTTGGGATATATCTCACGTGTACCACGTGACCTTAGTGCTCATGACTAAGCAGCGACGAGGCCTTCACCTCATCGTCGCAACCTTAGCTAGAACCTCTTCTACACCTAGAAATGCAACCACCAAGTGCACGATTCTAGGCCAGACCAGTGCACTATGTATAAACTAACAAGTATCCTATTGTAGGCCATCGACATCACATATTCGGATCACGGGATCGCCCCCCTTATTTACACGTAGAGAGTTAGGGACTATAGCTTCGCTAAATATTTATATACTATTTCTATCTAGGTTTTATTCAAAGGAAAGGCTAACAAAGTTTTTATGCCTATTCGAGACGATTTGGGACCTGTAGTACGCTAGTGTTGAAAGAAATGCTAGATTAAAGAGAGATCAGAAATAATGCCTTACGACTAGTCTTCAAACAACTCTCCGACAACTCTCCAGATGTGTAGGGTTGCATTCACAACTATGCAGAAGCAGTTGGTTTAATACCAACATCCTCAACACGACTCATGTAACCGAGTAGGTCTACTTGGTCATTTCCTTATAGATTTGTCTAGGATATTAAACGAAATGTATTGGATTGGCTGTAGCCCTACCTCAGCCACCTGTACTGCATCAGATTACTAAATAGTGGCTCCTATAAATCCAATCCTTTAACCCACGCTCTCATCCATTCCGGTTTGACCGCCTCCAGACCTCTCATGTGCGTACTCCATTCCTCTGTGCGATCCGTGGAGAAGTTCTTTCTCGATTCCGCACCTTCTGCCTCTCTACCGGTACAGAGGCTCTCGTAGAAACCTAGCAGCTTGACTGCGGGGTTCTTTTGCAGATCAACTTGATCACCCTTGCTGCTCTCTCTGAGTTTCTTTACCCACACTGCTAAAGGTACCAACTCCGGTGCTGTTTCTAGTGCAGCCCGAAGCTCTGGCACAAGGCTCGCGTATGAAACCGAGTGCGGGTTAACCATGTTGAAAAAGACTGCCTGGCTACCGATGTGGGAGATACGATCGTTCAGAGACAGGTCTAATAGGATCTGGGCGCCGTGGTCGACGGGCACGAAGTCGACACTGCTTGAAAAGGGGCCCAGCGATGATGGCAGCACACCCAGATGATACGAGGATGCGATCATGCTAGGGAACCACTCGTCCTTGTTCCATATGGAGCCAGAGCCTTTCTCCACAGCACCAGCCAGTTGGCCAACACGGACGATTAGAGCGCGCACGCCGGACTTCTTCGCAGCGGCGACGAGGAGCCCCTCACCAACGTACTTCGATGCTGCATACCCGTTCGGCCCGGGAACATGAGGGTTGGTGATTTCAGCCTCTGGCACGGGACCCTGGTTTTCCCGGCCCCAATTGGTCGCGACGCTAATTGAGGAGGAGAACAAGAGCGAGGGCCTGTTTGGGGCCGTGGCTGCGAGGTCGATGAGGTTTCGCAGTCCTCGCACGTGTGGCTCAAACGTGCGCAGTGGGATGTTGAAGTTGACCGGCCACTGGGTGTGGATGATGTGCGTAGTCTGCCGCACGACGCGGTCATGCAAGGTCTGCTCCAGCCCAAGCAGCGGCTTGCTGAGGTCAGCGTGTAGGAATTGAACTCGTTCGCTACAAGTCGTCGACAGGCCCAGGCCGCGCGCAGAGCTGGTCTGGAGCTGCTTCGTTTGACCGTCAGCGGACCGATTCAGGCAAAAGATGCGGACTACACGCTGGTCGGCGAGAAGCGCATCCAACAGGTATGAACCTAGTGATCCGGTGCTGCCAGTGAGTATCACCGATAGTTCTCCTTTGCACGTAGTATTTTCCGGCGGGAGATCTTTCGAATACTCCTCAATTATTTGCTTCATTCCTTTGACCTGCTCTTGCATCCATTCATCGAATGCAGTGTCATTGCCGAGCCTGATATTGCGGAGAGCGCGCGCCAGGCTACGGACTGTTGGGTTGGAGTATATCAGAGCGTTGTCGATCTTCTCAGACGGCACTTCAGCATCCTCGTGCTCCACCTGAGCTTTCACCTGACGCACAATATTTACGACCTTCAAAGAGTCGACGCCCATCTGAAAGAAGTCCTCATCGATCGACAGCTCTTTCAGCTGAGCAATCTTGGCGATAATCACAGAGAGCTGCGAGATGGTCTCGGCTTCGCTAACATTTCGCAGTAGAGGTTTGTCAAAGAGTTCCACCGAACCTACCTTGCTATAAACTTCAACGAGTTCCTTCTCGTAGAGATCAAATGTAGGCTTCCGCACAACAGATCCCTTTGGGCTTAGCATGAATGGCTTATCATGCTTTGCAAAGACGATACGGTCCGGAGAGAGCTGAGCATGACTAGGCACTTCCTTGTTTGCTCGCTCAATATAAGGCTGCAGCTGCATGATCAATTCATCGTGAGACAGGCTTTGTGCAAATTCATCTAGCTCAACAACAGCGGCAACTTCGAATCTCTTCTCGCCGTAAAGCAAGGCTCTACGTACGATAGGTGCCTGGCAGAGCGCAAACTCGATGAACGAGGGTGCGACTTTCTCGCCATTGGACAGAACAATCACGTCGTCAGCACGTCCAGAATGCTTCCATAGCCCGGGCTTGGTCGGATGCGGCCTGTACAGATCCGAGGTTGCATATTCTTTTGCATCGGGGAAGGCGTCGAAAGTCGGGTTGTATTGCGGGCCTTCATGTCGAACGGTGATGAGTTCGTAAAGATCGTCGGTCAGGTGCCGAAACTCGACGCCAGACTCTCCCGGCTTGAACTTTAGATAAGCGTGGTCATTATTGAAGTCAGAATGTGGATATATGGGATATCCGCCGGCCTCGGTGGTGCCGACATAGTTCTGGAGATTTACGTATTTCGAGATGATTGCTGCAGCCCTTTCATTGATGCTCCCTCCAGCATAGATCACAGTGGTGAGCTTTCCTAAGATTTGGAGCATCTCGTCAGACTGTGAGGCCTCTTCGAGCAATGCCGGCGCCAATATGGCTGTTGGGATCTCTAAGCATCTTAGAACTTGCATGATACCGGCCAGAGATACAGGTACATCTGGTGGATAAACCGTGGTTGGCTTCTGGAACCATAGGTTGAGCAAGGACTGGAAAATAGCAGCTCCGTGGAAGAAGGGCATTGGCAGGAATATACCGCCTTCAGGAAGCTCGGTAGGGACTGTCCCACGACCATTTTCATCTTTGAGGAAATGGTGACAATCGCAGGCAGCAAAACTTCGATAGGTGTGGAATATAGGCTTCACTTGCCCAGTGCTACCAGAAGAGTGAAGAATTAGGACTTGGTTGCTCTTTACATCTTCAAAGGTGCGATTGAAAGGGTATTCCAGGACCTCCCCATCGACTAAGAGATCGTCAAGTTCCGGGATGTCAATGGAGCCAAGGGGGTTTGGAGAAGCTTCTTCTATGTGGCTAATCGATGTCGAGGCGGCTTTAAGAAATATAGAGCAGCTTGTCTTCTCAAGTAGATGGAGATGGTTGCTGACACTGTTGCGGGGAGAGCTGAGCAAAAGCTTGTAGCCTGCCTTGGGTACTGCAATCAGAAGGGCGAAGTATCGAATGTCGTTGGGACCAATATAGGCCAGGGTATCAGCAGCCTCGCTTTTGCCCAGCTTCTCTTCCAGCATCCAAGCCAGACGGTCAACGATCCGCCCAAAGTCTCTAAATGTGATTTTGCGAAGCCCCTCGGCATATGACTTTCGGTCAATGGGGATATTGTAGATCAAGCGATCAGGGTCGGTTCGTGCGACCTCAGCGACATACGTCGGCAGCAAACGCTTTCCATAGGAGATCTCGGACTCAGCCATTGCATTGCTCTTCACTGTATTCTGGCAATCCTCTGAGGAGAACACAGGCGGGGACCAAAAGTTGGGGTGCAGCATCATACTGCCGAACTATATACGTGGGGTAAAACATTCTGAGGAATGTGGATAGAAGAATCTATGAATAAGAAGGTCGTATTAGGCTTCGAAATGGCTATCTGGGCCTGGTTGATAGGTTTGTGAGGTCAGTCCGAGTTAATTAGACCGCGCTTAGTAAAGATCAACAAGTTTCGCTGCGATGTCCAACTACCGAGCACCTATAGCGGCTACTCAGCCAATGGTGATTTCTATTCGCTTAGACATTCGCTTATACGGATGTATATTACAGCTTTGCATATGCCGAATTAAGAGGAGTATATATATCTTTTGAAGGTGAAGATATATCATCATATAACCGTTTTTGGGGGGAAGGGAAATAGGGGAGAGGGGAGAGGGTTATAAAGCATATATATCAAATAGCTTTCAGACTATACCTTTTTACTATTTTCAAAAAGTTCCGAAATTTTCTTACGGCTCTGTGGATTTCGGCGGAGATATACCTGGGTACGTAAGCTAGATATACCACTAGGGATTATTGCATGGGCATACTTGTAATTAGTGCAAACTTTACGGTTAGCGAGTCTTCAGCCAATCAAGACCTCAAAGGCAGGAGACCCCTGTCAATACAGATTTTGGATGTACCTCTGCATATACCCGTCTTGCTATGCCACAACTGGTGGGTTGTCCGCCTACCTACGGAAAAGGTCTTACTCCGTAAGGTAGGCATCCTACTGAGCCTACTGAGGCAAGACTCGTGGCTAGGCTACTATTGATGCAGCACTTGCTGCCAACCCGACAGCTCCAGCTCCAATTCCAGTCCAGCTCCCAAGTCTGCATACCGAAAGCGGACTTGGGTGAGTGTTGGTGGCGATGGTGCGATAGTATTGTTCCGCGCTCTAATCTATAGTATATATGCTTGGGTCCTCATATGTTTACCATAGAAATGGGTATTTCCATTATTCAGCCCTGTTTGTAAGATTACGATGGAGTGCCCCTCCAGGCTTGAAGGCCTCTACCAAAAATGGCAAAATCTACGGCCCACATCACCACCCGAGCAATTCCATGATTTCGGCGCTTTCTTCGACGACTCATGCACCGCGTGGCTCAAGAGTATGCGGGAGTGGGATCAACCTAGCATCGGTCGCCAAGCGATTATCGACAACGTGAAGACGAATATACAATCCCACCACATCGAGGAGCGACGCGTGCAGTCAAGTCTTGTATCTGAGGATGGACGGACTGTTATGTGTGAGATGAGGAATCGGCTGGATGTTCTCGGGACTCCGCTGGATAACTTCTACGAGACTGCTGTGGCAAGGTTCAATGAAAAAGGACTTATTACCGACTTTAAAGTTTACAATTGTCGGAGTCCGATCGTGGGTGTTGTCCAGACTGTTACGGGGAAAGGGCCGTATACTGCAGCTGCTGCGAAGCAGGAATTCGAGTGAGGAATGCCATTAGGCAAATTTCATTTTGTGCATTGGGATTGATTTGATGCTAATGCAAAGTTAGACACGTTGGAAGGCATAGCAATAAACAGCCAGCGAGCACCGAACTTGCTCAAGTCTCTGCGCCCGCGGAAACTCAATGTTGTCGGGATGTTAAGGACAGAGACCCTCCCAGGTTCTTTCCGGCCATCCGGGCCCGTCTCTGGAAGAAGGTTGCCAGCGTCCTCCACATCTTGAGAAGAAGCTCTTAATGGGAAGTCTAATTGCTAGGCAGGGAGTGCACGGAATGTATATAGTATTTGCTTTGTGGCAATTTTCTACTGGTGTTACGGATCTTCAGCTTCCTCGATATGATTAATGAATTGAATGAAATCATGCCTATATCGTGTTGATCTTGGCGCAGACTTCCTTTTCTATCAACAGTGTCTGCAGTAGTCTATGAGGCAGTAAAAATCAAGCAGGCTGCAGACGACCGTGATCTGGAAAATTAAATTATTTAAGAGTTACTCTATTGCCGCACATATAAAATCCTCCCCACCCGTACACTTCAAAAGTCTACCAGAAACCCCAAGTTGTCACCACTTCGACGATGCATATTAGTTTGCTTCGGTTTTGGTTGCTTGAGCGCTTTCTTTCAGTATCAATGCCTCATGCGCTGGGCTACGAATCTTCATTTGGATGGGGAACGGTTCATCCACAGTTATATGATTCAGGTTCCTGGTGTCCAATGGACCGTTCTATCAGGGAAAGTTAGTGAGTTTTCTGACTTCGGAGAGTAATGAGCATTGTTAACGACTTACGGGTGACATATCGAAGCAGAATATCATGCGAGTAATAGCAACAAACAAGGCCTGTTGTGCAACTTTGTAACCCACACATATACGACGACCTCCACCGAAAGCCCAGAGATCGTGCACGATATTGTCTTCATTGCCATCCAGCCAGCGCTCAGGTTTGAAACATTCCCCTTCATCATACTCTTGACTGATAGCGATTGTGTTCAACACGAAGCTGACACCTTTGGGAAACAGATAAGATCCGTAATGAAGATCTTCCGTGAGCTGATGAGGGGGCACTATTGGCACAGTAGGCCGCCAGCGAAGTACCTCCTTGATAATAGCTGATACGTATGGAAGGTGCGTAAAATCACTAAGGCCAGGCAAGCGTATGGTATCTCCATAACAGATAGCGTCAATATCGGCACGCGCTCTCGCGAATACCGTTGGATTGCTGACCATGGCCATGATGAAGGTATTCAAAGTCATTCTTGTGTTGTCACCTCCTGCCGCGATGACTGACGTTGCTAGATACATCGCTTCTTCTTCATTGCCTTTGTATTTGACATCTGGATGAAGTAACGTATCTCTGACGAATGACGGCTTTGCTGTCTTATTGCAGACCGCAGCGTAGATTGGATCCCACCACTGCTGAAAAACGGCCCGGTGATGTTCGCCCATCTTCTGCCAGTAAGGACGCCATAGCTTCAATACTTGAGGCAGCTTGTCCATCTCAGGGAAGAAATCAATCATACTGCGACCAATGTTCTGTACAAACTCCATGGTTATCTGCTGATAATCATCAAGCTCAGCTTTGGTCTTTTCAAGCTTTCCGCCCATTACTAGGCGGTAGAGCACGGTGGTCGAGTAACGGAAGTTGTGGAAATACCATCGCTCTGGTTGCTCCAGATAAGAGAGAAGTAATGGCAAACTCTCCGATTCTTGCCAATCGCCATAGACTCGGAGTGCCGATCCACTGAGAAGGTGATGCATCACTCGACGACCCTCAGTCCACCCTGCCGTCTGTCTGATTACCGTTCTCTTGCCATTACTGATTAGCCCACTGACGACCGGCATATATGGCCGCTCAGTGGTAATCTTCCCTTGTTTGTTAATCAAATCGGATGCAACACGTCTGCTGTTGAGCAATATCCATGTCTGTGAACCTAAATGCAAGGTGGCCATTTCTCCATGTTGACGCATTGAAGAAAGCTGGCGCAGATGTCAGTATGACGCTTCTCTATATGGACGGCAGTGGTCGAAACTTACATATGGAACAAAGCCTCCAGGACGGCGGGCATTGAGGAATTGGAACAGATTTCCAAAGATTGGAGTCCCTTCGGGACCGGGTGGCAGCTTGTATCTTGGGCCGCTCAATCTCCATTTTTGATCTTTGGGTTTGAATGTCTCTCTCAGCAGGAAGCACGCAAGTATGCCAATGGCAATACAAATATGAATGCTAGTCAAAAGCTCCATGTCTTCTTGTCTTCAACGCAGTCAGCATCCGCATGCAATACGTACGAGTCGGATAAACGTAAAGGGTGCGGGATGGCTATAACAAATGACTGGAAGATATAATTGCCGTGAGTCCATGCAGCCGAGTAATTATCATGCTCGCTCTTTTCTTATCTCTTTTCCCGGGAATGAGGCAGAGCCACAATCGTACGGTATGGTACGGTCCCGGGAAGCTGGGCCCAGCAATGGTTTGGAAAGCACTGGTCGCCATGCAACCACGTTGTACGACCCGCCCCACCAGATGCAAGTACTGCACTAGTAACTACCCCGCTCCACCCCGCCCCATCCCTGCCACCCCACCCCTCCAGCCAAGAATGGAAAGGTTTCCGGCGATGAGGAACGCTAAGGCGAAGGACCTAGTCCCTGTAGTTTACCGGTGGGGTGGGTGGACAGTTTGTTCTGTAGCCGGAGGCCCCCGATAGGTATTCGCAGTTGAACGGCATATCTTCAGCGCTTACACAGTTACATTCGGTGCAGTAATGCTTGTTGCTACCTAGCCTGGTCAGTGGGTGCGACGTCTTCCCCTTTTTAGATAATCCAACATGCCCAAGTCTATGGCATTTGTTAATATTCAACCTTCTATTATTCGCAAGAAAGAGAAACTGCATATATCCCCGAAACAACCGTTGAAAAGGCGGTGTGACTTTTGCAGGATGTCTCGCATTCCCCCCTCTAGACTCTAGAGCATGTATTGATTGCATCATCTGATAATTACTTGTTTTTAAAGTATTTTGCTACTTACCTACGTTTTAACTAGAAGAAGAATTAGCGAGCAAAAAGCACGTAGGTAATTGACCAATTAGCTAATTTGCTTATAAAGGCCTATAAATTGACCAATTCACTGGTGCATTAACCAATGACAGAATTGGTGAGTAAATCAGAACAGAACACTGCTACTACTCGAGTATATCATGGAAACACGGCTTTTCTACTGGGTCAAACACCTTTGCTAGCAAAACGGCAAAACGGCGAGTGGTTACATATAAAACATCACGTTGGAGCTGCACCAGTGCTACGGCAGGGAGAAGCTTGTGTTCAAGGTTAATTGTTACTTATTAATTAAGTTGTCTTCAAGACAAACTTGGGAGGAATCTAATTGGCAAAAAATCTAATCGAAAATTTGACAGCGCCTGCTTTGGGACCTTTCAATATGTGAATCGATACGCAGAATAGGAAAGAACAGCACTGGCAATCTTCTAACCAACAAAAGAAAAATGAGAGCAAACTTATAGTTGCAGAAATAGACCCCGGCGACATAAAGCCTCAAGGTCTAAACAACTCAGACCAGAGTCTAATGTCCTACAGCTTCTGGACATATTCCACCACAAACCCGGTGCACATTGTAATTCCTCCATAGAGAAGATGTCTCTTGAACCACAACCCGCAGTTCTCCGGGTTTGTAAGATCAAGGGTTATAAGCCCAACCGCAGCGACCATGGCAGAGCCTAGGCAGGAGAAGGAAAAGTACCAAGGGCCGGCATCGATGGCAATTCCAGCCGCCACAAGGGATCCGACCTCGATGCCTGCTAGGATTGACAGAGCTAATTTCCCGTATGATTTCCATTTCAAAGCTAAGGACCTAACACCAGCTTTCTCGTCATCTGCAATATCTATCCAAGGTAATGGTAAGCAAAGGAATTTAGTACAGCGGCTCCACGTTCCAGATTTTACATACCTTGATACGCATAGATGGTGTCATAAAGCACAGTCCAAGCCACATTTGCAACTGCCAGATACCCCAGACTCTGTTGAATCTGTGGCATCTGCAATGCCTCGATCATGTCATACCGCGTTGTCATCATATAGCCAGTCAAGACGTTCCAGGAGAACATTAGTCCCAGGAAGAGTTGCGGGTAGTCGGTAACACGCTTCGCGAACGGGTAGGCCACATTGAAAAGAAAGTTAGGGATCAATGTATAGAAAGCCTGGTCTCCCGACGCCTGCCATACAATCCCGACCCACAGGAAGATGAGGGCAACCGCGAACACCCTGGCCGCGGCGGGAGTTGCGGCTCCGCTAGGAATGGGCCTTGTCCGCGTACGAGCGACCTGGCTATCAAATTTGTAGTCGGCAGCATCGTTCCAGACACAGGCAGCGGAGCGCAGGACGAAGGATGATAGAAAGAGTTGCACGAAGAAAATTGCCCCATCGAGGAATTCCGGGCGAGGGACTTCCGTATCCACAGACACAAGAGACCCGAGCAAGAGCGGTATGTGAAAGGCTAAGACTCCAGCTGGTTTGTGGACCCGAGCAAGCTCATAGAAAGCTCTCCATCTGTTTACGGATGTCTTGGGTGGCGATTGTGCCGGAACAAAGAGTTTGGACTTTTCTTGAACAGTGGTAGACATGTTGGCGATTCTTGCAATACTCTTCTTGAGGGGGGGGGGGCAAACTTTCTGGCTATAAGGACAAATTCTTCCACATACCTGTCTGTTACTTACCAACGTGTTTGACTTTTTGGGGAGTATACGGTTCCTACGTTTTGGGAAAGTGGTCCGGTCGGTACTTGGAGTTTCCCATCATTGAGGGGTTTCACCCAGTCACATACGCTTGCTACCACCTCTCAAAGCTGCATATGCATGTGTACCAATTAGAAAACGCCGAAAGGGCCCGACAGTTGAAGAGGCGCTATTGTAAATGCAGGTGAAGATTCGTGGTCGTTTCCTACTCGCGGGCCATGCCACTGGGTTGGTAAGAGATTACTTGGTCGTTGGCTGGATAAGTGCACAGTGCAGGACGGAGACAGCGGGCTATGTCATATGGTGCTGCAGTGCATGTAGACTAGCCACTGACCACGACTTCCTGAAGTACATACCTAGGTATCTAGTAATAGATGTGGAGTTCCGCATTCGGCGGCGGGAGTCTTTGGGAGGGATGACAGTTCCAATCGACGGGCCGCGCCGGATGCAGCGAGTTGCATAATCGTTCGTCCAGACGGCAGTGCCGTGTTTTAGCGGGCCGAAAACTCTCTTATTAACTATGCTAAAGTTGTAAGTTTAAACTTGTCTTATAATACGAGTATAAGTTATTAGTGAGATATATAGAGACCTGTAAATACTTAAATATAAGTAGTTCAAGAGGTTTATAATATATTACTATATTTTATATAAGGTATTAACTTCCTAATGACTTAAAATTATTATTTTCAATATCACTTTACAGCTAATTAACTAACTAGTAAGTACGAAGCATAGTAATGGCACCTGCAGTCTCTAAGTGTATAGCTGTTTACACCTATAGATGAAGTGCTAGAGTCTTTATCAAGAAAAAGTCCTTGATGTCACAGGACATCAATATCACGTGCGATGATCACGGGATCCACTCCCCTAACTCACAAACAGAACGTGAGGAAGTGCTTATGGTAGTTTACATTGATGGGTAAGTAAGCTCAAAACGTATGAATCACCGTATAAAATGGGTCCTCTGCCTAACCCTCTTCCCTCCTTAGTTTAGTATTCCAGTTCTTGAAGGAGCTTAATACTAGCACTTGCATCAACGCCAAATGCTACTGCAACCCCAGCACTAAGTGCTATTGATTTATTAGTTATTTATGTTAACCAAGACTCCGGAAAAGTACTCACGGGACACAAAATGCCCGCCCATATGAGCAAGCTCGTTGGGCTCATTCGTGAGAGTTCCAAGAATCCATAATACTATATTTCAAGCATTCCGTATTAAGCACCGTAGAGCATATAGATGACTACCACACCTGGGTCATTACAATCTATTCTAGGACCATCAATACTCCGGTCAAGTCCAGCTCGAAAGCCAAATGATTTGTGCAATATATGTTCCAATGATAATGGTAGAGCAAATTGCAATTGCTACCAGACCACGCTTCTTTCTGGAACCAAACTTTGTAGAGTCAAGCAGAGCTGCAAGTCCAATTGAGAATGAAATTGGGATAATATTCGTGAGAACACTGTTGAGGTTTCGAGTCTTCAAATTGTAAGCATATGCGTTCATAGAGCCCTGAAGCACAAGAGAATTCTCACCTACGAAGAATGTCGTATTCATAATGACTATTCGCCAATCCATTAAGAGTTTTCCAAAGCCCTTGAGTGATTCAAAGAAGCCGGAGTGGCTTTTGGTGGTTAGTCCGGTACCGTCTGGGCGAACTAGTTTCTCCGGCGAGAGCATGAGAAGCGCAAAACCCACAGATGATATCTGTAAAATAATGAACACAATATAGACAGAATGTGGGACGCTCGAAGTAGCGCTTTTAAGGTCATTCCAAATGCAATCAAAGCTCCGATCATAGCACCAGTCGCGTTGAAGACCCGTTGCACAGCTCTGTATTTGCCTTTATCCTGCTCTTCTGCATAGGTGTTCGCCATGTAGCCTTGAATGGTCATTAGCCTTGTTCTTTTCCTTTAATATAAATGGAGTTTTGGGGGCTAGTTAGATGGAGTAATATTTAAGAGCAGAATAAGTCACTAGCAATTGTCCATAGACTGCCAGCGCTGAGGCCTAATGAGGCTCCTCCTACAATAGGAAACCAGAGGTGGCCTTTAGCATCGAAATACCTTAATGATCCTTTGGGGAAAAGAATAAAAGGAAGTAATATTTCAGGCTTAGGACGTACCGATATATACAAGGGATATCCAATGCATCTGAACAAAGCTGTAAGCTGAGGCTTGAAGGTATTAATAGCAGTTCCTCCGAAAAGAGCACTGAACGTGAAAACACTATATAGAACACCATTAGAAACATCCGCCATATAAGTAGAGAAAACACGACCGCCACCAGCTCTTAAACCCTAATATAAGTAAGTAAATAGTCTCTCCAAACTTGGGCTTATACAGAAGCAAGTCAGTGACATACCACAATAGCTAAATATAGCCCAGGGTTGCAAAACAACAAAGCTGAAATGAGTAAGTTTTGGACAATTGGGCTGCCAACTACAATTATTCTTTAGCTCGAAAGTGCTTGTCCGTAACACATACTTGTTCTGCCTCCAAAATCGAAGGGTTGGCGCACTTTCGAGTTTTGAATTAGTTACCACAGTAGAATCATTATGTGGATGTTCCGCAGAATGTGCATCCTGAGCCATGGCGACTGTCGCTATGAAATTATGAAGTTCAACTTATGAACTTCGGTTTTCTATTGATTATCTATTATCAACATATTATACTCTATAACTGTACTTATACTAAGAGGACTAATAACATTCGGCCTTCTTTCTTAGCTCACGACGGACCGAAGGGAGCTAAGAGGGTAGACCTGCCTCTGTTATCAATATTGATGCATTGCTCCTTTCCCCGCTATACTTTTTGTTTGGACCGAAACTTAAATCCTAGGGAAATATAATTAATTGGTATTAGTACTAAAGTGGTCTTGGAGATAGCTTCACATATAGCAATTACTCGTAAGTGGCCCATAAGAGTACTTTCATGTGTCTACTTAAGAGCTCGTCATTAGAATATAGACAGTATAAGCTGGGATTATACAAGATTATCGCCGCGCGTCAAAGGCGAACTGGGTGGCACGGGTGGCGTGAAGGGTATGTGTACAAGATATTCAGGGATGAGTAGCTGCTAAAGTGGGGTGCTAAAAGTATTTGACTATCTCTATGTACGTACACTATGCTTGTGTCGCCCAAAAGTCTAAACTTAGAAGGGTTCTAGTAGCTATAACAATATTCCTCACAAGGGGGTTAACCACTGAAGAACCTCAAATCAATCCGCCTGGACGTCCCACTATAAAATAAAGAGGTTTAATCTAAGGTTAAGACTAGTTTATATTTAGTACGAGTACCGAGCGTTTGCCCCACATGTCAGACTTCTGGGCGATACAAGTACCACGAGCCACTATAGAAGATATGGTCCTATTCTTTATACGCCCAACTGAGAAAACTTTTGCAAAAGCCAATGCAAGGGTTGCACTTGTGTTGTCGACATTTACATATCTAGCTTATGCGAATGAACACATCTATTCGAGAGAGAACACTTGGCTGCGGACCAAAGATGATATTCACGATGATGATAACTTCGAAAAAGATGCGGCGTAGGACTGACCTTGGGCTGTCATTATATGACAAGCACATTGATCTCTCCGGTGCCGTTTTTAGTTCTACCAAAAGGCCTCTCCTAAACGTACGGCCGGGCTATGTGCATTAGGGTTTTCATCGTCCGCGGAAGTATATCGCAGATCTTCTTATGATTGGGTTCCTCGAGAGAGACTAGGAATTGGCTACGATATTGTTGTCGACCATGACGTGCACGAGTAAAGTGCGCTAGTACCTTCCCCCGCGGCCTCGTTTTACTTCCACTTAGTTATAGATGCGTTGGCTGGCACGGCCATGGTCAACGCCCCGGAGCCTGCGCAGGGCGGCCGCGGGGGGGCATGGTTAGTTACTCCGTACTACGGATTATAGGACTAGGAATACAGACCTTATACAGTAATTGCACGCGCTAACAGCAGAGAAATATAAGCTTCGGCGAAATGCGCCGGAACTAACTTAGCTAGTGAGTTCTTATTGATGTTAGCTAAGTAAACTAATTTTAGCCGCAATCTTACTTCTACACGCCCGTTGTTCCATCCTTCTATTATTCCCCTTCATTTCCCTATTCCTTCTTGTGCGCCCCTTTCTTTTTGGTGGCAAGCATAACCCTAAAAATAATTCGTCCGTCCAACAATTTTCCTCTCCCCGTTGCTTTAATCGCTCCTAATTTGTATTATCCTCCACACTCTGCAGCTGTTTTGCTCTCTCCTTTCGGTATTGCTTTTTTCTTATACTATTAATCTTATCTCTTGTTTTACTATAAACTTTCCAAAGCCTTGTTCCTTCATAGCCCCCGTTCTTCAGATTAGTCTTCACTTACTTTCCTGTAGCCTTTATTCCAGTATCCTCAAACCTGAATTCATGCATTTCTTTACAGAAATGAATAAGTGCTGTTGTACACACGAAAGATTAAATACTTTTTCATATTCTAACATCTCAAACTCTATTGCCGGCTTCCCAGATAATGAGTTTTACTAACTAGGGGTCGTATAGTTTCAAGAAGGGAAAGCAAAAGAACTAAGAACCATGTAATCTTACAAAGTGAAACGATGCTTGTATATGACGCCATTCACGGCACCATCTCAGGGGCAACCCTCGCTTAATATGGTGAAGTATATTTCTTGAAACGTTAATTCAACGGGGCTAAAGATCTAATTACCCCCATTTCTCGAACCCTAAGCGTACGACACCGGATATCAATAACAGGTCTTCTGCCGAATTCGTCCTATCAAGGAAGCCACAGTGGCAAATGCAATGATGCCGTACTATGAAGATCCATCGAATCCCCATATCCTTGCACATGTCCATCCATCTTGGGGCGACGAGTAAACAAGATCAGCATATCTCTGCGTGCTGGCTGGCTCAAATCTAACTGATACAATGACGTGACGCTGTGCTTGAAGTCGTGGTCCGCAAAGAGAAGACTATCAAGGAAGTGTCGATGTTGCACCCGCCCCTTGATCAGTGTGGGATTCGTCTCGCACATCTGTATTCCGGTCGTCTCGCGGTTATCATGAATGTAAGTGACCGCGCTGTCGGGGCGCATATTACTGCTGCCCAAGAAGACAGTCATTGTGTGGTCAGAGCCATCGGAATGGACACCTTCGAGAGCCGGTTCCCCCCGGATGCCACTTTTCTTATCAGTGTGTGTACTGGCGTCGAACATATTGCATATCCAGCTGGTGGAGGAATAGTCCAGTCGATCACGGGGTTTGACACGGACGCCCTGGAATATCAGGGCTTTGAAAATCATCAGGGCCTGCACTACTGTGTTGCCTTGCATGTCTGTCGGAGCCTCATCAAACATCCTCGGGATCCCCGAGTCATGGCGTTTGTAGTCCTCTTGCACGGTGAGAGTGTAGGCCTGCTCCTCAAGTCGCCGTATGCTACGCGTCTCGAAATCGATGCAGTAGCGTCCATAGGTCACGGTTCGAAAATCGAGGGTTGGATCCGGTCCCGTTAGGTCGCTGATCAACTGAATGTACTTGAAGTCTTCTTGTCTAGCTCCGAGACCTTTCAGAATGGGGATCATATCCTCGCCTCTGACGAAGATGAATCGGTCTCGGAGGTAAATCTCACGCAGAGACATAATCCTGGAAATAGTCTCATAGAACCGGGCATCATAACGTCGATCGAGAACATTCAAAACGTGGGGTACTGGGGGAGGAGGGACTTTGTGACCGTTCGTAGTATACATGATCAAAATTGGATGAAACCAAAGATCTAACGGCGAGGTCAAACCCACAAGGACGTTGGTTCTCTTTATATCACGGCAGGCTAACACCTCTGAAGAAAGCGTTTCACTGGGTTATACTTCGTACTATGTAGCAGGGGATATAGATGCAAATATACTTTAACCTAAAAAGATCACGAATAAGAAAAAGCCACCCTACCACTTTATTCCCTACCAGCCGTCAATTAAGCGGAAGCTATGGATATCCCGTAAAACTATAATTAGAAACCATATACGGAATTAAGCGTCTAAGAGGTGTTTTATGCATAATAATAGGACGCCAGCGACGCGAAAGCAACAAATGGGCTTTAGGAGCGCAATAAGCGTGGTTCTAGAGGCATTAGAAAGACAGATAAAGCATCTGCATGTACTAAAAAATTATAAGGACGATCTAATCCTTCAAAGACATTTTACTCTAGACTCCGAGTAGGAGCGCTATGGAGAGAGCTTTTACGCTAACTCTACAGGAAAAGTGGAGCACATGCATAACTTCCAGTAATGAGGCCCTGAACAATGTTGACCATTCATTTGATTGGCCGCAGCACGCAGTTTCGTAAAGCATTAAATCACTATATCCATTCGCACATGGCAGTCGAATCACCCAATTCCTTTCCCCGCACGTTTACGATTCAGTAATCTTACGTTTTCTTACCACTATAGAGCCTAGCTTCATATATAATAATAAATATATTTCTATCTATAAATTCGACCCTAAGGTTTGAATGCCATACTTGCGGGGATGCCGATAAGTACGGCTTGCGTGCGAAAAATAACTGGGTTTGCCATAATGCAGAAGCGTCATGCAATGAGCACTTTTTACCCTAGCGGCACTTTATGTTATTACTTCCACTAGCGGCTCCTTCCTACTAAGAAGGCTAGAACTTCATGTTACCATAAATATGAAATAAGCTAAGTTATCTCTCGTCCTCTTCCTTTTCATAGCTTCTTTTCTTCTAGTATGTAATAAGCTAGTCCATTTAGAGGATCCACATGCGGCCCTAGATGAATTTGTTTGACGAAAACTGGAGGCATTTGAATCCTTTTCCGAAGCTTGTTTTCCACCACAGGTGCCACCAAAGGTGCTCTTGCTATTTCGGAACTTCTACTATAGCGGAGCTTCGTCTTGTTAGTAGGTTTTATCAGCGGTCTATTTCCTCTATAAAGCTTGGAATTCACATGTCGATGAAAGACGGATCATGCTAAGTTACCACTTTTCTCCCATCTCATCTTCTCGATAATGGCTTCCTATCAGGGTACAGACGCCCTTTCCAGTCGGCAACTGTCGCTAAGGGCAGGCCTTAAGCCTTTTGAAACACCCCCGCTGTCTATCGTGGATACATGGACACTTCTACTATCTCGGCTCAAAGAGAAGACAGCTACTATCAAGCAGCGCTTTGACGAGCGCGCTCGCATCGAGCAACAGATAGGCGCCCGCACCGATGACTGGTGTATCAGTCTCTTTCTACAGGAGTACACGCGCCTCGAGCATCTCACCTCGGAGTTAGAGGTACAGCTGGCTATTACCCAGAGCGTGAGCCACAACCAAGCGCCATCAGCGGTTTCACCGTTCGCCCTCTCCCCTTGGCAGATGGAGGAGCGCTATCGCGCGCTCATCCAGCTGCAGTCATTTGTAGGGTCATTCTTCGAGCGCGCCAGTCCCACGTATGACCAGTCTAAGACTTTGTGGTGGTTTGACCCGGCGTTCCACCAGTCGACCGGCCTTAACTATGATCGGTACGGCTCGCCTGATGTTCGAGAAACCGAGATGGGTATTCTCCAAGCGCTAGGTTTAGGGAATGAAAAGCTGCCGCTCAAGCTGTTGTTAACGTCCAGCGGCGTTGCGGCGTTTACGGTGCTGCACCAATTCGTAATGAGCGAGGTCGTCGGCGCGGGCGACACGATTGTTGTTTCTCCATACATCTATTTTGAATGTTTCCAACAGTTAAAGCTATTATCGCATGTAAAGGTCGTCAACTCGGAGACGTTTGACGCCGAGGAAATCATTGCCACAGCGGAGAAACACAACGCCAAGGCAATCTACGTCGATCCCATGGTCAACACACTCGGGCTGCAAACGACTGACCTACGGCGGTTTGCACAGCTGCTGTCGAGCAGGGATGGCTGGAAAGACCGGTACTTAATTGTTGACGGAACGCTAGTCTCAGGTGGAATGCCATTGTACGACTGGTTTGACGGGCCGAATTACCCCAAAATCTTGTACTATGAGAGCGCCCACAAGTATATCCAGATGGGCATGGATATTGTCATGATCGGATTTTTGGTATACCCGGAAGTCTTGGATACCACTTTATCCCTCATCCGCCAGGTCACGGGAACGACGCTTTATTCAAGGATGGCGAACGTCTTGCCGCCCATCACACAGAAGATCCATCAGTCGCGGTCGCACTGGCTCACAACTAATGCGGAGAGACTGTATCATCTGCTGGACAAGAAAAGCTCTACCATCGCCGAGTTCAACTTTCCGGTTCATTGGCGTTCAATGGGTTGGAGTCATGGTGGAAACGTGGTCACTATCCGGCTCTTTGGAGACGATCAAATGAATAAGAATCCGAGCTTGCATATGTTTACAAGTCTGGTCTTGAGAGCCGCAGAAGAAGAGGGTGTTGCTATGACAAAGGGTGGAGGCCTAGGGTTCTCCGTCACACGCATTTGGCCGTCAACTCCTTTCATCCGGGATGCAGACCCATATATGAGGATTTCCGTCGGGGTCGATCCCGAGGAGGTTGAGCCCGTGGCCAGGTCGATAATCAAAGGACTTGAGAGACACTATCGGGCTTGCAAATCTCCAATGAATCTTTGGAAACTCAGGGACAGCGAGGTGACCATGACTAATGGGCGGACCAATGGCGCTCATTCCACGAACGGAAAATATTGAAGCCATTTGTGAAAAATTCCATTCCTGTCGGGATATGTGGTCACATGACCTTAGTATCAATGACTAAGCGACTCAGAGGCATACAACAGCATAACTTCTTCGCCTTTGTCATCCACACAATTAGACTTAGACACCTAGAAACCAAACCAGATACCATCATATGAGACAGATTACTAGGCCAGCCCAGTGCACTATGTGATACCAACAATTCCAACTTTAAAAACTCCAAGCTATCCCTATCTTGAACCTTTGACTATTGAATTGAAAGTGCCGGTAGGTGATACGCACGTGAGCCAGCAATATCAAAGAAAGTAGCATACAATCAAGATACATACGCCGCAACTTAGCATCCTATGCTACGGTCCCTAAGGCATTGGCTCGGCCTCTTATTTCTTAGACGAGTCTCTATAAGCACTTGGTATTGAAGATTGAAGCACACTCGCTTCCTCCCCCTTCGGCATCCACTTGATAGCAGCCGAAGGAAAGGAGTCGAGGACCGTTCGCTGCCCGCAAATGTATTTGCACTCGGAATAAACTTATATTGACAGCCGCTTGAAAATTTAAACCAAGCTGGAATTTCAACAGAACTCTTTTTGGGTAGGGACATTGGACTGCACATGTACATAATGTGAGAAGAGAATGTCTCCAAAATAGCAAAACTAGCTCACTAAAGCTTCTTTGTATATCACATATTGAGGCTCTGCTGGAAATTCTGATTCTCATGCTCTGACAGGATTCAGGAGAACACATAAGACGACAGTTCCTGGTGGCCAGAATCGGAAAGCTGGAAAAGCAAGACTTCTTACTCATCCATCCTCTTCTCAGGAAAACGAGAATATACGAAGTATATGAAATGTACAGATTACTTCCTTTGGTGGCTTTTTGATGAAAAAAAGGGTGGTGGCATGTGCTAGTCCGAAGATCGAGTTGCCGTCATCAACCGAGCCGAGGTGGGACTGGACGGACCTTCCTTAAGCTACCCCACACTTGAAAGGCTCCCGCCACCCGTGCCCGTCCTTCCCAAAAGACCCAGCCGAAAGCAGATATATTCAAATTACTCTATCGAAGACTTGCCCATTATTAATTACAAATCAAAAGAGATTCCATCTAATACTTCCTCGAATCGTCTCTCAAGTCTTCCCTTATCATACACCGCATTCTCAGCACCAAGCCGCAGATATGATATCCTCGCTACAACCACAACGGCCTAAAGTAGCCTCCTCCGTCTCCCATGTTAGACCTCAATCCATATCTAAGTAGCTAATTTGAACCCAGTTCCCACCTCAATCCCAACCAACTAAACCCGCAAACCAGCAACCCACTCGCTTCATCTCCGGCATTCCCCAAGCCCCACGCTGCCAAATCGAAGCTATGCCACCCTTCGATCCATCAAAGGCAATATTAGATGCGTCGAAAAGGCATCCGGTATTCTTTACGGATCGGTTGGTGAAAGCGCCGAATGGGGTACTTGGTGGTTGGGTCTCGCCGGTTGCCAAGGGGTATGTTTTTAATGATGGGGTTAGGAGGGGTGTAGAGGGGACTCCGAGGTTATGAAGGGGGAGTAGAGAAGGAAGTCCAAGTTGTGAGGATTGAATAGAGGATGTCTATGAGTTTATGAGTGATAGTAATGGGTGTATATATTACGGGCACTGCACTGGCGTTTTGGGGATACTCTGCCATTGCAAAGCACGGCATCGGGGTCTGAAGTATGGATAAGCATACAGGAATGATCAAAGATTATGGTCCTACTGATCGGCTTGAACTCAAGGAAATGTATCAAAGGCTAATAGCCATTTTCACGAACTCAGTGGCTTGTTACAATTTCCTCCAAACGCCTCATTGGTATAGCATCCGCCCTGCTTTCCCCCATATATGGTACACTTCATCCATCGAACCGTCACTCACTTGCCGCCGACACATTTCGACCATCCGGGCAATCCGCATCCGAAGCCAACAAACAAGTAAATCAAGAAGATGACCACTACAATTAGTAGTGCCATGAGTTTCACATTCTTCCACCACATCTGCCTCCTCAGCCCCCTGCTCCTCACTCTAAAATCATGTGCATTCCCACCCAACCGATCGGTTTTATCCACCAACAGATCAATCCTCTCACCCCTCTCCAGCAAACTCTCGATATTCTGGCTCATAATCCCCCTCACATTATCAATTTCGCCCTGCACATTGCTAATCGCATCCTCCTTTCCGGCCTTCGTTGTCCCATAGTTAATCATCAAGCCCTTAAGCTCGCTGTTGAAGCTGCCCGCGCCATAATTCGGCAAGCTGGCGAAATCAGTGCTCTCGGGAGCAAATTGTGACAGGAAGCGCTTCTTGACTTCGAACAGGAATCCAAAGGGAATGCGGCGGCCTAGGGAAGAATCGGCAATTACGAGGTAGGTGAGGCCACCTGCTGATGCAGATTCCGGGGGGTATTCCGAGGGCGCATCGGCGATATAGTGAATGAAGTTGGAGTTGTGGGTGTAGGTGAGCTTTTGGGCGGTGTTGTGGGTGATCTTGGGAAGGACGAGGGAGGCGAGCGACGAGGTTTGGGAGGATGCTGAAGCGGTATGTTCGCTCAGGATGGTGTTGTTGTGTGCGATACAGGCGCTAGTATGGTCAGTTGGCTGATATTTGTAGTAATCGGTAGTCCTTTCCTGAGATTTCCTCACCCTCAGCTGGGGGTTGAGGTTAAGGACAACTCAGGGGGGACTACTGATTAGTTGAGGAGATGGGGGTAATGGTCGGTCATCCTTCTTCTCGTACTTACTAGAGGAGAGGAGTTGGAGGCGTTGATGAGGAAGCCATTATGATGGAAGGTCTAGATTGCTGTCATGCAGTAGGGAAATCCGTTTCGGAGAAAGTGCTTTTGGAGGATAGATAGGATTGCAGGTTTGATGCACCTGATGGATAGCTGTTATACATGTAGATGATGTACGAAGCATGAGGTGACGCACTTGGCGCGGAGCGGAATGCCAAGACTTATGTCGCGTAGAAAAGTTATCGTCTTAACGACGAAGCCGTGAATACTTGAGGTGCGCTTCTCCTCTGCAACAACCTCTTTGACCTCGATTACGATAATGCAAACGGCATTGTCAAGACCTGGACAATGTACCTTTTGTGCATTTAGAGCCTTGCAACGTCGCCGTCTCGCACCCCAATGCCAGGATGGGGCGAGACGCCACAGGTCTATCACATCGAGACCTCCAAGGAAGCTATTAACGCGTCGCCCAGATGCTTCAAATATTCCACGGCGGGATTTTCGTAGAGACAATGCCGTGGGAATAGACAATTATTCGAGACGGAAAGAGTCTGTTTACGATGCATTCGGAGAGCTTTTGGAATCACAACTTGACCACTTGGAAAATAGGTTCTCTAATGGCCCTCTGGACCGGGTCACGTCTTGGGGAATAACATCCAAACGACAACTTGCCAAAAAGCTGGAAATCTTCGGAGAGAGTGTTAGAGACGCCGTCGAACGCGCCAGCAAGCATCGAATAATTAGCAAGAAGGCAAACCCCCTCTTTCACGATTTGCGGCAAGCGTTCATTTCTGGGCACACTCCTGCTTTAGCTGCACAACTGGACTTTCGGTTTATGGCTTCAGTCGTGGAATCAAGAGGACCTATAAATGGCTCTACGTCAGACTTACAAAAGCAGTTGGCAGATCTGCGGTTTCCTTTCGAATGGTACCCAGCAACGAGAGCTTTGCAACGAACAATACACCTTCACGTCGGACCTACTAATTCGGGCAAGACATATCATGCCCTGAAAAGGTTAGAGACTGCGAAGACTGGATTATATGCCGGACCGTTACGCCTGTTGGCGCATGAGGTGTACACAAGGTTCAATGCCATGGGCAAGAAGTGTGCGTTGATCACAGGAGAGGAGCGGCGGATTCCCGAAGGACTCGATTGTGTTATGAACAGTTGCACCGTGGAAATGATACCCCTCAACACTATGGTAGATGTTGCTGTCATTGACGAAATTCAAATGCTCGGTGACAATGACCGTGGCTGGGCCTGGACACAGGCATTCCTTGGAATTATGGCAAAAGAGGTTCATCTTTGTGGCGAATTACGCACAATATCTCTTGTTCGAGACCTTTGTGCCGCTATGGGGGACAAGCTGATTATTCATGAATATGAGCGACTTGGTCCTCTCAAATGCGATACGAAGAGCCTCAGAAGCGACTTGAGTAAACTCGAAAAAGGGGATGCTGTCATTATGTTCTCTCGGATTAGAATCCATGCCATGAAAGCAAGCATCGAGAGGATTACGGGCAAACGCTGCGCCGTTGTCTATGGGTCACTACCACCCGAGACGCGGGCACAGCAAGCTGCCTTTTTCAACGACCCGAATAATGACTACGATATCCTTGTGGCGAGCAACGCTGTTGGAATGGGCTTGAATTTGAGTATCAAACGGGTTGTTTTCGAATCTCTTTCAAAACATAATGGACTAGTTCTTGCACCTCTCGAACTGCCAGAGATCACCCAGATTGCAGGCCGAGCGGGCAGGTTCAAATCTGCAGATGAGGCTACGAAACAGGGTGCGACTGAGCTTGGGAAAGCTGGCTCTCCATCGGAACATGTCAAATCAACGCCCAATGTTGGTTATGTGACCACTCTTGATGGGTTTGACTTGCCCAGAGTGCAAGAGGCCATGGCAACGACGGTCGAGCCCTTGAAATCCGCTGGCATCTTTCCGCCATCTGATGTGGTAATTCGATTTGCGGCCTTATTCCCCGCCACGACTCCTTTCAGCTACATCCTCCTTCGACTACACGAACTAGTCACACTAAATCCGCAATTTCATCTGTGCCGCTTGAGGGAACAAGTCGAAATCGCTGACCTGATTCAACCATATAAAATGTCAGTCGCGGATCGTCTCGCGTTCATGAGTTCGCCAATCACTCTTAGAGACCAAGGATTCCCCCAAGTCGTCGTTGAGCTTGCTCAATGCCTCTCGAACCAAAGCGGTGGCGAACTGATAAACCTGAAGTCTTTCCCACTCGAGATCCTCGATCAAGACATCAACGATTATGCTCAGGGTAGCAAAGGTTATCTAAGGACGGCGGAGATTTTACATAAGGCTCTAGACCTCTATCTCTGGCTGAGTTACCGCTTTGCGGGCATTTTCAGGAGTCAGGCTCTTGCCTTCCACGTTAAAGGGCTAGTGGAAGAGAAGATCGGCCAATGCTTGGCAGACGTCCGCTTCGATGAGACTAGGCGCAGGAGAGACAATTACTTGAAATTCAAGGCTTTAGAACAGCAAGAAGAAATAAGAGAACATCTCGGAGAAGTTGATGGGCAGTTGGAGACGGTGTCTGCCTCGGATATATCGATTCCGGCAGCGTGGGAGAACGGAAAGTTTGATGATGCTATGACATCGACGAGCGAGAACAGACTGTAATATTGTTGTACAAGATGTAAAGTAAATGTATAAACCACACTCCATGAATAATGCGCGATTAGATAGAATGTTTCAGGACTCAAATCGATATATCCAAGAGAGGATTATATCTTACGACAAATACCTTTCCTCGGGTTTCTCATACTATCTCGCTGCTCCCTTTTGTCTTCCTCTAGGCTGCGGGTAGTGCAAAAGATGGACTGTGCCTTTCCTGCCAGCAAACAGCTAACTTTCTTCACTCGAAAGTCTATCTCAACCGGCTGCGAGCAATTTTGATGTGTTCCTGGCGCAAATCAGAGAGCTTGCCATCTGGCCCACATATCCTCACTACCGCGCGCGACGAAGATCACTACCTCCAGCGCCGCATATTTCTGGGGTAAGAGAGATTCATTCAACTGGCTGCGTCGAGATTTCTCGTCCGGGAAACAGCTACGGCTAGGCTAGTCTCGAAGATTTCTGTTTTTCACATCCTATGCATAGGTGTTAGGACTTGATGATGGGTTTGAAGTGGAAAAACCTGGGTACCGTTTGGTCTTGACATTTGGAAGGAACAAATAGTTGTGTTGTCAACTTGTCATGAAGCTAAGTTTCATCTCAAGCGGGACCGGGTGCTAAACTTAGGAGCCGTTTCGGCTTTTTGTGGAAATAATGGAGCACGACGCGAGTCCCCCGTACGAGTAAGAGTTCCGAATATTATCCAGGCCGGCGATCATAGCAGATCCCTTTATTGCGGCGGAATTTTGGGTAGCATCCTTATTGCGGGGAAAATTTCAACCTTCCAAAAAAAAATTATTCCAGATGGTTTAATATGCGGAACACGGATTTGATCCCAGAAACTGTTGGTTTTGTGAGTATTTCTGCCCATATGCTCGATCACATGTAAGAATAAGAATGCCGGATTAATTTATTATCTGTAGACGTAAGATCAAGTGAGGATACTGTAGTCACACGACTACTATACTTCTGACGTGTGCCCTGGTAACAGATCCAATAGGATCAGCAAGACAAGGGCCTCTTAGTACCGATCGCGAAACACCACACATAGCCACAGATCCTTATGAAGAAAACCAAAGCCATTTCAACCTCTTGGAATCTGTAGGATGATGGTTCAGCCAAGAGTCTTGGGACCTTCTGAGCCAAAAGTACAACCTTCAACACCTGAGCAGCTCATCCCACACCAACCATAGCCTAAGACCAAAACTCATAGCAGCAATGAACCAAACCCGCATCAAAAGCTAACGGCACTCATCCGTACTCTCCCTCACGCCGCCATGTCAAAACCGCCATCCATCCAAACCAGCCTCCTCACCCTCCTCTTCATCGGTCTCATCATTCAACTACGCCTCGTGCTCCTCGGCCCAAAACTCAACCCCAACCCCAATCCAAAATCGAACGACCCATCCCCCCCTTTTCACCCGCCAACCAGCCCCCGTCCCAAACGCCAACTACCAATACCAATACCAAGCCCCCATCCAATGCCCCCCACAACCCCGCAGACCGCTCTCCCCAATCCTACATCGTCTACCTACAATACCACCACACGCTCGAGCAGCACTCCAGCGCCATCCACCGCGACATCCGCCCGTATGTCAAGGACGTGTATGAGGAGGGCCGCAAGACCGTGTATAGCTCCGTGGGCGTCGATGAGGATATGTTGGAGGCCATTATGGGGGATGAGAATGTGTGGTTTGTCGAGTGTGCGGTGGTATTGACGGGGGATGCGAGGGAGATGAAATGGCATCAGTAGGCTGTAGCAGCCTAGAGAATCTGTTGTTTTGCTCTTGCTATTGCTAGAGGATGGATTTTCGCGGGGAGTTGACCTTATTGCTGGGAATCTTGGAAATCTGAATTTGGATTAAATAGGTTCTATAAATCGACCCTGGTTATATCCCTCAGAACTGCCATACTAGCTTGAGACGCGACGGGAGTCTCGGGGCATGTCGTGGTGATGGGATGGCTTGCTTGGGGTAGCTTGACCATGTGTGCGTTGTCTATACTGTCTTACAACGATTGAACAAATGAATAGCACGCGGTCGAATTGCAGTAGGCAAAAAAAAAGAAAAACATCGCTAAAAACATCAAAAAGGGCAAAATAGAAGAGCAAAATAGATACTAAAAAAGCTGACTGTGCGTGTCATTTGACACGTATAGAGACTCATGGCCCGCCGAGCAGAACATTTCATTTATAGTATTTCGGTATATTTCTTAATTACTTGAACAGCAGGGCCGTACAATACAATTATATCCATGTACCATAAAGTGTATTAATGCGACGACGTCTTGGTAGGCAGAAAAAAACCCAAATCACGTCTGTTTCCAAAGGAAGTAGTTTTTTTGTTGAGGTAATAAATATGCACATTTTAATATATACCTACGGTATCAATATTGAATGCCGAGGTTTTGCCAGAGCAAGCTGCTATATCTTGTACGTTTCGATTGTCCGTCGTCTTTCGTACTCTATTGTTTCCTGCTCCATTGGGTAGGAGATCTGGGGGAGACGAAGAGTGGTGACAAGTGTCGACAAGTGGCACTCTTGGGATGAGGATGGATACATTTTCGTACATTTCTAAGGCGTTTGTATCAACTATCCAAATGCTACTCGTAGAGTAGGGGGAATGAAAGGTCTACATACATAAAAACCAACCCCAAATTTTGTGGGGTTTGGTCAGTTGCCTATCGTAAAACTCTCATCATGCAACGGTTACCCAAGGCGCTCGCTCTAGTACGGCAAAGTGGTCGAAAGTTTCAGCATGTTGAATGTACCGTAGGAAGGTATCTTCAAGCAATGGGTATTGAATATGTTGCATACTGTACTGCACAGGATGAGCAAGAGTACTGTAACCTCAACCCCGCACTTGCGAGACCCCTGAAGCAATCCTTGAGATGGTTTCACTGCCTTGAACACACTTCTGCCCCTGTACAATGCGGATATCCACTCTAGAAAGCTGGATTTTGAGTTGCAAGGAGGTACGAGGAATTCGGAAGAACGAAGAGTCAAATGAAAGAAATACTCAAGAGAGCACAAAGCGCGGGGCTTCAAGTGTTTCTGTATTAAGTACTACAGTCTGCAAATAATTCCCACCCTAGTTTGGACTCTAGTACGAAAGCGGTTACGGCCCAATTTCAACCCGCGAAACGACCAGGAACATGGGAATTCGATGTGTCTGGCCCGAAAGTCCATGCCATACCATACCATACCTACCATGCTATGCCACGAAAAGGACTTCTCTTCCGTCCAAACTCGTCAACGTGAGCGCATATTCGTATTCTTGCACCCATAGATTTAGATATTCTCAAACGCCGCATCCTTACATGCGCATTTACTCAGAACGACGCCCAATTCCTTGGAAACCGCATCTAGAAGGGATGGAGGGGTAGCAAGCATCAAGTACGACCCACACCACCACCCAGATCACACCCGCAGATATGCAGTTACTGAAACACAACAAACAGCATTACCTCTTTTCACGAACGACTCAAACATACTTCTGCGCTACACAACCTTTCACAACGCTTCGGCGCCGCTACAGTAGTATCCGCATACCACTGTAGCTACTCCACAACTACAGTCCCTCTCGGGAAAGGAGAAGGCGCCGGCGTATGACACACCCATGCGGTTTCTCTACTCAGAGGCTACCCAGGACAATGGCTTCTCCTGCACGGAAATCCCAAAAGGTCTCGGAGGCTCTTTCTGATTCCCCTACGGAACGGACCCGCGCTCGATCGGCCCATGAGGAACTGAGCAGGCAAGGTGTCACCAGAAGTAACTCCCACACTGCTTTTGAGAACACAGCAGGCAAGACGCTCGACAATGATTTTGCGGTTATAGGGATCGGCGCTCTTTTGGAGCAAGATCCTCGCCCGACCTTTGCCCTAAATCTTGACACTAACGTCAATGACATTTTCGTGCCAGGTTTTGTGAATAAGGCTTTTCAGTCTTATCCTCAATTGAAGAATATCCTCCCGTTCAAAACCACACCCGGCTCGCCGCTATCCCCGAAGCTTCCTTCTGCCGACTTCAAACAATGGATTCGGGATTTGGCACACCATGACGAGTCGCCCTTCTCGGCACCTTTCAAATACTGTGGTTTTGCTTGGATTGGTTTCAAAATACAGAGTAGATGGCTCATTGTTAGTGGACAAGAAAGTTATGAGAAATCAGCTTTTGAGGGAAGATCCTTGCGACCAATTAATGGTTCCGCTGCCCCTCAAAGAAATCCTAATACTGATTGGGATCACCCCTTGCGGGTCAAGAATATTCGAACGATTTCTAATGATTCTGTTTCGTCTGATGATTCTCTTCCGCCATCTTTTGTAACTCCTGGAACACCAGATTGGACACTTACTCACCCTGTAGGAGAACTCTCGCCTCATGTCATTCTTGCTCGAAGTGTGGACTGGAGCACAACCTCTTTAGGGGATATGCAGACGTGGTAAGAGGATGCAATTGTTCATCTTCATTTCACCACATTCTTGAAGTTCAAGGCTCAATCGCATAACTCCAAATTTCTGACACTCATTAACCTAGAATTTCCTTTATGAGTAACGTACTAACTCTCAACTACGTTGTAGGACTCCGGAGTTTCGACAAGTAGCAAATTTGCTAATGTCAAATCCCCATCCTGCCGCTTTGTTTTGGGGAGAAGAAATGACAGTCTTATATAACAAACCCTACGCTGATACCATTGCTGGAAACAAACACCCTCGCCTCATGGGAGCTGGTTTTTTAACCAGTATGGGATTTTCAGAACTCTGGGATTGGGTGAGGCCGGAATTCGAAAAAGCCAGGCAAACTGGAGAGGCCGTCGCTGTTGCAGACCAGATGTTGCCAATCGAACGTCATGGCTTTCTTGAAGAGACATTTTTCACTTGGTCACTAACCCCAATCTACGGCGGCACATCTGAGATACTTGGTCTCTACAATGCTCCCTTCGAGACAACCCTGCAAGCAAGAGCTACTCGCGCAACCGAGACTTTGATTAAATTAGGTCAGGAAACTGCTCTGGCACAGACAGTTTCTGAATTCTGGCCTAGAATGCTGAAATCCCTTGAGGACAACGAGTTCGACTTCCCCTTTGCCCTCATATATTCTATCCTTGAAGATATTGATGCCGATGAAGACGCTTCTATGTCGTCCGAGTCCTCGCTGGGATACAAGTCCTGCGTTCTTGAAGGAGCTCTAGGTGTTCCTGAGGGGCATCCAGCAGCTCCAACACGTCTAGATCTAAAGCGTGCGAGAGGAGGATTCATACCCTCGTTTCGTGACGCCATGACTAGTCGAGTGCCAAAGCTTTTAAATATCAACGACGGGTCACTGTCCGAGTCGCTGATGAAGGGTTTTGAATGGAGGGGCTATGGCGATCCGTGCAAAGAAGCCATTGTTTGTCCCATTCGACCAACCAACGGAGAAAATGTGATGGGCTTCCTTGTTATTGGCGTTAATCCACGTCGAAAGTTCGATCTCGATTACCAAGCTTTCATTCGACTTCTTGATAGACAGCTGGCAACATCACTAGCATCAGTCACGCTTTTTGAAGGCGAGATAAAGCGTGGATTAAACGCTGCTGAAGCAGCAGCTTTAGAGCGTTCTAGATTATCTGAAGAACTTGCCGTTCAACGATCACGCCTCCAGCGGATGGCGGAAATATCTTCAGTGGGGATGCACTCGATGGCCCCAAATGGTGCTCTACTTGAAGCAAATGACCGGGTAATAAGCTCTTTGCTTAGTTTGCCTCTTTTGTATTAGCCCATAGCATGTGGTTCATACGTCACGATCCTTGCTTTACAGAGATCATGGTGCTGATTCGTTGTAGTGGTATGAAATGACGGGCCACCCGAGGGAACCGAGTGAACCAATGTCGTTTATGGAGCTTGTTGACGCTGAAAGCACGGAAAAGTTAGAGAAGGGATGGAAACGACTTACCGAAGACAAAGTACCATGGACTGGAGAACTGGTATGTCTACAATCTCCAATCCTTCTCTGTGCACTCTTTCGATCGAATCGAATGGATTAATACGTCCTATACATTTGAGACACATTCAGAGTCATGTCTACTAATTCAATCAATTTTAGAAATTGAAGAGGCCCTGGTACGAGCCAGCGACAGGTGCAAAACACGACTATTGGATATTGGCAGCCTCTCAACCCGAGTTCTCACATGATAACATATTGAAGAGCATCATGGGCTCTATCACGGACATAACTCTCCAGAAACAAAGTGTCAATGATGCTGATGAACGCGCAAAGCTCTCACAGCAATTGCTAATCTCAACGCAGCAAGCCAAAGCTCTACAGAACAAGCGCTTAGAGGAAGCAGAGGAGGCAAGGAGAGCCCAGAATAGTTTCATCGACATCACCTCACACGAGATGAGGAATCCTTTAAGTAAATCCTTACATGATCGGTTATTGTGGTGTGGATCTAATCCAGAAACAGGTGCTATCCTTCAGTGTGCTGATGGAATTTCGACGTCGTTGAACGAATATTTGGCGGAAAAGGCAAGCCTTGATCCGGAACTAATCAGCATAATAGAAGGGGCAATTGAGTCTGCCGACACAGTACAGTTATGTGCCCAACATCAAAAGTCCATTGTCGATGAGTAAGTCCCCGCATCTGTCTCCAAACATTCAAAATTAACTCAATAAAAGCATTCTTACTATTTCGAAGCTTGATTCAAATCTCCTGCTCATTACTCCCGACCCTATTCAACCCGTTAAAGTTGTTCAACAAGCTCTAAAAATGTTCGTCGCCGAGTGTCAGATGACAAAAATAAAGATGGGTTTCCATGTCGATGATTCTTGGCGCGAACATGGCGTTAATACTGTCATGCTTGATTCGAGCCGACTGCTTCAAGTCTTGATCAATCTCATGACAAATGCAGTCAAGTTCACCAAATCCGAGGAAGGGGCCCGCACAATCGATGTTTCCCTTGCCGCATACAAAGAACCACCACCAGAAATACCCCCACATTTTCATTATTTTCCGACGAAGAATGATAGATCAGACGTAACGGCTTCTGATGATTTTGGGAAGGGCAAGATCGTATACCTACGATTTGAAGTAAAGGATAGCGGTTGTGGACTAGGCAATGATGAGAAGAAAAACCTCTTCACACGCTTCAGCCAGGCCTCTCCGCGAACACATGTCAAATACGGTGGAAGTGGTCTAGGTCTTTTCATCTCACGGCAATTGACAGAGCTCCAGGGAGGGGAAATCGGAGTTGCGTCTGAGGCGGGCGTAGGCAGTACATTTGCATTTTACATCAAGGCTCGAAGAGTAGAAACCGAAGAAAGCTTACCCAAAACGGTGAAGATTGATCCAGCCCTACAAACCGCTTCACGCGATGCTACGAATCTCAAGCGCATGGTCCGAGACGATGGATCTGCTGCGAATTTGTCTCCCTCGCAATCTGCAACCCGCGGATTATCTTCTACGAAACCTCCAGCCACAAGTCTCCCACACCCAGATCTTAGCAGCGTAAGGATAACTAGCTCTTTGATTTTACCGTACCCCCTTCTATCATGTTTCGTCTCATGTACTCTAACTACTCCTTACATACTTCCTAAAAAGGGAACTTGCTCTTCTTCTTTCTCTCAAAACCCCCTTAAAGAGGAAATAACTAACTCCCCGTGATCTAGTGGCATGTCCTCATCGTCGAAGACAATCTCGTGAACCAACGTATCCTTTCCCAGCAAATCCGCAAACTAGGCTGCCAAATCCACGTTGCGAACCATGGCGGCGAAGCCCTGGACTTGATCCGCACAACGAAATACTACCAAGGACAAGAAGAACTTGGTAAGGAGTTATCGGTTATTCTTATGGATTTGGAAATGCCGGTCATGGATGGCTTGACGTGCGCGAGAAAGATTCGCGCGATGGAGGGCGAGGGCTTGGTGAAGAAGCATCTGCCGATTATTGCTGTTACGGCTAATGCGAGGGGGGAACAGATTGCTGCGGCCAAGGATTCGGGGATGGTGAGGAGCTCCTCCTGCACAAGATCTTGGTGTACTGAGAGAGTGTGCTATGCTAACATGAGGTACAGGACGATGTAATGCCTAAACCTTTTCGCATTAGGCAACTAGTACCGAAGATCGAGGCGTTATTGCAGGGGCAAGCAGAGGAGCTGTAATTACTTGCATAAGGGAGAAAAGGTCTGTATATATGTATATATGTTTATTATGGGACATGCCGGCATGGTAGATGATTGATGGTTGCGGGTTGTATTGATTGGTTAGATGGATGCGTAGAACACGATACCCATTTGTCCTCGGAAAGGAAAGGAAAAGGAGTAAATTGGCATTCGGAATTATAGATGTATGGTGAGATTGGACTGCCTTGCCTTGCCTGATTAGAGGTACTGTACCTAGCAGGTACTGGTAACCTAAATTCAACCATTTTACAGTACTTGGGTGGAATGCTGGGATGGATAAATAACTTGATATGACTGACTGAACCAATGTAATCTTACTATTAATAATAGTGTTTGAAAGATCTCTCTCTAGTGGACTAGAAAGAAGTTCCTAAGAAGGAACATTAGGCTTGTAGTGTAAGATACTGTACTATAAGAGACATCACATCTTCCAAGACATGACATTTCGACCGATCGACCTCTACTTGTCAATTGCCCTCCCCTCCGATCTTCACTTCACTTCGCGTCTACTTGTAGCACGCGAAGCTAAGCTGGCTGGGCTAGCTCCGATCCAAATGCCCGCAGCAACCGGGCCCGGGCCCCCTTTTCCCCACTCACTCGGATATATATGTGTTAAAGGGACCCGGCCCCCTCGTCCCCGTACTTCGTACCCCTAGTGGGGAATCCGCTATCTTAGGGAGTACCCGCTCACTATCGTAAGATATATACAGTATGCGGAAAATTCAGGCAGGTAGGTAGGCAGGTAATATATTATTTTCACTACATCTGCTATGTAAGATTACGTACAGTATTCAGCAGTCCGTACGTACGCTGTACTTACATTCCGTTATATTCTATTCTATTCTGGAATATGGTAGAGTGAGTGAGATCTAGAATAACATAGAGTGAGTGAGAGTTTGAATAATGCGAGGAGGTACTGAACATACATACAGTACGAAGAATATCTTTCTCTCCTTCTTTTTCACCTACTTGAGAACTAGCTAGCTACCTCACAGTAGCTACTGTAGCTGTATAAAAGCCACGGCAAGCGAGCAACCATGATTTCCTCTGATTCTAAAAAATCTTAAGGAAAACCTAGTACGCAAATTTGATGTCGTACTTTGTATCTTATGGTATGCACAGAATTTCCATATATATTTTTGGTTTGCTTGCTTGCATATTCTACAGTCTTTATCATAAATAAGCCACCCTCCTAGACGCCATATATCCATCCATCCATCTCTCCACACATAGCAAGCATAGCAACCCAGCCATTAAGCACTCCAGTATCATATCTATCATGACATCGTGAGTGACATGACTCTCTACAAGAAATAATCCGCCACAGGTTTTTTCGCCGGCATCCCCCTCGAGTCCTGCGGCGCGGCTTGGAACACCCTATACCGCCTCGCAGGCCCAGCCAACAATACCCTATCGCTCGGTTTCATCACACCGCCATCACTCCTATTCACCTCGCCGTTACTGCGCGCCAGCATACTCTCCCCACTGCCGTCTTCGCTGAGCTCGAGAATGGCCGCGATGTTTCCGCATCTGTAGCAGTAGTTTGGCGCCGACCAGACCGTGACGATGCTGTTGTCGAACATCTCTTTGAAGCCTTCCATGACTAGTTGATGCGCGCGTGCTATCATGGATAGGTCGTTGGCGTGGTTGAAGACTTTGACGATGTCGGCGCCGAAGAGGAAGCCCGCGCCGCGTGGTGAGAGGCCCCAGCCGTCGATCTCGTCCGGGTCCGACCAGAGGAGATCGCACATTGCGCCGTCGTGGGGGACTTCCTGTTTGCGGTCCAAAAGCCGGATCTTGTCGATGCCATCGATCAATGGTGATAACCCCCCATGCACGCACAGTACAGCGCCGCTAGTATTCCCAACTGATCCGCGGCTATATCCCGAGGCGGCTGTACCCGGAGGACCGGTTTTTGCAGCTGGCGAAGAGGAGCTTTTCGTCGACGGACTCGAACGGGCGCCGTTTCGCGCTTGGCCCCGAGGGAACCTGTCTATGACCCCACCGGTGTGGTTCAGCAGTTCTATTTCTATACCTTCATCGTCCGGTTGCGTCGACGACGACTTCTCCGGCATCAGGCCTTTAGATTCTCCTAGTGATGTCGAGGCCCCTAGGACTATGGCTCCCAGCGCTAGGTAATCGAAGACCTCGCAGCAATATCGCCATACGTTCGCACTGCCGTATTTCCGCAGACATTCGTCGTAGAAGCCGTAGACAGTGGTGATTTGCCGCGATTCGTGGTTGCCTCGTATCAGAGTCATGCGATCTGGATATCGTACTTTGAGACAGAGAAGAAGGAGGAAGGATTCGAGGGAATAGAAACCGCGGTCCACGAAATCACCTGCGAGAATTAGCATAGCACTTGTTATCATTCAAAGTAACTGTTTGCAGTACAGTCAGTACGTACCCATGAATAGATAATTCGTATCTGGTACATCTCCGCCGACGCGAAATAACTCCATCAAGTCGTGAAACTGCCCATGGATATCGCCGCATATCTATTGACAGTCAGGACAGGACAGCTCTCTCCTCGTACTAGACTCTAGGAAAGAAAGTCCTACCGTCACTGGCGCCGTCACCGTAACCACATTGCCCTCTTCAATTAACAATTCCCTCGCCTTGTGACATAACTCTCTAACTTGCGCTTCTGGTATAGGTCGACAAGCTCTTAGCTGCGCAATCGCTCTGTGTTGGTAATTCATTCTTAGCTTCAGTTCTAGGAAGGTGGCGGGGTGCAACTTGTACCTGTCTAGATCGCTCATCTTGCCTTAACCAGGTATTATAAGCGTAACAGTATCCTCTCAGCTAGGGGACTATGAGCACAGTTCACAGGCCCTGTGTGGCAGACCCGTCGCTTAACTCAGAGTGTTGATACTCCCAGACGCATCGAGCAGCCAGAGGGGCTGGTAAAATATTGATAGATCCTAGGTTGTAGAATCCGATAATCCCTCGTCCGCCACTTTGCTTATAGAATATCCTCCAGCTTCTACATGTAAAGCCTAGACAAACACTCGAAATATAGTCGTAGGTATCATGAGAATAGAATGGTGGCCGAGTGCGAGTGCGATGTAAACTATTGATTCCCCAAACCCAACTCTAAGCTTGGTCTTGGGTTCTGATAGACGACCGACGACTCCAGGACAAACGCGCTAAAAACTTACAGGGATTGATCTCGTGCCGCAACGATAGCTTCAAAAAAGCACCACTATCCATCACAATCCGAATCCCCATTCATTCCATTTTCAACATCACGCCACCACACTCTTTTACCATAACCCGTCTGTCCGTCCGTACGTATCTCCTCTATACCACAACGATCTATGTAACCAATTCCACAAACCCTACAGTATCAATTGATTGACCCTGCCTATCCTGCCGCCCTCGGCAGGCAATCCCATCTCACCTCACATACCAAACCATGCCACCGCCCCTGCACCCACGCAGTTTCCTCACATCCTCCCTCTTCGCCACCACGGTCTTCGCCTCATTTTTCGTCGTCGCTCTACCGCACATCCTACCCTGTCCCGCGCCGCGAGTCGCGTATGCTGATGGGGAAATGCAAATGCAAGGGGGTGCGGACGGCCAACCACGCAAACGACGGAGACGGAGGAAGTGCGTGGGTGAGGGTGAAGCTGGTGAAGGGGGGGAGAATAAGGGGGTTGTAGATGAGAGGGAGAGCGCTGAGGAAGAGGATGCGAGGCGGGGGCAAAGGGATAGCAAGAGTAAAAGGGAGTGTCCGGTGCCGAAGCCGGGGGGTGTGGTAGGGACGTTACTGGGGTTTAGGGGAGCTGGAGGGGGAGCTGGAGGGGAGGAGGAGGAGGAGGAGGA